GCCTGGGATGAGCTGCTGCTGCCCATTGCTCCCCTGGTTGCAAGTTTCATGGGGTCCCTCTGAGGGAAGAAGGGGGATGGGAACGGCACTGGCGTGCCCCCCTGGGGGAGAGCGTATGCTGGGTCCGTCATCCTGAGAGTATTTATCTTGCTCCTGCAGGTGGCAATTGTAGGGGAGCGTCCAATAGAATATTCACCAGCTTTCCCAGCTGTGCTCCCTCAGGGTCCTGATCGCCACTGATTTGATTGGTCACACAGGGCAGCGGGTCATTAGTTATTGCAGCTGGTCCTGGCGTCGCCCACCTGGTTCTGCTGTTTTTCTGGGCCCGGAGCTGAAATACAACTGAGGCCTAGATGTTACTATTTTTGTTGTTGTTGTTAATCCTCACCCCAGGAGATTTTTCCACTGATTTTTTTGAGAGAGTGGTAGGGGCAGAGGGAGGAAGAAAGAGAGGGAGGAAGGGAGAAACATCATTGTGAGAGAGACATATCGAATGGTTGCCTCCAGCACATGCCCCCACTGGAGCAGGGATAGAACCTGCAACCCAGGTGTGTGCCTTTGACCGGGTATTGAACCTGCGACCCTTCCGTGTACTGGCTACCACTGAGCAACACTGTCCAGGATGAGTTATCTTTAGGGAGGAAAAGGTTAGGGAAGGAAAGGTTACGTGGGAGTGGGGGGGGGGGGCGCGAGGTCCTTATTTTCCCCGTTTTGCCCCTTGCTAGGCACCCAGGGCTTTGTGCCCCGGGGAGTTTCTGTGCCTGGCCCATCGTCCTTGCTCTGCTCATGTCTGTCTAACTGCCAATAGCACAGCTACCTGCACTCGGCCCCCCTCTACCTCCACCTGTTGTAAGGATGAAGTGTCTGGGCCCATCGCAGGGACAAACCCTCCACATATGCACCAGACAGCGTCCCTCTCGCCTTCCGAGACAGTCTCCCCTCCTGCAGCTTTCCTCTCCCCACTGCGCCGTCCCGTCACCCCCAGGCTTGCTCTAGGTCCTAGAGTCTAGGATCCCTCATCAAGGGGACACTCTCTTGGCCTCAGGCTCCCTCTGGACACAACCCATTATCTTTGCTCCCTTTATAGGAACATTTCTGTCTCCTTGATGGCCATCTTCAGTTCCTCTTCCTGCATTCTCTCTGGAATGCTCTTCAACCAGACCTTCCCGTGGTCTCTCCATTGCTAAATCTGATCCCCGGGCCCTGTCCTTGGACCTGCTAGGTCAGTGTCCACCCTCTCCTTACTTGGCCTGTGGCCACAGGTGATGCAGTTGGTTACCTCCTCCTCCTGGTCACGCGCCCTTGGTGGCCTCCGGGTCATCAGCTTTGCATATCATCCATATGCTGACCACACCCAGCCCAGCGTCTCCCTGAACTCGGGTCACCTGGTGCGGCGTCAGGTCTGGTGAATGGCTCAAACAGGCGACCAGAGCCCCGCAGCTGCCCACTGAGCGTCTCCTGGCCGCACCTCCCCGGCCCAGTAAATGGCGACCCTGCCACAGTCCTCTCCCTCCCACCCACTCCCACAGCCCGAAGGCTCTGCCTCTCCCTCTGGGCTTTGAGGCTGGAACCCCTGACCTTGGCATGCCCCTCCGCTCCCAGGATGCCCCCCTGACCGTGGCATGCTTGGTAACGTGCCCGATAGCGTTCTAGATGCCCTGTCGTCCGTATGCACCCCTGAGCCCTGGGTTCCCCGTGTCCTTCTCATTCTCCGCTCCCCAGCACCTGGCAGTCAGTGTGCATGGGATAAGTTAGTTGTATGAGTGCCTGATGCTTGTGTAACGAGTTGTACTATGTCCATGATCACTTTTTATGATTAGAAATTAAGAACAGTCTCAGAACTTTCCAGTTGTCAAAGGAGAATCATCCCATTCAATGTGGAACCTACCGTGCCTCCCCTCTCCACAGGTTGGTGAATATAAGTGGACTTGAACAAGGCCTACCTCTAAAGAGCCCCTACCATCCTATATAATAGAGGTAATATGCAAATTAACCCTCACACCCTCACAAGATGGCTGCCTATGACCAGGCCGGCAGGGGGGTTAGTGAGGGACAACCAAACAATTGAACAGCAGGCTGCGTGGGGCAACCAGGCTGGTGGGGGGGCCGTGAAGGGTGACCAGGCTGGCGGCGGGGGGGGGGGGGGGGCAGTTGGGGGCAACCAGGCTGGTTGGGGGGGGGCAATTAGGGACAACCAGGCCGGCAGAGGGGGGTAGCTGGGGGTGACCAGGCCGGCAGGCGAGTGATTAGGAGTCAGCGGTACAGGATTGTGAGAGGGATCCCGGATTGGAGAGGGTGCAGGCTGGGCTGAGGGGACCATCCCCCCCTCCCATGTGTGAACTTCGTGCACCGGGCCTCTAGTAAATAAGGGAATCTGCCTGCAAAGGAAAAATCCTCCCAAACTAGTTTCTGACAATTCACATCATGGAAAGTATTTGAGAGCTGTCAGATGCCAATGGCCTGTGTGCCAGGAAAGAACTTTATCTCCGGTGTTGGTAGCTCTTTCTGTTGTGTAGAGAGCCCCCCACCCCCCTAGATGGCACAGAACCAAGTGCCAGTTGGCTGGGTAGTTACACCCTGACCGCCTGAGATCACAGAAGGAAACGGTTGGTTCTTGCAGATGTAGGCAGTGGGGAGCACTGGGCGTGGCCACAGAAGAGGAAGATCTGGAGCAGCCAACACCCAGGAGAGGGGAACATGTGTGCAAACACGGGGCTTTAGGAGTGAGACAGACTGTGGGTCCAGCAGGAAACCCGCTTGACCAAGGACATTTCTGCTGGGACCACCTGAGACCTGAAAGCTATGGGGAGACGTCTGTCAGCCTCAGCCCAAGTTCAGCATGCTTCCCCAAGCTTTCAGAACCCTAAAGTGGCCAGAGGAGAGAGGCCAAGGCTTAGAAAAGCTTGGGCTCCCTCCTGATTCCTTCACTCCCCCATGATGCCAGAGTGGACCTACTCACACTGCCAGGAGGAAGTACGGAAGGAATCGCGGCAGTTTACACCAGGCCCCTGCCCTCCCCGCGTTGTTCTCTGACATGCGCAGAAAGAGGCCAGTGAGACTCCAGCTCTCCATTTTTGAAAAATTTATTTTATACCCTTAGAAGCTAAGAACTCTGCCACTCATGAGCCACACTTAGAAGATTCTTCCCTGTTCATCTACTTCCTTTTGAAATTTATAAACAAGATCCTGTACACAGGAGGTAGCAGAGGACAATTCCAGTCTGCTGGTTCCAGCTCAGAAGGTAACTGCACACACCTCAATGTTAGCAGGGGGTGAGGGGGGCAAGACAGGGCAATTGCCAGGACATGGCCTCCAGGTCCTACAACTCGTCCTTGCTGCCAGGGACCTTGAGGGAAGCCACGGGCATCCCGCTGGGATGCTCATCTGTTTTCCTCCCAGAATGCCTCTGGTGGACGCAGCATCAACAGTGGGCCTCGCCAGGGGAGCTTCTTGAGGACACACAGCATTGAGTCAGTTGTGCAATTCCTACTTTTTGAAAGATTTATAAAAACGTCTTCATCCAAAAAAGTTGGCAATAAAAACGACAACTCTTCCAAGGTAGCCTGTCACATTGTCGCTTTGTTGTATATTAAAAAAGTCATCAGCAGGTTTGCAGGCTGCAGCCGTTGGCAATCAAGTGGTTACTGGCTACGTGAAGGGGCAGTCATTGCAGCAACAAGAGCAAAATTAACAGAGCGTGTGACATGATCTTGATGCGGTCCTGACGAAGCTTTACAGTGAGGACAGCAGGTGCTGGGGTGCGGAAGGCGTTGTTTCCATAGGAAATAAGGGACTAGAAGTGGCGATTTCACTCCTGAATTTGGGCTCCTGAGTGCAGCTGCCGGCGATGATGTCACCATACATCTCACCACCGGCATGTCAATGTCATGTCCCACAGTCTTTCTGTGAGGATGGCGGTGGAGAAGGGGGAGGGCAGGGTAAGGAAGACAGTAGGGTATGGAACAGTCACATACTCAAAATCAGTTTTAAAACATCACATTCAAAATTGCAAGAACATCAGAACCATATAAAACTGCCTCTGACCATTTTTCTGAGGGCACAGTTCTTTTTTTTTTTTTTTTAAATATATTTCTTTATTGATTTCGGAGAGGAAGGGAGGAGAGAGAGATAGAAACATCAATAATGAGAGAGAATCACCGATCGGCTGCCTCCTGCACGCCCCCTACTGGGGATCGAGCCCGCAACCCAGGTATGTGCCCTTGGCCGGAATCGAACCTGGGACACTTCAGTCCGCAGGCTGTCAGTCCGCAGGCTGACGCTCTATCTACTGAGCCAAGCCAGCCATGGGAGGGCACAGTTCTGCTCTTAAAAGCCAGCTCCTCCATCTACCGGCTGTCAGCAGCAGCTTTAGGCAGGTGCAGGGTCAACCACTGGCCTGGCTGCACAGTACCTCCGTCGGCCACAGTGCCATGACTGGGGCTGACAGTGCAGAGTGAAGAGCTGACTGTCCAGCCACGTGTCACATGATGCAGAAGCCACCAAAGGCACTTGGGGCTGGACACACCTCTCTGACTTGGCAAATCTAACAGCGGCAACCTGGCGCTTCCTAAGGCTCCCCTAGTTCTGCGCATGGTGAGTTGAAAACAAGGTAGAACATGTAACTAAAGGCAAAACAGGATTGGAAAATCTGTGTAGCAACTCAAAATACAAAATGTACAAAATATATAGAATGTTAAATATGCAACCCCACCCTGGGACAAAGGAGCTGGCACCCAAATGTTGTTAAACTTGGGAATTCCAACTAAATGATGCTTATTCAACTGCTTCCTAGTTATTTCTGGGAAAATAAAACCTGCTCCTATCTTTTCAGTGTTAATCACTCAAGTTGAAGAGAAACAAAGTCTCAAATTCCTTGTCTGCATTAAAATGATTAGAAACTCACAAAGATTCCTCAATTCAAATATTTAACTTCATATACAACCAGTACCCAGGGTTTCAGTAACTGTTTTAATCCAAAGCAAATAAATGATTGCAGATCACATGATTTAAGACTAGTTTATTCAATATGTCTCCAAGCATTAAAAAGATGATTTCATGAAGTTAAACTCAATAAAATTATACCTTAAAGTGCTTCTTATTTTGCTGTTTTTAAATTTTATTTTGGGAATAACTTACGATTTCTTTAGTGACTGATGTCAAGAATGTGCCCTGGGGAACAGCACTTCAGTTATATCAGGAAAAAGGCCTTGAATAGCTTAATAACCTCCCAATTTTCAATCCTGGTAACATTTCATCAAGATCCAAGTTTAAGCCCAGGGCTCTCATCCAAACCCAGCTGCAATTCTGTACAAATAGGGAGACATATTAAATACAAAGGTCTGTGTAAACTGAATTCTTTACTATTTTACAATGAAAGGAATTTTATCACATATCTTTACATAACCTTAAATTTGATATCCCTAATCAATGTTACTACAAGATTAAAAATTTGCCCCACACAGCTAAAGGCAGATTTCTTTAAAAAAATAAAAATAAAAACGAAAAGAATTTCTTCTATAGTATCGTAGAGAAAGCCACAGCTTTACCCTCACTCACTGTTGTATGTTCATGTAACAAAAGTCTGTCACAGTTTATTTTGTAAAATCGCCACAGAAATGTTAACCCACATGCGGATCTGCCTCGGGGCAGCTGATCCACAGGCCGGCGCTCTCCCCCTCAAAAGAGCCCCACTCCTGGCCACAGCGCTTTCCTCACACACGCTCCTCAGGCCGTGGCAGGCTCTTCCTGCCCACTTCCAGGTTCTTCTAAAGGGTTCAAGGTGCGATTCTGGTTTCAAACAGGTGCTAAGCATCCAGTAACTGCGATGTGACTCCCCATCGTGTGCTGGACACGCTCCTCTAGGGATCCACGTCGTCAAGGTCACTTCTTAACTCGCCAATCATCATAGGCGATTCTGAACCCTTAGAGGAAGAAAAGGAAATTCACCCATTGAGAAGTTAGAGAAAAGGTTATTTTATGCTGACTGTGTTCTGTAGTTTAAACATGTCCTCATTTAACAACATAATGTTTACCAAAGGGCAATACAACAAAGCTATAACACCTTATATTTGCAGCAGATTATGCAAAACTTAAATTTCTATGTTCTCATGTGGTCACTGAAACAAGCCAGCGCCTAGCCCAGCCGCAATGCTGCCACACAATGGCGCAGACAGCTCCTATTAGAACTCTGCGGACCTGTGGGCTGAACCAGGGAGAGGCACTAGAGCCCCGACATCCAGGGCTAGAAACTGTGCCTAATGGTCAAAGATGGCTCTAGGTCACGCCTGGGCCTGAATTCTGCCCCTCACCAATCCTGTGGCCTTTGGTTTAAACAGGGTGGAGAAAAGGTAGGCTTACAGTTGTGAATATGCAAAAGTTTACTCTTGTATTATTTATTATTATATTCCACAGGAACTGTAAACCTACTGTCGCCCACCCTGTACACTAAGGGTTCTGAATGGTAACCATGTATGCGTCTGAGACTGATCTAGCTGGGGCTGGGGGTGGGAGAAGCAGGGAGTCTCCCTGCAGAGGGGCGTGTACGCTGAGGGGGAGTCAGACAGGGGTGAGTAGGGGTGGAAGGAAGAAGTACACTTGATGAACAGAAAGGCCATTGTATCTAGAACTCAGAAAATGAGAGGGAGAGGAAAGCAGGGGCCAAATCAAGGAGGACTGCTGAGGATCCGGCCTCCACCCTAACAGCAGTGGAAGGCTGCTGAACGGTTCAGTGAAGGCAGGAGAGACTCAAGAGTGGCGACAGGCAGATTTTTACAGAGACCCAGGAGTCTAAGGTGCTTACACGACAGAACAGATGGATGAGGTCTTTCAAAGGTCAATGACAAAGTGTGAAAATGCCTGCAGCTTGAGCCGCCCTGTACGCAGGGGCTGTGTGTGAGTAAGGAGGCTGAGCAGGACCAGCTGTGGGCAGGCTGGATGTTTGCATTTGGCACTTGGAAGAACCACGGCCAGGGCTGTGGGCAGGGGCAAGAGGACAGAACTGAGGGACATTTCCTGGTGGCCTGGAAGAGGCTGACATGGAGGAGGCTGAGAAAGAAACACCCGAAAAGCTGGCGGAGAACTCAGATGGCGGTGCCATGGAAGCCACAGGAGAGTGGTTTAGAAAGGAAGACCTGGTCAGTGGCACCAGATACTGCTCAGTGGTCAGCTCAGATGAGGACTGGAAATGGAGGCTGCTTGTCACCCCAGCTGCTGAGCAGGAAGAGGCTGAAGAGTGAGTGAGAGATTAGAAATTAAAGGTAGTTAAGTTTTGACTATTTTTTTGAGAAGTGAGGCTACAGAGAAGAGGAAAAGGGCAGGGATAAAAGGGAAGAGGAGAGTTTTTTCAAAAGGATGGGAGACAAGTGTATCGGAACACCACTGGGAGGGATCTGCTGAGAGGAAGAGGTTTAAGATACCAAAGACAGAGAAAAAGACAGAATACAGGGTTTCTGGCAAAATGGCAGGGTGGGGAGCCCTCCCCGTGACAGAGGACAGGGGCTCGAGGGGCTGTGAGGCTAGGAGCGGCAGCTGCAGGAGTTCCTGTCTGATAGCTTTTTTTTTTCTCTGCAATAAGGTAGGCGAGCCTCAGTTTCCCTTCGGTAAAATCAGGCTAACAGTGACCTCACAAGATTGTCAATGAGGATCCAAGAGCTTAAAAAGAAAAAAGACTCTACAACATCCACAGGATTCATTTAATGAGGCCTCTGCCAAACCCTGTTATGGAGCTACAAGGGGACTGCCCTTCTGGAAGGTCAGAGTGGAGGGAAGACACAGACACGTCATCACATTCACACCTGCTCCATTATTCTGCACATAGATGTTTAATAAACATTTCATTCCCTTTTTACTATAGTAATTCGTATTAGAAATGTTGTTGGTTTTTAAAGTCAGCGTACAATTGTTCTTTGACTCCCCAATAAGTAGGTAGATTTCAATGGCATGAGGCCCCTCCTCTCAAGGGTCCATGCTTCCTGGAGGCTGGTGAAAGCAAAGGCTGGAGGCGATGTTCTCAGCCGGCAGTGAGGCCGACAAGCTGGAACGAATCCGCTGTGGCCTCCTTAGAACAGCCAGCCACACCCTGAGGTCAAAGCCTGGCATGCCTCCCACATGGTAGCACTGTTCCTCCCTGTGGGCACTGGGAGTGGGTCCTGCGCAGAGAGCACTGAGGATGGAGCTGGGGCTCCTTTTCTCTTGTTTATGAAATTGGTTTTGGGAAACTCCAGAGCGGGCGCTGCCCTTCCACATGGGGACACCATCATACATACCTGTTGTAGGTGCCTGTCTCCGTTCTCATTCGCGGGGCTGCTCTCCGACCCGTTGCTGCTCCCTGACTGTTCTTTCTCATTCAGCAAAGCGGTGGCATACGCTAGTGTGTCCTTTGGGGATTCAAACAGAAGGAAAGGTCAGGGAGTGGGTAGTGGCAGCGACATTGCCAAGGAAGACTACCCTTCATTTTGACCTTTAGAGGCACCAGGAGCCTTAAGGGTGGTGTTTTCATGGCAGCCCCCAGAGCACCCCTCAACTTCTGGGCCATGTGGGGGCTGGACTGACCCACCCATATGGCTTTCCTTCTATAATTTGTGAACTGCACACCAATGTGTTATCTTTTCATAGAAATTCAATCATTTCTTTTGCCCCTTCTCATTTTCAACCTATACCTCCTCTTTTCTCTGAGGCTGCTGTTTCTGAGAAACATACTAAAAATCCTACCTAAGGGATTTCAAGCCACACAAAATCAGAAGAACCCTCACCTGAGCTGAAATCGTCCGCTGAAAAGTCTTTCCAGTTGATGTTTCATTAGAGACATTGCTTTGCGGTGTCCAATAATGTTCTGACATCTGAGACAGGAGGTCAGAAATGCATCAGAGGTGACAAACAAGCCCACATGAACCCACGATTTCTACCATTAGATAGCAGAATATAAAGCACCTACAGTAGTATATATGTCTACCCAGCCCTTCTAGCACATCAGGAGAGTCTTTCCTGGAAAATTTCACTTCCACTCTCAAGAGCTCGTAAAATTCTATTTCTTACACAATCTTCCCCACTTTCTCACCTATAAAGCTAAGACGCATGTATTAAGACGCAAATTTAAAGCATAAAAATAGGTATCCACGGTACTAAAAAAGGTTTGAAGACTGAAAATACTTTGAGACCTGTTTCAAATTAAGTTTGAGAGTCTTCCCTGACAGACGTGCTCCTACTGTTCCTACGTCAGAACCAGAAGGCTCACAATGCATTACCTTCTTCTGCAGCCACTGCACAGCCCAGCTCCAGTGGTGGGAGTTCTCCTTGAAGTACTCTTTAGCAGCAGGACACCTGGCCATTGGAGATCTCTATTAGCCAAATGCTTTCTTTGCAGAGGTACTTATGTAATTTGCAGCACCCTTTTTATTTTGAAACACAAATGCTACTTTCACTAAAGTTCAGTTGTCTTTATACAAAAAGAAATGAAAGGTAAGTATGTAGTGGAAAAGTCTCATCTACCTCTAACTCATCTACTCAGTTCTATTAAAATTCAAAATTGAAGAATGAAAAATAAAACCCCCACAGCAAATAGGGCATTTAATAAATGACCTCTTGCTAGAATCAAATTAATCTTAAATATTTGTGACCTGAATAAGGAAGCATATTATATTTAAACATGATCTTATAGCCACCCTCTCTCTTTCTATTTTTATCTGACTTTCTGGGAAGCTGTCCTTCGTATTTGAAGATAATGCTGATGGTGATGTTGCCACTAGTGAGTGTATATAAAACAGATGTGTGAAGGATATGAAAGTATACATAGACACTGGAATCTGGACTGTCTGCTGGCAGCAGATATACTATGTGGCCCCAACACTACTTGGAAATGCCATTCCTAGGCAAGTACTTAACGATAACATGCTGCCAATATCAAGCCTAATTAATGAACGCACAATTGTGGCTGGATGATCGCCATCTCTTTCCACAATGCTATGTCATATGGAAACGTATGTTCATGCATTATTTCAGTGAGGTTCTCATTAATATCTGTTTAGGATGCTCAAATACAGCAGATTAAGCCAAACAGATTTCTCATTCTTATTTTGGTACAAGTTCGGGGACAGCAATACCCATGCCTAAGAATCAGCAAAAATCTGGAGGAAAATAAAGTAAGCTATGAAGAAGGCTCCATCAGGTAAGACTCAGAGATGGCAGTGGAGTCTGCTCAATACCCCTGGTCATCTTGCAGTTACTCTGATCTTTTGTTTGCTCTTGTACTAAGTAGGGAACTAACGTAGCAAACCACTAAGGTCGCTTGTAACATCGAGAACCTTTGCATTTCGAGTCTACTGACAGATGAATGGATAAGCACAATGTGGTCTATCCACACAATGAAATATTTAGCCTTAAGAAGGGGGAAAATTCTGACATGCTACAACATGGATAAATCCTTGAGGACATCATGCTAAGTGTCAAAAGGACAAATACTGGATGATTCCACTTATATGAGGTACCCAGAGTAGTCAAATTCATAGAGAAAGTAGAATGATGTTTTCCAGGGGCCAGAGGGTGGAAGAATGGGGAGTTACTGTTTAATGTTTAATGGATATCGAGTTTCAGTTTGGGAAGGAAGATTAAAAAGCTCTGAAGATGGGATAGTGGCGTTTGTTGCACAACAATGTGAATGTACTTAGTGCCACTGAACTTAACCTAAAAATGGTTAAAATGGTAACTTTTATGTTATGTACATTTTACCACAACTAAAGCAAAAAGAAAAGAACCTTTGCTTGAAGCAGACAGCCTAGCTCTGACAGCACCTGTGACGTGGGACATCCAACAGTCCGTAACCTCACAGCTATTGCAAAGACTAATGAGAATACAGGCAAAGTATTTAGCACTGTGTCTGAATTAAGTGTAAGCAACTCTAATAGGACTCTGTCTCGAGAGACTGTTAGGAAAGTGGGGACCTAGAGCTGAAAGAGCTATAGCTACACTACGAAAGCCTCTCGAATGGAGGCTCACCCACCTTGATTCCCACCCTTCCTGCACAAGCATTGTGTGTTAGCTTTTTCTCTCGGGCTCTGTAAGGTCTGTTCCTCTTTTAACACATTGCGTACCACACAGAAATCTCTAAGACATACGCCAGGGACCGCACGTTTTTGGGCAAACTGCACGTTATTTAAATCACCATAATGCACTTTAGGTGTTATTTTTCAATAATTATAACATTTTTATGTACAAAAACAATTAAACAATTAAAGCTCCTAGTACTTTTTTAATGTATGGTACTGCATAAAACATTTTCCTCTATGAAGAGGGACCAAACAAAATTTACATAAGTATCTAGATTCGCTCCTTTTTCCATGGGCGTGAAAAACGAGAACACTCGTGAGCGGTCCTTAAGAGATGGCGCGCGAAACACGAGAAAACTCCTGAGCGGTACGAAAGGTGTTAACTTCCCTTAACATCTCTCTGAGATCACCTGCATAGGTTTCTGTGCCATCCAAGCCATCACGCCCTGACTGAGGCACACTCTCCAGGTACTAACACAAGGCAGGTTTTTTTCTGGTCATATTTGACTTGTAACCACTTCCTCTCTTCATTTTTGAATCAATACTTACTTTTGAGCAAGAGTTACCAGAAATTTGACACACTGGTAGCAGCGACTGCTATCCACATGATTACTGTGGTGCATCAGAGCTGAAGGGAGAGAAGAGAATATTTGAACAATGAACCACTAAAATGAAAATGGGTCTCCTGTTCTGAAAACTTACAACAATCTACTCTGACAAACAGATAAAGACCTAAATTAAAAGCATGGTGCTGACTCAAGAGGATCCCCTAAATTCTAAAGGGTAGAAATACTAAGTAGTATTCAAGAAACATACGCGGTGGTGCGAGTTTGACTTTTAGGAGAAACAGATGGAGCTAAGATTTATATTGGCTGATTATTCACCTAGAGACCTCCAAGCTTTTCCGCCCACCACTCTGCTGACAGAGAGTAGTTAGAACACTGTTAGTGTGATAAATGGAAACTTACCGTCTTAGTTCAGTTCACCAAAGAGTCCCTGCTCTGGGCTTTGGGGATTGAAAGATGAATAATACTTGGCCCCGCTCCGGGGGGGTGTACCCCTGGTCTGGGAGTTCAGAGCCTGGGTGGAAGCTCTGAGTAGAGTCCACCATCCAAGGGGTGGTCTAGAGCGTTGCAGCTACAGAACTTTTTAAACTTACGTTTCTTTTCTAAAATAAAGGAGGCCCTAAATCTTTTCTTAATACATAACCAGAATGTGAAATGACTCCGATTAACTGGAAATACAGGTGGATGGTGGGAGTTGGAGAAGACTATTTTTAACCAAACCTTTTCTAAGAAATTGCTCACTAAAGCTACTTCAGCCTTCTCAAAAGAAGAACTCTGCCCAAAACCTTTTATGAACAGTCAATAGAAATTTGGGTGCATTTATACCACAGGCGAAAAACAATCACATTTCCTGAGTTTGACAACATCCTGAGCCTGAGGTTTTAGTTTTCCACTCCAATGGCTATAGGGTGGAATGAAAGTTTCTTGCCTTGGAAAGTGCCTTAAACTTGTTGAAAAGTCACAGCAGTAAGGACCCAGTAAGGACCCCAAGTTGCACTTTACTGACTAAAGGTAGGAGAGTGTCTAGGATGATCAGGTCACTGGTTTTAATTCTCACGACCAAAATGAGGGAACCCAATGCCTTAATCAGACTTCTGTTGGATTCCTCACTGATGTGTGCCAGGGACGCGGGGTTGGTGTGGGAGATGGACTGGGGAGGCAGGAGGCAGACCCATTAGGGAGGAGACTGGCTACCTGCACATTCACTGCTGACACTTCCCGTTAAGGCTGGGCATACTTGCCTAGTAGTCCATTTTCTGTCTCAAACACAAATTTGACTCGCTCTACTTGTATGGGATCTTCAATGACCTGTGAGAGGAAGGAAACAAGTTGGTAAATGAAAGAAGAACTTAGGTTATAGCCACTGGTGCCTCTTTTTAAAAAAAATAATTCAATGGGTTCTAACTTAACAAAACCCAATACAAATATCATGTCACTGCCATATATCTCAACATCTTCCATTTTAAACTACAGATAAAAAGCTACTGAGTAATATCTGAAGATCCATTTATTTCTTATCAATGTGCTCTTACCGACACCTACCGTTCTCTGTGGGTTATAAGGACGTACATTTCATGATCCTGAGGGTGAGAGGTTTACAGTTTAACCTGTTTACCAAACTGTGTCAGTTTTGCTACAACACAGGCTCTGCAAGTCCACAGGTGGAACTGTCTTACTGTCACTGTGCATCTAGTGCAGTGGTTCTCAACCTTCTGGCCCTTTAAATACAGTTCCTCATGTTGTGAGCCAACCATAAAATTATTTTCGTTGCTACTTCATAACTGTAATGTTGCTACTGTTATGAATCGTAATGTAAATATCTGATATGCAGGATGGTCTTAGGCGACCCCTGGGAAAGGGTCTTTCGACTGCCAAAGGGGTCGCGACCCACAGGTTGAGAACCGCTGGTCTAGTGCCTCACACCCAATAGTGCACAGTGCAGCCAACTCGACAGGTCTGTTGCTGAGCAGATGAACAATATGCAGCCCTGCTTCTGAGGAGCAAACCTTCCAAAGTTTGTAAAAGCACCAGGAGAAAGGACCAGGCTTTCTATAAATGGCATTCGTGGTGTAATTCCTTATTTGGAAGCACTGATTAAATGCCTACCCTGTGCCAAGGCCCACAGGCCTACACCAAGTCTTAGGGACCTAAAGGGAACCCTGTCCTCCTCCCTCTCTTTAAGGAGCTTCTGAGCTAGTCTTTCTCACTAGCTCACAACCAGTCCCCAAATTCTATTGATTTTCTTTCCAAAACGTCTCTTGACATGTCCTTTGTCCCCTTCGACGCTGGTCTTGCCTCAGCACAGGCCTTGTTATTTCACACTCAGATTACTGTCATACACTTCTGTGTAAGTCTTCCAGCACTGACCCTGCTTCCTCCTTCAGTCCATCCTTCAAAGCAACTGCCAAGGGCATCTTTCTAAAACATAAATAAGGCCACAGAACTTTCCTGCTTAAAACCTGTCCATGGCGCCCGTCACTGACAGCAGAGGTTGCAAACTTAAGTGTCTAGAGGCTAGGATGACAAGAAATGAGCAAAATGGGCAAAGTAAGAGACAATAAGGAGCAGCGAGGGCAGCAGGGAACTGGAGGTCCTGTGCTCCAGCAAAGAGGGCAGGCTGCTGCTGCTCTAGGTGATGGTGGCCTGCAGGACATGGGACCAATGTGGCCAGGTTAGCGGCTTTCTCAAGATAGGCTGTATCTAGAAATCAGAAAACAAAACCACATGGGCCGTATAAAACAGGCAAATGGACAGGACGTGCCCCCAGGCTGCAGCGTGCAGCCACTGCCTATAGAAAGAGGTCCCCTCACTGGTCCCTGAGCCTTGCATGCTCTGGTTTGGGCTTCTTTCCCATGTCCCACTCAGCTCCACTCCTAGTCACACACCTCCTTCCAGCTCACTGAGCAATCAATCCAGGGGTCTGGTGGGGGGAAGGGGCTAACTGCATGGCTCAGATCCTGGCTTTGTGATTTATCAGAGGTTGGTCTTAGGCAAATCACTCCACTTCTCCAAGTTCTAATTTCTAATGTGATACGGTACTTTGTTGATTATAACTGAGTTTCCCCCATTTTTTATATATCCAAAATTGAGATGCATCCTATAGTCAATTACACTTCAGTTTCATGGCTTGTAAAAATATTTCTAGTAGTATAAAGACAATCAAGGGTACCTCAGATATGAGTGAAATATAGAGCCAGCAATTTCCCTGAGGTTACTGTGAGGTTAAACAAGGTAATACTTGTGCTTAGCACAGCCCCCTAGCCACAGCAGAGCCATCCACTGCTCCTCTGCTCTCTGTACGACAACTGCTTGTGTACTTGTCTAGCTCCCTCACGAAACCACGAGCCCCTATAAGGTAAGGTTTTATTACTGCTCACCTGTAAATCAGTATTGCACAAAAAAAGACTGATATGAGGAGGATTTAGTAAGTGCAGGATAAGAATGGAAAAACAATACAAGGACAGGCAACTTTTAATTTATAAACAATGCTGGCTAACACATGCCTAAATACAAGTAAATCAGAACATGTAGGACTTACCAATATCTCATGCAGTAGTTGGAAGGTATTCTTTAACTCGTGGGGTGGAGCTGTTTCTAGTTGGTTCTGAAATGTTTTTAAAAAGAAAATTCCAGTAAGTCTTCAGCAGAAAGCACATTGGTGTGTCAGTCAACAATGTCAGACTCAAGCCCTAGTTCCACCACTATCTGGCTAACCTTGGCCAAGTCAATTCTTCTCTTTGGGGGCCTCAGTTTCCCCAAGTGCTAAATCTGGGAACTGAAACAAACCACCTCCTCTGTGGTCCTCCCAGCTGCAACGCTCCGTGGTTAGGAAGGAGAGAGGAGGAAGAGCAGAAAGAAGAGAATGTAAAGTCACTAAAGAGGTCCCCATTTTAATTTCATTGATACATATCCTATTTTGTTTTCCAGAATATGCTGCTGTTGCTATGAGAATGCAAATGAGTATGCTCTGAGATAAGTATGCTGAGTGGAGTATGGAAGAAAATCTGGTTTATGAAACAGAAAAACCTGCCAAGACGCACCTGTGAAGAAAGCAAGATTCAGGGACTCATTCCTGTGTGCATTTTAACAGCCTCACACAGATACGTGGATGGGGCCTAGGACCCTGCATCACCACACCACACTTCCCGGTGTCAGGGCTGGCACGAAGTGAGCATCTCTCTCCATGCCTCACGGACTCCCCACCACCTGTGAGGTCAAGTCACACTCCCTCCCACTGTGAGAGGAATGAAGTCACAATCAGTGAACATTAAAGGGAGGAATGCAGTCACCTCTGATAGGTCTGCACAGAACAGGCTCAGGGCAGAACATTTTCATAAGAGTCTGAAGACATAACCCACTAACCACCTGCTACTTGTCAGCACTACCTGTATCACTATTATAAATCCTGGTGCAGGTAACAGGGTGTTGCAGAAATTCTGTGGGCAGAAACAATACATATGGTATGAATTTACAGAAAGAGCCTGGAAGGACCCATACCAATGTGGCATATTGGTACCTGGGGTGGGGAGGAGAGGGGCAAGAGTGGTTGGTGTTGTTGGAGAATGCAGCCATGTATTATTTATGCTATTAAAGATTAATAACTAATAAAAATGATCTGTGTAGGCTTACAGGTTTTTCTAGTAATCCCTAGAAAGGCAGTAAACAATATGGTTGAGAGCACAGCCCTGGAGCCAGACTGCCCACATTCAAATTCCCACTCTGCCACTTACTAGTTGAGACCCTGGGCAAGTTACTTACTCTGTGCCTCAGTTTCTCGAACCATAAAATGCTGACAATAGTATCTGCCTGATAGGACTACTTGAGAATTAAGTGAGCTACATATGTACTCTGCTTGGAACAGTGCTTTGGCATCCAGTAAGTGCCACAGCGGTAGCAGTAATTAGCATACTGATCAGAGCTTCATAAGGAACTGTATCACCTCTTTAGGTGAGAAAACCCTACTTCTGATTTTTAAAATGGGGAGGGCATTTAATATGAAATTGGAAAACATTTACATAGTAATGGTCACACAGCATTATTAACTATAAAGTATTATTCTTAACAGTTAAAAACTGAACTGAACGCAAATGTGTTGCAGGTAAGAGAATGGTCAGGTCAATCATGGTAATGAGAGGATGAAAGATGATACCCACAGATACATTTTAGTAATATGGAAAATATTTATAATGTTAAGCAAAAACCCCCCACAAAATCATAAAGACAATAAAATCCCAGTTATGTTAAAATACATGTGTAGAAAATAAAAGGGAAATATAAGGGAATGTTCATGGTGATTGTCAGTGAATGATGGGATATCGAGTTCTTTTCCTTTTTTTAAGTCCTCACTGGAGGTTTTTTCCCCCACTGATTTTTAGAAGTGTAGAAGGGAGGAGAGACAGAGAGAAACATCGATGTGAGAGACAGACTGATTGGCTGCCTCCTGCACTCGCCCTGCCTGGGGCCGGGGATTGAGCCTGCAACCGAGATACAAACCTATGACCCTGAAGGTCTGAGGGCCGATGCTCTAACCACTGAACAACCTGGCCAGGGCTGAGTTGTTTCCTTAAATGAGCCTGCATTATTTTTATGATTAGGAAAACCAATGACGGTATTAGAAGCAGCACGCTAACTGGGAGTGAAGGCCACCAGCCGTCACCAGGCCAGCGGAGCCCTACCTTAATGAAGTGCAGCATAGTGAAGGAGAAGTGCTCGTTGCAGAAGCAGCAGTACACCACCATCTCCATGAGCGCCAGGAGCGAACCCGTCAGCTCACGCAGAGCAAACATCACCTGGTGCGAGGGACGAAAGGAGAAGCGCTCCTGTCAGCTGTCAATAGGTTCTGGCTTTGACTGAAACAGACTCAGATTTAATATCATCAACACTGCCTCAAAACAGGGCTGCTTTCACTGCTAGAGCTCCAAGGATAGATTTCAGGGTGTTTAGGTCTGCCTGACATTGAACACAATTTTGTGCAAATGTGCACCTTTTTCCTGAGTCACTTTCATCAGATTTTCAAAGGTAAATGCCCTCTCAAATGAAAGTAATTACTGATAGATTCCCAAAATACACAATGTTCAATTTAAAAAAGATATATAGCATAGCACTGTTAATGTAGTTACAAAACCAGTATGACACATGGATTCATATCTATGTAAACCAAGTTACGGAAGGAATGGAAGATTACATTCTCAAGAAGAGGCAGCTCTGAGTGGAAGGGGAGGTGATGGGACTGCAGGCAGGCCACACAGAGTGCTGTGAGCACCCCACTTCCATATTCCTGAGGTTTAAAACACGTATGTGCCTCAGAGTTGTAGTATTTCAGGATCGGGGACACATATGAGACTGGGAACAAAACCTCTGATATTAAACTGAATAATTGTGATTGGTGAGGTGCCATTTACCTACTGGGACCTAGAGGGGTAGTTGGGCCGAACCTGGAGGTCTAAGTCCATTTGAGAGACTGAAAAAAGGACTAATAACATTCTCTTCAACCGATTATTTCCTTCTGACATATACATAGGAAGAAAAATTAATGTGAAAGAATAATTTCTTCTCCTAACAATACCCTTTTTTATCAAAATATAACTAATAACAAATAACAAAAGGTGTTTTTCCTCAATGGGAGAAATAAAGAGAAAAATGGCTTTAGGAGAACAAGGACATACCTCTAACAGGTAAGGTTTTCCTTCAGACAAGAACAACAAGGCTTCTACTTCCTCGTGGAGGGGCAGCAGAGGGCTTGAAGGAGCAATGCTGATAGGTGGCCGTTGTTTAAATACCCCAGGAGCTTCAGGAGACCAGAGAAACAAAGCCTGTCTCACTTGATGCTATTTCATGAAACAAGACACCTACAACGCAAAGCCATTCATTCCCGCAAGCTTCACACACACAGCTGCTGAGTACTCACAACATGCTCTCTCAGTCCGGGGAGGAAGCCAGACTTGGAGACAGGAGAAATGTTTACCTTCTTATTTCAATGTCTGCCTAAGTTGTAGGTCTGACTAGAAAGCTCTCTAGACAATCTTTCAAAGAAGTAAAATTATAAATCGTATGTGGAAAAAATGACCAATGTGACTCTGAATAGACACTGGACAAGACCCTTGTGTTTCTCAAACACCACCTATGCTAAGCAGAATTGACCCACATGGAAGGAGTTATTCCTTTTGCTAGAAAAACAAGAACTCACACTATTTTCTTAGACAAACCTATCTCAACTCAAGTTTAGGCAGCTTTGTCTTTTTAGATGAATGAGTCAGATTTAGGAAGCAAACTCTACCTCAAACCATCCAAGTGCTCCCCAAGTCCCTTTAGAGCAGTGGTTCTCAACCTTCCTAATGCCGCGACCCTTTAATACAGTTCCTCATGTTGTGGTGACCCCCAATTTCATTGTTATAAATTGAACATAATTAAAGAATGTGATTAATCACAAAAACAATATGTAATTATATATGTGTTTTCTGATGGTCTTAGGCGACCCCTGTGAAAGGGTCGTTCGACCCCCAAAGGGGTCGCGACCCACAGGTTGAGAACTGCTGCATTAGAGGGTCAATAAACATTGCTGGATCAGAGTGATGGACTGTGATTTTTATCTCGTTTCTGGTGTTCAGATCTTACTGGTCATACAACACTGAAACCCAACCACGGCCTCTGGGTCAGAGGCTTGCATTCACACACTGGCTGCTACGCCACTTACTGGCTGTGGACTTGTGCAGTTACTACACCCTCTGTGTCTTAGTTCCTCATTTACAGAAGGGGTAATATCCCTCTCACAGGTTTGCTGAGGGGATTATAAACACAACTGATGAACTAAAGGACTATGGACAGGCACAGCACACAGAAAACACTGAATATTTTTCAGTGGCTTTGGATAACTATATAGGACAATTTGCGTCTCTGCTCTATTAAATGAGGACTGAACTACTGCGTATAGGTGACCAAGTAGTAAATGTTACCAGCTACATCATATATTCAAATGCATTTCAATGACTTAATGTACAGCTGAAATAAATTCCTTTGTTTTTACAAAGTACTTTAATACTTATCTCATTAATCCTCAATATACTTGTGGGGTTATATTTTTAGTATTTCCATTTTGTACTGAGAATCAGAGGGCCAGATGGCCTGGGCAAGTTCACACAGCTAGGAAACTAACCCACACAAAGGCAATTTTATCACTACATCAGTTGTGCCAATTATGGTAATGAATGAACTCCGAATTGGTCTTTGATTCTAAAGGCTTTTTAAAACTTACATACCCCTGTCCCCAAATAAATGATTTACTTTCCTTTGTGACAAACTAGTAAAATAAAGTGAAGTTTAACAGGAATTAAAACAATATCAAATAGCCAAATGAGGAACAAGTAATACCCATTTAATTGCTAACATTACCCTCGATGCACTACTGACAAATTCAGTATCATTTCATTTTTCCGATGTACTAAAGATATGTTAAGCTCACCAACATTCCTCTGGGAAGAGACATCTGAATACAAAACAAGTAATGCCACTGTGTTGTGAAGATTCCCAAATTCTCGTGCTTGTGCGGAACTCCATCGCCGTATCTGTGGTCAGAGAACATGAAGTGGACGTTTGTGTTTTGATTAGAAATAACATGGCGAGGGAGGGAAAAGACCTGCTGGTTCATGATAATTTGGGTCACAATTATTTCTCAATATTTGATAGCAAAAGAGGTCAAAGTACAAAAAGCCATAGGTTTTGAGCTAGCTTAATAGTGTTTTCCCCTCAGACACATTAACTCACATTCTGAAATGAACCCATTCGTGTATTCGAAGTTAGGTATTGAGTGCTCACTATGTGCCAGGCAATTTCCCTGTGCCTCAGTGTAATGGGGAAAACCCATGAGGCTGGTGGCCTGGGGGCCCAGCCCTCTTGCTCCCTCCCCTCCCCCCCGCATTTACTATGCTGTGTGGGTGTGGGAGCATTATGGTAACACTGCCCAACCTCTTGGTGTAATGGTGGAGATAACCTACCTGCTCTGGCCACTCATGGCTGTGAAAACCAAATGAAACCTTAAAAGTGAAAATGTTTTCAATGCTATGGGCTCCATAAATGCAAAACAACAGGAGTCCTGAAGCCGAAGAGCTTGAGTGAAAAATGCAGATTGTAAATTTCAACGTGATATCCTTACACTGAGCAGGCTATGAGGCCAGAGCGAGAGAAGCACGGTGGAGACGGGAACCTGAGGAGGCCGGAGCAGCATGTCTGTCCCCCCTTATAAAGGAACGAAAACTCCTATGCGATCCGTTCCATTCAGGGGACACCAGAACTGGGTCTGAATCCCACTCCACAACACTTTAGCTCGGTGACCTTGAACAAGTCACTGAACTTGTCTGTGCTGTAATTCTCGCCTGAGAATGAGGATGAAAACTGCCTAGTTTATTGAACTGTATCAGTGACATGGCATATCAAAGGACCAGTTGTGTCTAGTATATAACAGGAGCTCTATATAAATAGCATTCATCATTACTGCACCTTCATTTTAAATCTATCAAACAAAAGAAATATAATGAATGGGAGAAACACACCAATATAGAAACTTCAACAGGAGAGCCATTTTTCACATATACCTAACTCGATTATTACAAAACAAGCTCCCTCCATTTTCTGAATATGAGCAGTAGTAAACCTGCAGCAGGATATAACAGTGTATAACAGTACAATTTCACATTTGAACTCTGGCCTTGTTATCAGCATTCCAGAAGTGACTGCCACCCGAACAGCCTTGCTGGCAGCACTAGACTTGCAGGGTTTTGAATCCCCCCCATCAGGACCCATCTTTGCTGCTATAATACTTCATATTTTAATTGATACTCTAGTTAGTCATTTCCATGGGTTGTTATTATTAGGAAATTCTGAGAAAAGCTGTAAAAATAATTGAACTATAAAGAATTTTAAAGTCGATATAGTATTAGTACCTGGACTCTTATGAGATTAAAAATATTTATCACCTACACAGAGAAGTAAAGTGACTACGAAACCATGGCTACCGAGGGGGCTGGCAAGAAGCATTACCTGATTGTTCTGGCGACTGGCCCCCAGGAGAAAGCTGATCATGTGTCGCAGAGCTGAATGCCGCAGGAGGAGGTCTCCAGCCCTAATACCTTGCTGTCACAAGATATTGAGAATGACAAATTATATTCCTATCCAGACAAAAATCAGTTTTAAAAACAGTTAAATGAGAAGTTTTAAGAAGTCTTAAAATGCTATAATCTATAATAATAAAAGCATAATATGCTAATTAGACCAGACGTCCTTCTGGACGAAGCCGGGGTTGTGAGGGAAGCCGGGTCCGGGTGCCTGCCTGTGGCAGGAGGGAAGCCTGGGTCCTAGGTGTCAGAGGGAAGCCGGTGCTGGCAGTGGGGGGAAGGAAGGCCTACTCTTGCACCAATTTCGTGCAACAGGCCTCTAGTTTACATATAAAAATATTTGTTAAAAACCTAATTAAAAAAACTCTTTTGAGTTCCAATAGCCTCACATTGCTTCACAAAGGCTACAGAATATATAATTAGATACTAGTTTTAATGCAGACGTTTGCTGTCAATGAGTGTACACCTACCTGTATCCAACTTCCTGCAAGTAATATAATCCCTGAATTAAGATTTTAAAGAATAAACAGCCATAAGACCGTATCATATAAATTCAATATTGACCAGTCTATATTTTTCCATGTATAAAATTCCTTTAGACTATAAATTTTCTGTTATGAAAATATATTAGAAAAAAATCATTTACCTTTTGTACAAAAGTGTTGAACAGGAAAAAGTACTGAGCACAGTTTTTACAATTTTCTGGGACATCTTTATCCAACAGAGCAAGTAGTACCTCCAGTAACTGGTGAAGGCTTTTTAACTGGTCAGAGGAAAGATGAGATTACATAAAGAAAAACCATGTAAGACAGACATTTGCAACAGGATTAATTTGAAGTAATTCACCAGAAGAACAAAAGGAAAATCTGGTTGATACAATCCAGTCTCAGATTCAGATGGATTTATGCTTTGGAGAGCAAAAACAGAATGATTCAATTTTACCTGCTAGGGGAAGAGTGGTACTATAGAAATACTTCAAAGGAATGCCTAGTTTTGTCTCCTAGATTTCAGAGTCAAGGGCATGATTTTACTGCCTAATGGGCACATTTTCTGTAGATCCAATTTCTCTGTCTCTTAGAAAAAGGGCGGGGGTGCTTAGAGGAAACCTATTTCTGAGTCCCTCCCTCCACTATGCTACTTCTTTACATAATCACAGATGCAAAGAATAAAAACACAGACACAGGCATAGGGGCTAGAAACCAAGCCGATGGAGCAGATGGAGAGCACAGCCTGACAGAATGACAACGGCAATATCCACTCAACTGGGAACTTACTTGAAAGCCCGCTGACGCCTCATGGAAAGCTTTGAAAAACATTTTATTTATTTAGAAACCATTTTGGTTATCACATTGCTTCTTCTTTCCCTCCCACCCAACTGCTTTTGGACAAGTTCCTAGAAATTCATCTGTGATCTGAGAATGAAGACCAAGCTTACTCTTACTATTCCTGTTGATTTATTTCCTCTGAAGATGGTGTCCAGAGACTTTTAAAATACTCCCAACCATCCTGTCACATCAGTATAAGTACAATAAAATCTAGCATTTACATAGCACTTAACTTTCAAAGTACTTTCCAATACAGAGTGGATGGCAAGAGGCACCATTTCCATTATGAGGGAAAAACTAACATAAAATGCATCAGCTGGATCTGGATATTCAATAGAATTTACTGAGGCAAACGCTTCCATGTTTAAGCCCTGCACCACCACTCCTTCCCTTCCTACCACCTGCAGTCCTGCCTTCAGAGGTCACTGGGGCGATGGTGTGGCCTGAACCCATCTGTAGAGAGACTGCACTAACTCTATCGGTATCTTTTGTCTAGGTTGGTGCACGGGAGGAAGGAGAATGAGAAGGTCCTCATGCTAAATGTCTTACACAACTTCCACAGAGTATTTCAGAGCAATGGTCTCCAAACTGTCCTAAGCAACTCCCAATGATCTAGTTTATATGTTCTGCACTCAGGTATGGTTTTGTTTGGAAAATGGTTCTGCTGTTTAAGCTGATTGAAAACCAATGCCTTAGAGTAAACCTCAACTTCCTTATAAATCCTGAATTGAGAGACAGTCTTCTGGGCCCTTCCTAACGGGCATATTCGACCTCTTTGTTCATTCTGGACTGAGCAAAGCTCCCTGGGTCAGGCAATATTGAAGGAACCAAGTGCTTGGGTGCCAGGCACTGTATCTGGATTAAACATCTCCCTTACAGAACACGCTCAAGGTTGCATCACAAAGTTAACAACTGTATTTGAAGCAGCAATTTTTAGAATCTGCATTTAGTTCATTGAGACACACTGCCTCCAGCCAATGTTTAAGGAGCCAATTAGTTTTGAAAATAACATTTTTCAAAGTTTTCCATGTAGTGTCAGCTGTTTGAAACAGCAAACTTGGGATGTAACTGCTGTATTTGCTAGTACTTAACAGATTGAATAATCAGACTTACAACATATGTCATTTATTTCCCTAGGTCTTAAAATCTTTGGGGACTGAGGATGGTAATAAATACCCTGGCTTGTTTTGGCATGTGTAGAATTTTGAACCAGAAAATATGTTACAGAAAATCGGGTTAGAAAAAGAAGAAATCCAGAGGAACAAAACAGATTAGGGAATAATGAAAACCAATGAAGGGACTATTTTGGCCAATAACCCTGAACGAATGGCAGTATTTGGTTTGGTTGCCAATTGTAGGTTTAGGTCATAAAAATAGCTCATGAGGAAAGAGATAAAGCCAGGGGTGGCCCAAAATGTCTAAGGATCTAGACGAGAGCCTCTAGACTCAGGTTAGCCTCAGTGCAGAGATCAAATACAAACTATTGAGAGAAGACTTTGAAAAGAGAGTGTTCTAGAGAGAAAATTTTGAAGCAGACCAAAGCAGACCTCAGTTCTTGGCCTACCTTGGTTTTTGGGGTATGAGGAGGAAAAGTCAGAATGCCTTCTACTTGGCATTCATCACAAAGTCAGTTCACAGAGGGTACATTTTATGTGGAGAAATTACCAGCTTGCAATCCTAGGTTCTCTTTCTTATTATGGCCATTTTATACTTTTGGTAAAAACAGAATGTATAAATAGAAATTTAAACATGAGGCTGACCTTGTCCTGATAAAACAAGGCACTGTCCAGGGTTTTCTCCAGAATGGTGGCCACAGCGACTCGCACTTCTCTCACATTGCACTCCAGCAAGAATATCCTAAAATATAGAAGTGTGGTGTAAAAAAGCAAAACAGAACTCTGTAAGTCAACCTTCCCAACATGAGTCCCACTTGCAATCCAAGAAACAAAATTACTCCAAGATGTTAGTTCAGGTCTTCTGAGAGCTTTGGTACAGCTCGTGGCCACTGTGGAGGAGGAAGGCCAAACAGGAAAGCAAGACCCCCGAACACAGAACAGCGAAGCCCTTCCTTCCTCTTCCTCTCTTCCCCCAAAATGAGTATCTATATAAATATAAATTGAACATTGAGCAAATAATCTAAAATTTTATAAATTCTGTTCATTCAGGAGCAGCTCTCCTGGAACCTCTTCAGTTTCTCAGAATGAGATACTAAAGCTTGGAGCCAAGATAGCACCCCTGGAACCCCCTGTGCACCAGACTGTGGGTCCCTGAAGAAAGGGCCTTGTATTTTGGGTTTTAGGATGTGGCTACCTGTGAGCACTTGGCCATCTGCACACATGCTCTCCTTGCATTCTCCTTGAATACCCTGAGTCTAGTCTAACAGAGATGGTTTGGAAAGAATGATTTTGAAGTGACCCAAATAATTTCCTCACTGCTTCATTGGTGAAGAAAGTTTAAAATCAATTCCAATCAGAAATATAATTTCAAGTTGAAATAAAAAGAGTTACAAGAAATGTCAGCTCCCAATCACTGGAAGAAACACAAATTTCTTTTAATTAAAAATCTTGACACTTACTTTATCAATTCTCGTCCTTCAGAACCAATAAAATATTCAACTAGCCACTGACAAGCATCAAAACTTTTTGAAAGTAATGCTTCAATAGTGGCAATCCATTCTTCAGTGTCAACCCTTTAAAAAAAACAAAGAATATTAGGAGTACAGTCCCCGCCAATAACCCCATGGAGTATCACTCCATTGTAACATTCTTTAGAACTTTTTTGGACAGTGAGTAGGAGTTAAATACTCAGTGACTGTAACTAACATGGCTCCATCACCCGCGAAGCCAGTGCTTTGCAGTCTTGGGTATTTTGTGTGACTTATCCTGCCCCCAACCCCGAACCCATAAAAGAAAAAAAACTTCAATTGCCAAAAAAAAAAAAAGCCTGAACATTTTGTTTTGCTTAATTGACATTCACAAAATGCCTACATTCTATGCTTTTATATGTTAAGTAACCAAGCAATTTCCTTAGTCAATCCTATGCCAGACATGACAAGAAACATTTCTTCTTTTTCAATCAAATAATAAAGCCTGGTATTTAATATAGTTTTTATTATTACACATAAAAATGAAATGTCATTATATCTGTTATCATCTCAAGAGTTTCTTGATTGCAAAATCTTTCTAGAAACCTCTCCATACTTGTGCTAGAGAGAGGAGCTTGAGAATGTCCATGGTCTTCTGTTAACTGGCCTCCCCACCCTGAGCCTCCCCTTCTTGCTCCAGGTACATCCTACAAACTAGCCCAACTACTCTCCATCCTTCAGTTTCTCAACCACCATTAACTCAGAGCCTGGAAGGTGTCAGGCACCTTACCAGGTGCTAAAGATAAAAACCAATGGGACTAACATGCAATCAGAGCTGAGCTTCTATGGCATGCCTCTGAACTCACTGACCCCGTTTAGGACACCCCCCCCCCCCCCCCCCATCGCCCACTGAACAAAGGCCACTCCCTTCTCTGGCACTCAGTGAGCTCATCCAAACCCACAAACTCAACATTCGTCTCACCTCAGTAAGTTCCTTAAATGCATGAGTAAAACACGTCATTCATAGTTCTTTAAGCAAGTCTTATCCATTACTCAGGTTTTTCCCTTCCACCAAGAATAATAACTATCTCCATACTTTTGCCTTTCAAATCATCTGAGAACACAACTGTCTTTAATACCAACCCCATCCCACATCTGGGTATGATTCTGCCCAGTTTCCAAAGTTGTACAGCATTTATGCCTTGTATCACAGTTACTGCTCTGTTGAATCTATTTTTTTCTACTAGATTAGAAATTCCTTATAGATAGAAGCCATTAATTATCTGAGTACAGCTGGTAGTTTCCAACTATTTAAAACAATGTTTTAAAAAGCTGAATTCAGAAATTTAGCTTTAATTGATTTAATTAGTGCTTTTTGCCATGACAATCAAAACATTTCACTTCTTACCTGAGTTTTTTCTTTGTCCGTAGATAAGTTTGAAAAAGGAATTGAATGGCAAGCTGTAGGCTTACCTTTGCCATGCAAGGATAGCATGGATGCTTTAATTTAGTCTGAGTGGGGGAGAAAAACAGAGAGGATACTTTTTCTTAGAAGTTTTATAGATTATTACACATTGTATGAACTAAATGACACATGATAAAATTCAGTACTAATAAGAAAAATCTAGCCAGCCATTATAGAAAATGTTCCAGTTAAACTTTAAGAAAGGTTAAGAAAGACAACTTTATTTTTTTAAGTCCTCTCAAAAGTCTTTATTTATATTAAAAAAATTTTTTTTTGTTGATTTCAAGAGGAAGAGAGTGGGAGATAGAAATATCAAGGATGAGAGAGAATCATGGATCAGGTGCCCCCCCACATGCCCCTTACTGGGGATCGCGCCTGCAAATAAGGCATGTGCCTTGACCAGGAATCAAACCATGATCTCCTCGTTCATAGGTTGACACTCAACCACTGAGCCATACCAGTCGGGCAAAATAGAGTCTTTGGACCACAAGATGTTAAGTAATCTATCAAAAGACTGATAAAGTTTTCCTCTTATTAGCAAATTATAATCATGGTACTCAAGAAAGAGAAGTACTTGGAAGTGCTAGTAATGTCTAATTACAAATTAGGAATAATTAATCTCCACAAAGCCCAATATCCAATGATATTACCTAATAGCTACTCTTAGAGTCATCATAAAATTCAAATAGCACTTTAAAAGCCAGTATGTGGAAACCCACACCCATCTACAACTTGCATGACATATTACAAATACTGCCTATATTTTAATATAACTCAATAAGTTACACATTTGTGAGAATATTTTGCATTTCATCTAAAGGTTAACAACTGAGAGTGAACATGAGTCACTGAACATTTTAGCTGAAAGTTGTTTAATTATAATTCTTTCTTACTTTAGTAACAATCCAGCTAGTACTTACAGCATTCAATGATGCTAAAGACAACACAAAACTGAAATAATCACTACTGTACACATCTCTATTCTTCATAAACTTGAGGTTTTCATCTCTCACCATCTACAAAAGAAAATTAGCAATTGTTTTAAAGAAACGGTAAAATATTCAACATGTAAAAGACATTTTTAGTGATATGTTCGGTAAGAAGGATTTGTAACTCTACTCTCAAGCTCTGAATTTTTTTAAAGAGAGGAAAATCTTCATATAAGAAGTTGTAAAAAGATTAATTAGTATTCATTAAATGAAATCCTTTTGGAAAATTTAGGAAAACCACCATGTGAAGGACAAGTGAAGTCTAACCTATTATTCTGGGTAGGAAGGAACAAACACAGCTTTCCCAAGTAGACTCCATATTCTTCTTAAATTCTCTGCTGTGGCTACTCAGCTCCTGTTCACTTAGTTTAGAAAGTCTGAACTGGTAGTTAGACAGTTCTGAATTTTAATCCTATCTCTGAGACACTAGCAGGTCATTTTGCCTTTTCTGAGCCTCATTTTTTCCATCTGAGAAATGGGAAGAAAACCTTCCATTCCACAAGAATGTTTTAAGAATTGTGGATTTGTTTTAAAGTGTGTAGCATAGAGTAGGTATTCAACAATTAATGGTCATCACTGACATATTAGTGTTACCCCCCAAAAGTTATAAACTTTAACTTATTTTTCTCTCCAGCTACAAGTTAATTTTAGCTATGTGGTTTTTGTTGTTGTTGTTGTTTTTTTGTTTTTTTTTTTACTGCCCATGCCTTCTATTTATTTATCTTTGGCATCCTATAGCCACATGGAAAGTGGTGATGGTGGGGTCAATCTTGAGTTTGTAGCCACCTTTATGACCTGATATGAAAGATTTGTGACACACGAAGGTAAGAAGATGTTGCACTAGAGATACAGCTAAGTCCACAAGATGACCAGCTGGAGTTCTTCTGGACCTACGAGACGGATTTTAACACTATCTGAATTTTCTCTCTAAGAATTATACAGTTCTTACCTGATATATTCGAACAGGCATTTTCTCCACAAACAGTCCTTTCTTCTCTCCTTTTTTAACCAGTTTGGTTAGAATAGAGAGCCGGTCATTGTTAGGCCTATGGGGCCTAGGGGATGACTGAGGTGAAATTTCTGGTGAAGAAGGTGCTGATCTAAGAGACAGAATCAGAAAACTGACTAAAGTGGCGATTGTTTTAGTAGTTCCTAAAACCTAACAAACCTACAAAATCTGGGTACTGGATTTAAAAATAAATTGTATACTCCCCTAATTCAATAATTTAAACTCAAATTCACAGAGAATACGATAAAAAAAACTTCCTGACTGAAGTGCTTACTATGCTTGAACATAAAGTTTATTCAATAACATGCTGGAATGAAAAAAATATCACTTCTAATAAAATAATTTATACACATTTTTCTAAATACAAAATAACTTTTTGCCAAGGGAACAATGACCAGGTAGCAATAAGAAGAAAAGGGATAGAGCAGTTTAGTTATTTTTTTTAGAATTTCTCTCTAGCTTAGCAAATTACACTTAAATACCAAACAGTATAAAGATCACAATATCCCCTACTGAATTCACACAATTACACAGAAAATAAACTCACAGAGAGAGATCCTCAGCTTCCTGCCGCACAACGCTGACTCGACTTTTCTTTGGTAAGACTGGGGAGTTCTGATCAGATACCCGTTGGTAGAAGAGCATATAGGCATTCCAGTATCTTCGGCGAACATCAGTATATGGATTTGCTTTATAACAAGACATTAAGAAAGAAGCAAGTAAATAAAAGTTTTCTTGTCTTAATCTAAAACAAAGGACCCATAAATCCAGCAAGTAACTACTTAGTGAATTTGTTAAATGCAAAGTGTAGGTAAAATGTGTGTTTTTTTAGAGTACTGCTTAGAATTACTTGGAGGGTGATATAGAGGGGCAGGGAGTAAAAGAGTTGTATGGTAACACAGTAAGGGAAAGAAGGTAAATATTCCAGGCAAGTCTCAATTTAATAAAAAAGCAAGTAACATCCTAAATAAAGAGGTAATATGCAAATTAACCCTCACACATCACAAGATGGCTGCGCCCACAGCAGAGGCGGGGTTCCTGTAACACAAGATGGTTGTGCCCACAGTGGAGGCGGGGTTCCTATAATGAGCGATCAGCAGGGACCTGAGGCTGTGTGGTGCTGGACTAGGGCGGGGGACCTCAGGCTGCGTCCCCTGCCCGGCAGGGCTTGATGGGGGATCTCAGGCTGCACCCCTGGCCTGGCGCCGGGCCAGGGGACCTGAGGCTGCACCCCCTGCCTGGAAGGGCTTGACGGGGGTGGGGCTGGCCAAGTCTGGATCTCGCTCAATGGGGGTGGGGCCGGCCAGGTCTGGGTCTTGCATGATTTTGAGGTGTGCACGGGTAGGTGGGAACTTGACTCTGGGTCCCGTGGCGTGCCCCAGACTCTGACAGGAGGAAGATTTTCATATACATTTTACTAATTTTCTTTTATCTCTGACATTTCTGTTATAAAAAAAGGGCAAATAGCAATATTAAAATATTTCCTCTAATTAATTCCCTTTCAATGTGCACGAATTTCATGTACCGGGCCATTAGTCTACACTAATAAAAAGGTAATATGCTAATTAGTCCAATGTCCTTCTGGACAGTTAGGGGGAGACCAGGCCGGCAGGGGACCAGTTAGGGGGTGACCAGGCTGGCAGGGGGGCAGTTAGGGGGTGATCAGACCAGCAAGCAGAGGCAGTTAGGGGTGATCAGGCAGGCAGGCGAGTGGTTAGGAGCCAGTGGTCCCAGACTGCAAAAGGGATGTCCGACTGCTGACATCCCCCAAAGGGTACGGGCCGGGCTGAGGGACCCCTCCACCTTGTGCACAAATTTCGTGCACCAGGCCTCTAGTTTAAAAAATAAGTTCTGTGGCATAGGATGGGATTATAATTGGCCTCACTTAATCATTTATGTATAGAATGGTCAAATCTACGTAAATTTTGGTACCAAAGGCTACCTAATTAAAGGCTACCAACATTAGATGCACAACCACCATGGTATGGTATCAAAATCTAATACAGTGACTCTAATATAAGCAGAAATTTTAAAATGCTCCCAGAATATTTCAAAACCAGATTTCAGAAATGCTAAGGTCTCCACAAAATGTTTTTTCTTTAAAAAGCAAATTCTGACTGAATTTTGTGACATATTTTGGCTCATACATTTTAAAAAAATACATATTTGCCGAAACCGGTTTGGCTCAGTGGATAGAGCGTCGGCCTGCGGACTGAAAGGTCCCAGGTTCGATTCCGGTCAAGGGCATGTACGTGGGTTGCGGGCACATCTCCACTGGGAGATGTGCAGGAGGCAGCTGATTGATGTTTCTCTCTCATCGATGTTTCTGACTCTCTATCTCTCTCCCTTCCTCTCTGTGAAAAATCAATAAAATATATTTAAAAAACAAACAAACATATTTAATTGATTTTTCACAGAGAGGAAGGGAGAGGGACAGAGTTAGAAACATCGTTGAGAGGGAAACATCGATCAGCTGCCTCCTGCACACCTCCCACTGCGGATGTGCCTGCAACCAATGCACATGCACTTTGACCGGAATCGAACCTGGGACCCTTCAGTCCATAGGCCAATGCTCTATCCACTGAGCCAAACCGGCCAGGGCTGGCTCATACATTTTCTAAGGGTGGGGTTGTGGAAAGACTCCTTCGCATATTAAGTGTGGCTTTAAAAGCACAGGTGCTAGAAATGTTGTCTTTAATTAATCATACCTCTATAGAAGTGAAAAGGAAACCTGAAAATTATTTGTTTTAAAATATATTTTTATTGATTTCAGAAGAAGGAGAGGGAGAGACAGAAACATCAATGATGAGAAACATTGATTGGCTGCCTCTTACACGTCCCCTACTGGGGATTGAGCCCACAACCTGAGCATGTGCCTTTGACCGGAATCAAACCCGGGACCATTCAGTTTGCAGGCCGACCCTTTCTCCCCTGAGCCAAACTGGCTAGGGCAGAAACCTGAAAATTTTAGTGGATAACTACTTCTTTTGAAACTATTTTTAAGGTTGGAATTCTCTTTGATATTCATTTTACTTACACCTCCGCCCCATATTTCTCCAAGGCTGTTTTAAGAAATTATTAAAAAAAATTTTTTTGTAAGCAGTTTGAACATTTTTACTCTGGCTATCAAAGCGCTCATGGACCTATATAGAGTAGTGGTGTGTAAAAAGAGTGAAATCTCTTCTATTTTTATGTAAATAAAACTGCTTTCCAACTTGATAGAAAATCCTAACTCAAAAAAAAAAAGGAGAGAGAAATTTATGGAAAATATCCATTTGTAAATACTTACTTTGATCATAAACTTTTGGTCTATATTCTCCTCCAAAGCATTCATATTCCAGGGTCTCATCATTTAGGTCAAATTCTTCTATAACGGTGTCATTAAATTTATACCACTTTCCTTTTCCACATCCCCTAGAGCCCACAGAAAAAATAAACATTATAATAAAAAACAAATATCCCATCTACAGTATTTATTTCTTTGTATTGTCTATAAATATAGCAGGTGATTACCATTTGAAAATACCTAAGAAAAATATAGCAAGTTATTCTAATTTCTAAAACAACTTTGCAAATTGAAGCATAAAGACGGTTACAATTTTAAAAATGCAATATTAAATAAGACCAAAGAACAATGCAAAGCTTCTTTGTATAATAATGGTAAGTGTGGGTGATAAAGTAGGGCAGGGGGAGCAGAGGACAGATATACAGGAGGGCAGGGGAGTGAAGGACAGATATACAGGAGGGCAGGGGAGTGGAGGACAGATATACAGGAGGGCAGGGAAGTGGAGTAGAGATATACAGGAGGGCAGGGGGGTGGAGGAGAGATATACAGGAGGGCAGGGGGGTGGAGGAGAGATATACAGGAGGGCAGGGGGGTGGAGGAGAGATATACAGGAGGGCAGGGGGGTGGAGGAGAGATATACAGGAGGGCAGGGTAGTGGAGGAGAGATATACAGGAGGGCAGGGGGGTGGAGGAGAGATATACAGGAGGGCAGGGGGGTGGAGGAGAGATATACAGGAGGGGGTGGAGGACAGATATACAGGAGGGCAGGGGGGTGGAGGAGAGATATACAGGAGGGCAGGGGGGTGGAGGAGAGATATACAGGAGGGCAGGGAAGTGGAGGACAGATATACAGGAGGGCAGGGAAGTGGAGTAGAGATATACAGGAGGGCAGGGGGGTGGAGGAGAGATATACAGGAGGGCAGGGGAGTGGAGGACAGATATACAGGAGGGCAGGGAAGTGGAGTAGAGATATACAGGAGGGCAGGGGGGTGGAGGAGAGATATACAGGAGGGCAGGGGGGTGGAGGACAGATATACAGGAGGGCAGGGGGGTGGAGGACAGATATACAGGAGGGCAGGGGGGTGGAGGAGAGATATACAGGAGGGCAGGGGGGTGGAGGTGAGATATACAGGAGGGCAGGGGGGTGGAGGAGAGATATACAGGAGGGCAGGGGGGTGGAGGAGAGATATACAGGAGGGCAGGGGGGTGGAGGAGAGATATACAGGAGGGCAGGGGGGTGGAGGACAGATATACAGGAGGGCAGGGGGGTGGAGGAGAGATATACAGGAGGGCAGGGGGGTGGAGGAGAGATATACAGGAGGGCAGGGGGGTGGAGGAGAGATATACAGGAGGGGGTGGAGGACAGATATACAGGAGGGCAGGGGGGTGGAGGAGAGATATACAGGAGGGGGTGGAGGACAGATATACAGGAGGGCAGGGGGGTGGAGGAGAGATATACAGGAGGGCAGGGGGGTGGAGGAGAGATATACAGGAGGGCAGGGAAGTGGAGGAGAGATATACAGGAGGGCAGGGGGGTGGAGGAGAGATATACAGGAGGGCAGGGGGGTGGAGGACAGATATACAGGAGGGCAGGGGGGTGGAGGACAGATATACAGGAGGGCAGGGGGGTGGAGGAGAGATATACAGGAGGGCAGGGGGGTGGAGGACAGATATACAGGAGGGCAGGGGGGTGGAGGAGAGATATACAGGAGGGCAGGGGGGTGGAAGAGAGCTATACAGGAGGGCAGGGGGGTGGAGGAGAGATATACAGGAGGGCAGGGGGGTGGAGGAGAGATATACAGGAGGGCAAGGGGGTGGTGGAGAGATATACAGGAGGGCAGGGGGGTGGAGGACAGATATACAGGAGGGCAGGGGGGTGGAGGAGAGATATACAGGAGGGCAGGGGGGTGGAGGAGAGCTATACAGGAGGGCAGGGGGTGGAGGAGAGATATACAGGAGGGCAAGGGGGTGGAGGAGAGATATACAGGAGGGCAGGGGGGTGGAGGACAGATATACAGGAGGGCAGGGGGGTGAAGGACAGATATACAGGAGGGCAGGGGGGTGGAGGAGAGCTATACAGGAGGGCAGGGGGGTGGAGGAGAGATATACAGGAGGGCAGGGGGGTGGAGGAGAGATATACAGGCGGGCAGGGGGGTGGAGGAGAGATATACAGGAGGGCAGGGGGGTGGAGGACAGATATATACAGGAGGGCAGGGGGGTGGAGGAGAGCTATACAGGAGGGCAGGGGGGTGGAGGAGAGATATACAGGAGGGCAGGGGGGTGGAGGAGAGATATACAGGAGGGCAGGGGGGTGGAGGACAGATATACAGGAGGGCAGGGGAGTGGAGGACAGATATACAGGAGGGCAGGGGGGTGGAGGAGAGCTATACAGGAGGGCAGGGGGGTGGAGGACAGATATACAGGAGGGCAGGGGGGTGGAGGAGAGATATACAGGAGGGCAGGGGGGTGGAGGAGAGCTATACAGGAGGGCAGGGGGGTGGAGGACAGATATACAGGAGGGCAGGGGGGTGGAGGACAGATATACAGGAGGGCAGGGGGGTGGAGGAGAGCTATACAGGAGGGCAGGGGGGTGGAGGACAGATATACAGGAGGGCAGGGGGGTGGAGGAGAGCTATACAGGAGGGCAGGGGAGTGGAGGACAGATATACAGGAGGGCAGGGGGGTGGAGGAGAGATATACAGGAGGGCAGGGGGGTGGAGGAGAGCTATACAGGAGGGCAGGGGGGTGGAGGACAGATATACAGGAGGGCAGGGGGGTGGAGGACAGATATACAGGAGGGCAGGGGGGTGGAGGAGAGATACTGGAAGAACAGAGAGGGACTCTTGGGAGAACCCCTTACCGCCTATCCTTAATGAAGGAATAGTAGTGGCCCGCATGTGCCTGCCCACTGTGTACGATGACACCGACAAGTTCATAGTTTTCTGTGAGGGCAACTTTCTTTCGTGGAGACCCTCCACCTCCCTGATCCATATTTCGCCCATTTTCACCAACTTCAGAAGATGAATCTTGGCGAGCCATTCCTGAAACTGTGTACGGCTCCATGTTTAACATCCAGGGAAACTATTAAAAAAAAGCAAAGGAGCACATTCATGTTGATTAGTAACGTAAACTGCCATACCCAATTAAGTCAGACACAAAGAAGGGGATGAGTGTTTTCTACTGTAAGCTAGGACTACCTCTCCAACGTAAGTGCAAAACCTCCAAATGGCTCACAATCTGGGAGCGTACAAGTGACCTCTCCTTGAGCGTTAAGGAAAGCATCTGACGTCACAGCTGACACCAGGTGCCTCTGCACATGAGGGTCACTGTTCATGGTCACACACAGTTCCACTGGCAGCAGCTGCTCGGACAAGGGCTATGTACTTCTCAGAATGCTGAGGCTATAGCCTTTCACACTTTACATGAAATTTGAAAATATTAAAAGAAAATGATAAAAAGTGAGCGAGGCAGTAACGGTTATAAAAACTTTCAGGGGGAAAAAAGTTACCTTTATCTGTTCATCATATTTAATGGAGCGTCCACTTTCCCAGTCAAATCCGAATCTCATTAGGTGAATGACCAAGACACTAGGTAAAGACTTAATACAGGTCCTTTTGACTGTTATTCTCTAAAGAAAAGCAAAACCCAATTAGCTCCTTGGAGAAAATAAAACAGCCAAGTAAATAATACAAAGGTCATAGGTTTCTCCTTGCCACCTGTGTAAACACAAGGGATGACACAATCTAACGGAAGTAACAACAGAGCTTAAAAGTGATCTTAGATAAAGTACATGGAATAAAAGATTAAGCGAGTTTTATAAAAAGGGCACGTGAAATACCTTTTCTTTACACTTTTCACAGTAATAGGCATTACTTCCCTCTAGAACTTCTCCTCTAACAAACTGGTCCAAAGAAATTTCCAAACTCTGACAGGAAGTAACTCCTAGATTGAGAGCCATGAAAGCTTCCTCTCGCTCATATCTGATTAGGAAATAACAGAAAAACCATGATCAACAACGAAATTTGAAAAGCTTTAAAGTATCATAATACCTGAGATTAAACACAAAACTATTCACAATCAGTGAAATTAACCATAACTTTCCTCATCCTTTAAAAAGTACACTACCAAATTAAAATAACCAATTTGACAATTCAGAATTGCTTAAAATTATGAATTTCAACAAAGAAATTGAAAGCAAAGAAATCTAATTCAATAAACACTTATAGATCCACTGAGAGAGATATCTGCAAGTCTCTCAACAAATGCAAAGTTCATAACCTACTAGAAGAATCACTTAATTATAATAATCATTTTTTAAAATATATTTTTTATTGATTTTTTACAGAGAGGGAGAGGGATAGAGAGTTAGAAACATCAATGAGAGAGAAACATTGATGAGAGAGAAACATCAATCAGCTGCCTTCTGCATACCCCCTACTGGGGATGTGCCCGCAACCGACGTACATGCCCTTGACCAGAATTGAACCTGGGACCCTTCCGTCCGCAGACCAACGCTCTATCCACTGAGCCAAACCGGATAGGGCTATAATAATCATTTTTTAATGTTAATGATATCTTCACTAACCTGTGAGGACAGTCTTTACAGATTTTCTGATCAGAATAGATGCCTTGAAAAGTATTCTTAAAAATTTGGTCTCTTCCCATTTTCTGTTGGAATAAAAAGTTCATATATTTTCAGTTGATACACCTAGAATTTATAGGTTGTTTACACAGAATTTTATTTAGAACAAACTAAGCTAAAGCACAGATGTCAATGCAACCACCAAAATAAAAGAAGTCATCTTGGCAGTTTAATCTGGGAACTAATGAAAGGATTATAACCCATTAGACCCACTGTTACGAGTGATCAGAAAAGGCGGAGGAGAGAGGTCAGTCAGAGTTGCTGACAGGCCAGCACTCTCCAAGACCAATTCCTTCTTCCCGTGCCTCACTCACAAGGCAGTACCGACTCTCCACAATCTTTTCTTTTCCTTTGCAGACAATGCTATAAATTTAGAAAACGTGCCTACCGCTGAGAAGAGAGGCACATGTTGGCAGGAATGGGAGGCTGTCTGTAACTTAGAAGGCAGTACCATTTAGGAAGTCTGTCACATGTTTAAAACTCTGGGTTTAAACATCACCACAAACAACTTTTAATCTAGTCCTTTTGTTCCCTTTGCCAAAGCAAGACAGCTCTGCATGGGGCCACCAGTGCTTACAGCACTTCTCTGAGGCCAGGTTACTTTAATGCATGCAGGTAAGAGTAGGCAGATACAAATTATTATTATGGAGTGTAGACTGAGAATCACATACTTTATCAAGTGTTAAATGAAATAAGAAGAAATGTATAATTTTAGTGATCTGTATATGTTTTGATGTTCAAACCCAGAAGAAATGATATATAGTTGTTGTAGGCAAGATGATCAATTTCTGACTTGTCAGTTTCACAGCAGTCCCAAATCCTAAACCACTGCTCTTATACTAATTTGAGGGGTTAGAGGGAAAATAAAACTTTGTCTACCTTGAGATATTCATCCATCTGATCAATGAGGCTAGTGAAGAACTCATATGCATCCTGTTGTTCTCTCACATAAAGTTCTTTGTTCCACATTTTGAAAATCTACGTAACAAGAATTAAATGTCATTAAAGGAAAAGTAGCAACTTCTGAATATGATAGAAAAAGGATGTAAAAGAGCACTTAATGCTTCTGAAAACTAAGTTCACTATTAGGATGCAAACGTTTTTACTGAAGTGAGATGAGCTTGTGTTCAGCCACTCATGCTTTTCTCTGGTCCCTTTACCATCCTAACAAGTCTATGAAACCACAGGATGAGAGCCAAGGCCATGAACAGAGAGCTTCTCTCTTACAAACTAACCCACTTATGGGGGAAAGTACAAGTTACTCCTCCCGTGAAACATAGAAAAGCAATGTTATAAAAGAATGTTCTTTATTTAGAGGCATTAGTGAAATTGGCATAGGTTCTGAGGAATGAGTTGAACAAATACTTGAAGGAGCTAAAATAAGAATCATGAGAAATATCCAAAGTAATTACAATGAGCAAATCCATAGAAATTACAAATGACTATTCTAATAACTTGAAATCAAGGACCAATTTAAAGAATGGTATAGACAGCTCTTCTGTAGGTTCTGGCAATGGGATTAATCTAGAATTAATAAAGACAAGAGACAACTATCACTAGAGAAAGAATGTAGCCAAATTCCAAATATTCAACATCTTTAAATCTAGAGTTACTAGTGAAATACCTTCCAAAAGTTCTCAGGTACATAATACTGCAGCTTGCTTTCCATCAAATGCCCAAACAGAGACTGCACTTGGTAGAATACACTATCATCTGGATTGTCAGTGTCGTCATCCACTGAAAGTAACGCCTGAAAAGACACGAAGTATAAAGTTAGAAATATTTAACTGTTTTACAGATAACCTTGACTTATGTACGTGGGAGTCCATACATTATTCTTTTAGAATGCTACGTGTTTGAATGTGACTGTAAAAATATTTCTAAAATACTAGAAATGTTAGCAACTTAAATAACTTAGGAGTTCAAATATCACATGTGAATTAGGTCAAACCCATCTGTCAAACAGGCAACATATTACTGCAGCAGATGTATAAAAATGTGCGACTACTCTAGCATTATTTCAGGAGCCACTGAAGAATACTTAAGTATTCTAATTTTAGTAACCCCCAAATTGCACTATATGAATGTGGAGCAATTTTCAGGCAATGTACACATTACTTATCACACCAAACAGGCAAGAGGAAGGAAATCACCTCAGGGAGACCAGGCTGCATGTACAGCTGCTGGAAGACGGCGTTCATGTAACATGTGGCGCCACCATTCCTCAGACCCACAAACCCTGCACTGGACCTGCTGTCCACTGGGGGGAGGTACTAGGAAGGAGAGGAGGAGAAACAGGAGAGAATTAGTGTCTGCTATCAGCACACGTCCTTATAGCTCTAATATAAGGGGGAAAGAGATAAACTCAGATTTATCCATCCAGCGTACTGTGAGTCAAGCTAGCAAAACCTGTGTTCATGAAGTAGCTCTGCAAATGCTGACATAATTATAAATATACTATCATCTCAATGTTTCTTTTTAGTTCATAAAGTACACAGCATATAAGCCAGAAACTATGCCAGGATACGAGAGAGAGCTCAAATGTACCCTGATCTCAAACGAGCTCACAATCTGGTAGGGTAGATAGGCATTGATCAAGTAAATATACTAATACATATTTACAAATTGAGGCGATACTCTGAAAAAAAGGATTAGGGTTCTATGAAGTGTTTACTCTGAAGAATCCTGATCAGGCCAGTCTAGATGGCCAAGGAAAGCACATATTCCTTCCCTTCCTTTCTGAGAAGGGAACACTCTTCTACTCAACTTCCTCTAATAAGCACACAATTAAATAAACAGGTAAATGCCTTAGCATTTTACGTAAAGATGTTTGTAATAATGTAGATCCCAGTGCAGCGCTTTTCTATGCACAAATAATCAAGAAAGGGCATCTTGGATAAAGTTCAACAGGGCACTTCTCCAAGTGGAAAGGTACTGTAATGACATTCTCTTAAATGCTGTTACAGCTGAGTCTCTCGATTCTAATGCCATGACCAGACCCACGTTATCTGCAAATATCAAGCATCTGTATCCATGTAATACCTAACCAACTGACAAGACCCTGTCGATCTTTTGAATGGAAAGGAACATATTACATACGTTTTATTAACATTCAACATACACTTAGAGCAGGGTGATTTCTAAGATCTAATTACCACTGTAATTTGCTTGTAGTCCAAAGCATAGATTAAAAAAAAAAAAAAGTTTAAAAATAAGAAAAATTGGTTTATAACAGTGCTAAAAATATATTTATATAAGGCATTTTTCATTATGCTGCTATAATTCCTGATTTATGAAAATAATAAAATTTCCATTTTAATCTGATTACATACATGTAAAACCATGCATCACATTTTACTCTGCAAGTGCCATTTTCTCTATTTAGAATGCCTGTTTCCACTTCCTTTCCTGCCTACACTGTATGTTTCATAACACTCAGCTCAAGTGACTGTGATGTTAGTGGAGAATGTATAAGCAGCTGTACAAGTGCCCTCCCACTCCTGGTCCGATACTCCAGGGCACCACAACTTGCTTCCCTCTTGCAATCCCAACATATAATGTGCTGCTCCAGGGCTCCACAGGTTTGCCCACAGCTGGACTGACCTTGCCATCTTGCTTCAATGGGCTCACAGTCTTTAAGGCTCTATTTTAAATTTCACGTTTTCTAAGAAGCCTTCCAAAACACCACCACCTGGTAGTAAAGTGTCTCTCTGTTAGTAGAGTTTTCCACACATACCTCTATCTTAAATTTGATCCCATTATATTGAAATTACCTGCTTATGGATCTGTCTCTTCCATTATACACTGACCTTGAGGGCTGGGATCAATCTTTAGTTTTGAGCTCCAAAAGCCCAACACACCTCTTAGCAAATAGTAAACTCAATCAATCTTAGTTGAATTTAACTGAACAAAGACTGCAGTGTGACAGAGCCAATGCTTATTTGTCTCTAGTGTCTTGCCAAGCATAAACGTACTCAAGAAATAGGTTGAAATGCTACTTTTTACTGAGAGTAATTATTAACCGACTTGAAAATGTATCCTCTTTGATTAATTAAAAGGGCACCATTAAGTAATACATCATAGACTCTAGTTGACTTGAGTATATAAACATGATAAGTAAAAGAGTAATCCTGACTTTCTTTGTGATTAGAAAAATGAAAACATAGTTTTAAAAATTCTATGTTTAGGAGACCACTCTAAAAAAATTAAGTGCACCAAGGTCTAGAAAACGTACATCAAACTCCTTGGTAAGAGCAGGGTCCGGCTGATGATGCATGGAAAGTAGTTCTTTTGTAATAATTTGAAGATTTGGAAGTGAGCTATCAGCCAACATTACAAGGACTTCATAGGCTGCCAATCGGCTATTCACTGTACTACACCTAAAAACAAAAGACACAAGTCAATTAGTCCAAGTCAATTTTTGCAATGAAAGTACAAGAGCTGTAATTCCCCAAAGAGTTAGGTTAAGTCAGGTCTGCTGGCAGAACTCTAGAAATCTAGTGGGAGTGCTGACTTAACAAAGGCGGAGGCCATGAGTACTGGAGGGATGAATATGGTTTAGAGCTAAATATCTTCGTGGCCTGATGAAGAAGTAGCAAAATCTGTCAGGTATGATTCCAGAGTATTCTTATCTATGGGATATATCAGTAAAAAGAGAGGATAGTCTGAAAATTTTATCAAAATCACAACATGGAAATAACTATTTTTCAATTAAAGTAGATAGCAAGAAAGGTTTCTATAGATATCATCCTGAAATTCAAATATCTAAAGGGCAGAAAAAGAAAGCTATGGAAATCAGAATAGATGCCCATAAACATTTTATATGTGCCTACAGCTAAAATATTTTTCAAGGACACTAATCAACTTTCTATTTTGAAGAAAAAAATGGAGACAAAAATACATAATTTTCTCAATCAATATGTTTAGACTGCTCACCTTTAATGATTATAACTTTGGGGATCAATAGTAATTTCTCACTATCACCTATGCCAACCTTGCCATACTATGATCACAGGTTAGGAAGGATACACAGAAAAGAGGACATACATCCATAAGCAGGTACTGTGGAACACTCTATTAATAGAGAGACACTTTTCTTTCAGGTGGAGTGGAGAAGAAAGAAACACTTAGGAAGTGGAGTGTAGAAGATGTGCTCAAGAGGGGGCGGTGAGGCTTTCCGATCAGCACTGAGCCAGCCACTGAGGCATGGACTTCTGGGTTGCAAAGGACAAGAATGAATAGGAGGTACCACATACACAGGCTAAATATTAAGAAGTTCTTTTGCTGTTAGTGTGATATGAAAATGGCATTACTGTGAAAGAGTTTCTGTGTATTTTAATCTCTTTCTGGCTTTATGATTCAGGAAAATGCTGGGAGTAATGGGGATAAATGAACACCATTCGGTGCACTGAGGAGAGATGAAACAAAATATTTCCTTTTCTATTCAAGGCACTATATATTATTTAAAAAATAACTCCTTGTGGATGAAGGTTTTACTTTTAATAAAGTGAGAATTCACGAATAAAAATTTCTGTAAAATTGAAAATTTATTTTCTCTGTTCACTAAAAATTAATGTACTCATATTTCTACTGCTTTAAGAAAAGATTCCCATGGAGTTAGTACCAATCTTCTAGAACAGGTTGGGACAGGACTAAGGATTGGAGTCACTCCATCCTGAGGGACATTCCAAGAGTCCTAATGAAGGCTTCTTACCTAAAACAGATTATGCTAATAAGGGATCTCTAAGTGGAGAAATATTCCCACATAAGATTCCTTTAGGGTTCCATAAAATATTGCTTATTATGCCTTGCCCATTTTATTAACCACTGAATTATGTAGGAATTTTTTCCACTGGATAAATGCCAAATCTTCAGTTTCCTCAGGATTACTCAATTAACTCTGGTTTTCATGAGAATAGAACAAAGTTAGATTCAGAGCAAATAACCTCCTATCTTTAAGAGTATCCCTGAAGGGTCCCAGGTTCGATTCCAGTCAGGGGCATGTACCTTGGTTGCGGGCACATCCCCAGTGGGGGGTGTGCAGGAGGCAGCTGATCGATGTTTCTCTCTCACCGATGTTTCTAACTCTCTATCCCTCTCCCTTCCTCTCTGTAAAAAATCCATAAAAATATATTAAAAAAAAAAAGAGTATAAACACCACCCATATAGGGTTAGTATTACAAAAGGATCTTCCACATTTCTACCCACAGAAATTAATATGAAAGTTGATTCTAATATTACCACTGTAACCTATCACAAACAGTTTTAATCATCAGGAACAGTCACTACTCAGCAAACCTCGAGGTTCATGCACTAAAGCACCTATACTTTTCTTCTAGAAGAAACCCTCTACACTCAGAACCTGAACCTACTGACTTTCACTTTGGACTAAATTCTGACAAATTCAGTTTCTCTTGGAATTTGTTACTGACCAAATTAACCACGTTATTACTTATTCTCTTCCGATAGAAACAATGGTACCAGCATACTTGCTCAGCACGTGCTGTGTGCCAGGCAGGCTTTATCCTAAGTCTCTTTACATGCATTTCTTTGTATAGTGGATAAGATCTTATAAGCTATGCACACTCACAAGATAGAAGACAAACTCCAAGTTAAGAAAATCTTTTTGGACTAATGTTTTGAATTAGAATTTTTACCAAAACTGAACACAACGTGCATTTTCCATACTTTGGATGAAAGTCCTGTTGACTGATGGCGGCACTGCCAGCTGGAGAATGACTATTTAAAATAATTCTAGAAGCTCGGAAAAGGAAGTCATCTAACAATGGTTTAATGAGTGATGAACCTGGAATAGAGCATAATATTCATGTTGAGGATGAACACATATTTTAATTCAAAGATCCTGTCTTGCACTTCATATTAAAGGCAAAGGCACCTAAGCCACTCAATAGCAGGGCATTCAATTTAGTTTAATGCTTAATTTTTGGCAGAGCTCTTGGTGTAGAGGGGTGGGGATGGCTGGTAGGGTCAGGGTACAGGATATAAAGATAGACAAACGAGGGTACCTTCCTTTATGAACTTATAACAGAGTGAAAGGAGTCGAACTTTCATTTTAGAAACACAAATGCCAAGAACACCACAAGATAGATGGTTTGAGTAAATAATTCTAACTTTGGGCATAGGGAATCTACTTAAAGGGTTTTGAAACTTTTAAAATCTTGCCTTCATTAGGTAAAAATAATCTGCCCTTCTCACCCTGGTTTAGAATCACTCTTTTCTATGTATCCCCAGTTGCTAAAAAGATTTTTTTGTAGAGCTTAGTTTGTGTGATAAATGTGGTAATTAATGTTTTGATTTGTTTTCTGAATATAATTATAATACTTAATATATTTGTACAAATTACATATGTAACTCAGGAGACTCATCCATCTTCTAGGGGTAGTGGTTGGGGGCTGCCCCCCTAGAATAAAATTACTCTTAAAAGAAGTAAGGTATACAACAGATTATATTTTATAAAGTACTCAACAGCAAAAAGAGAAAAACCTACTTTGAATTATAATTTTTACTTGGTATTAAGTTATGTGATCCAACTCTTTTGAACACTATAAAATTCCCTATATAGTTTAGTGACACAGGTAAAATATACCTTAAATTCGTTAGGCATTAAGCCAGACAATCTCCTATTGCCTGAAGGGCCAATTTTCTATGCAACACTTAGCACCTATCTTATTTTCCCAATTACACACAATACTATGGCAGGAACTGAAAATGAGCTATTCTGTCACATGACAAGATGAAGCAATAATTACCAAGTATTTCTTTTTCTGCCCCACAGAGTGAAAGAAGGGTCTTAATGAGCCGTAAGTGTCCTGCCAATAAGATGTTGTCTGCTTCACTGGTCTCACATTCAGCTGTGCGATTAGGTTCAAAGTTATCCAGCCAAGTAATCTCATCTTCAAGCATGGTAGCTGGGCTGATTCTTAACTGCTCCATTTCTGAAGCTAAGGGAAAAAAAAATCAATTTCTTAAAGAGAAGTATTTCCCTTTATGGAGTCAAAATCCTGAATTAAAGTAGGCAGAGAGATGTCCCAAACTTTCACTTCGTCAAACTCAAAAAACAAACAAGCCCTGTCATTAATAAATCTCAGGCTAGAGCTGCTACCCACAGGACTATGACAGCTCACGCATGTTCCTTCCTTCCTTCACTCACTCTCAGTCATAAACCAAACACATGCTGAGTGCTTCTTCTGTGCAGGTCACTGTGTTACAAGCTGGGGATATAAGATGAAGGAGACAATCCTTGTTTAAAATAAGCTCCTTTGTTGGGAAGGAAAGATGGAAGGGTATGAGGAGAGCCAATGCTCCCACAGTATTACCTACGCCTATAGGGGGCAGAGTTCTGCAAAGGAGAGAGGTCAACAGCACAGTAGCAGAGTTCAGGATTCCAAACAATGTGCCAAACTCCAAAGAACTGCTCATATGAAGCATATTTCACTTCCCCTCCAAAAAGGATTTAAAACAAGATTCCATATTGGAAATTGGGATTGGGTAGGAGAGGAGTGATTATGCTCTACTTTCCCTGCACTATAAGCCACAGCAAGCAGGGTCCCGGATGAGGAGGTAAAAAGGGATATGTAAGGGTCAGCCAAAGCTGGACCGGCACCAGATACGAATCCTGTCTACTTCTGTCACTCACTTCTATTACTATCAACACATCTCAATAGACATTTCCTCTTTCTTTCAATAATCAACTTCTGAAAAATGATCAGAATGGACCATACTAGAAAGACTTCTTAATAGCTCTGTATCAGTTTAATTAAAGTATAAGCGCCTTTGACAATTTTTAAAATCAACAGATTTTCTCAGCATACAATAGTTGGATACATAATAGAAAACTGGCATATGGGGTTTACATGCTATTTTCAGGAAAATAAAATTCAACCTCAAATGATAGTTATAATCTCACTTATATCTCGATACATTAAGTCAGAATTAGAAATGTCCATTTGGCTTTCTTTTCTCCTTCCCACCCCCTCGAATTTACTCCCCCCATACAAATCAAAGTTAGACATTTACTTACTTGTCAGATCATCTAATAATTGGCACCTCAGGTCAAAATATTCCATACACTGAGACAACAGTCTAAAAAACAGATTTCAATTATTAAAAAGAGTCTGATTTCAAAATAAAAATAATTTTCTTTATTATAAGAAGTTCATAAAAACAATTGAATGAGACTTTTCCTAGCACAAAATAACTACTTTTACATTAATTCAACTTCATTATTTTAGCAAGAGGCACATTAATGATTTTACCGTTACAGATACACATAGGAGTTGTGAAGTATGCTGAGCTGAGACTGTGACACTGAGAAGACATGAGCAGTGTGACCTTTACACAGTGATCTGGCTTGAATTGTTTCAGGCTCTTACCAACCAGGTAAGGGGGAGGTGGGAGATGGAGGTGGGAACTGGGGGTGACAGAGAAGCCTTGGAATTATTTTAACTCTCCAGTCCTGAATTGGGTAAAACACTGAAATGCCCTCTTTCAGACACAAATGCTAGAAGAGGAGAGGAGAGATTCTTCTGTCATCTCCATAATGCACAGTGGACTTTATGGGAGCAGTACCCAACTCGTTATTCTTTCTGTATAATGTGAGCTTTCTCATCTTTATCACGTACCTCTGATTGACTCCTCTCATAATACTAGTTGGAGACCAGAGAGGCAGCTGAGCTGTGAGAATCACACCTAGAAGAAACTGATTTGGCTTCTGTACATCTGGATGAGTTGAAGTATCTGTTTGACTAAGAGTATACAGTTGATCACAGGCAACACGGCGAATCTGGAATTAGTGGCAAAGAACATCCATCATGTTCTTTAAGTGATTGCTTCAAAAATGGTTCTCCTTCAAAGTCTACACTTTGAAGGATACTCTAAGAGTCCGAGTATTTCAATATTAATGGTAAAGTTTACACTGAATAAACTAGGATTAAAAACAAGTGTGTTCTGGGAACTGATTTCCGAAACCATTCTATTATTCTATTCTAATCAATAGATTTATAACTTAATATAAATGAAAATAAGGAAAGTTAATTTTCAAGGTCATGTCAGACAATCAGAATTATAAAATCTAGTGAAAGTTCATGGCTTGAAGTTGGTCTTGATTTTGACCAACATGTTGATGCTTAATGCCAGCTGTCCTTGCCAGCTATGGGTGTTGAACACCGGCTATAATATTTTGTTTGTAATAAACAAAAATTAATTTTAGAACTAGTCTCTTAACTTTTTGAGGGATATGGATTAGAAAGGAGGGCAGGCAGTCCAAACGGTCATTTTGTATGATTCCCCGAGAGGACAAGATGTCATTCCTTCTGTATTCTCTGCAATGTTACAGGTATCCAGAGAGCCAAAGACAGAAGAGGACCAAAGGGGTTTTTTTATGAAGTAATGTAAACAATCCTTACCTCAGCACTTGGCGATCCAAGCAGAATATCGATGATAAAATCAGCAACACAGGGCAAGTTATAGAAAGATGCTAATGATAAGAATAAGGAAAATTGGGAGCAGGGGGGGGAAATTAAGTTAGGAAATACATTTTCAAAATTTCAAAAATTCTGAATAATTTCTTAAGCTTAACTATAACAGAAATTCATCTCTTCTACATGGAATCAAATTCAAAACCTTTGACAACTGCCTCCATGCCTGTGAGCAGGACCATCTCGGTCATCTTTGCACCTTCACATTTTAGTACAATGCCTTGCACATGCCAGTCACAGAATAAATACGTCTTGTGTTGATAAACTACCAATACTTGTGAACTATAAAATATACCCTACCACAAACTTAAATAATGATAAAACTGAAGAGAAGTTATAATTTTTTTCATTTTTATTTGAAAATACCTCTAGAATTAAACAATTATAGGAAAACTTAACTAAGTACTATGGCCTGTGTTCAAAAGTATGTCATGACTCACACTTCTCATATATAAACCTTCAAAAGCATTCTTGTCAAAGTAAATACTTTTGAATACTATTGCAACGTGACAAATCTCTAACCTTTTCTATATGTTTATATTATAAAATGAACTTAGGTGTTACAGTAAATACATAATGATCACATCTATATAATAGGCAGCCTAAATCAGTAATAACAGTGAAGAATAGAGCCCATATGTATTGGCACAATTTTTAAAGGGAAATTTTAAGACTTTATTCCTGAATAAATAAATATTTATTGAGGGCCTACTATACACTGGACAGTGCTGGAGACTGAGTAGGGAACAAAATGGACAAGAATCTGTCCTGATGGAGCTTACAGCCTAGTTGCGGAGGGGGTGATGACAACATGACAAGTAAATCAATTGTATTATTTGTTATAAAATGATAACTGACACAGCAAAAAATAAGGTGCAGGTTTTAGGTAGTGCTGGAGCTTGAGGGGAGTGTTGTGGTTTCTCTAAAAGGTGGTCAGAGAATGTCTCACTGAAAAAGTAACGTTAAGCAAGGACTTGTAGGAAATGAGGAAGAGAGAACAATGTAGACAGATGGCCGAAGAAGATACCAGGAAGAGGGAGCAGCCAGTGCAAGGGCCCTGAGGCAGGAATGTGCGAGGGTGGTTGAAGCAGTCACAGTAGGTGAGGAGAGCTGGAGAAGGTGAAGGCACACAGGTATCAGATTGTGTCTGGCCTCGAAGGCCTTAGTGAAGATTTGGCTTTCACTCAGTGTGAACCGAGAAGCCACTGCAAGGTTTTAAACAGAAGAATGATAGGATCTGACTTACATTTAAGAAGGTCCACTCTGCTTACTGTGTGGAGAATAAACTGCAAGGGTAGAAGCAGGGAGATTAGTTAGGATCCAATGGCTGTGATCCAAGTAAGAGATGATGGCAGATCAGAGGGTAATAATAGTGAAGAGGTAGAATCTAGATATAGTTTAAAGGAGGATGTGCCAACAGCTTAGAAGTGGGGTGTGAAAAAGAAATTGAGGATGACTCCAAGGTTTTGGCCAGAGCAAGACTGCTAAATAATTAAGTTGGGAAAACACTCGGCTGATATGGGCCAGATCAATAGTTCAGTTGTGTATATGCTAAGTCTAGAAAGCCTATTTGAGATCCAAGTGGAAATGTCAGGGGTGTAGTCCAGGTTGGAGACCCAAATTTAGGTATCAGCATATAGTAGAAATTGAAAGCTGTGAAAATGGATGAGACCGCAGTGATGTAGGACTGAGCCCTGGAATGTTTTAACACAAAAAGTTTGATTCATAACAGCCCCACTTTGCTAAAGCCAACAATAAAGTTAAAAGGGCAAATCTTAAATTACATAATTTTTAAGTGAAGTCATTACTGATATATAATTCTAATTCTATAGTTTATGAACTATAATTTGGGTTGTTTTAATTCCCCAACTAGACAGTAAGCTCCTGGAGGGCAAACATACTGCTTTTTATAGCACTCACTACGGAACCTTATATATAGAAGGTGCTCAGTAAATGCTTGCTCAAAATCTCACTACTCTAGCACTTTACTTACCTGTTCCACATGCAAGCGTGCCCCTCTTCATTTCTATAACATGACCTTGTATCTATAAAGGCTCATAAATAATTCCCAACAGAAACCCCTATCCCTAAAGGAGAGGAATCCCAAGCAAGCCTCCTGCATACCCAGCTGTTGGCTCCGAAGCTGTAGGCAGGTAACCAGGAGAGACAGAGCCTCGCCAGCGATCAGGGAGTCTTTGGTGGACACGGACTGCTGGCGCACACAGATGCCTGCGTGCAGGGCAACTGGCTCTCCTTCACTTCCAGAGCTGCAATTGCTTCCTGGAGAGGGCAAGCAGAAGGTTACTATGGTCCCATAGGACCAGTGGATCTTCTCATAGCCTTTTAATGTGTTCCCCAGACTCCTCAAGTGAAATTAAATAGTCCAAGAAGACACTTTGGTCTAAGAAATAAGAGAGACTTAATCACTTTACATGACCCTGACTGATTTATACATAGTTTATGGGGCAAAACTAATTTCAGGTGACAGAACAGTGCAATTTTGGAGCCATTAGAAAGTCTTCCTTGGATGTTAAAAACACTCCTTATTGTGATGCAGATGGGTTACAATATGTAAAAATCGTGTTAATATTTCTGCACTTTATTATATATCTGTCACACATTAAAAATTTTTTTCAATACTGAGGTATACACAAACTCATAGATTGAACAGGGAAACCAAATGAAGCTGAAAAGTAAAGCTACTTATAAAGGTCTAATAGAAATAAGTGGCTGAACCAAGAAAATGAATTTTCCATGTAGGAATCCTAGATGAATTTTTATTACAGCCACAGTTACTGGCCTCATGACATTTTACACTGAGCAAGATAAAAACTGTTTGATTTGGTGTCCCCACTGTTTATTTTTTTTCTTAAATGAAGTATGACATACATATAGGAATGTGCAACCTATACAGAGATGATTCTTACAGCTATTTCTTGCCCAATGCTCTAATTACTTTATCCTTTTTAATCAGTACCTGAACTGCTGAGCCTGTTTCGAATTCCAGCAGGAAACAGAGAATTACTTTCTTTTATTGGTTGGCTACTCCCAACAAGGTCAAGTCGTCCTGCAGCAGCAGCCCACGACAGTCTCATGAAACAAGCCACAGTGGAAGTAAAATCATTTACTTCCATTGTCTACAGAAGGATGGAAAGAGTGTTTGTTACGAGAAAAGGCAGTACTGGAACACAATCCATTGGCTTCTATGACCTACTAGTCTCAGTCTGTGAGATTCTTTCCCTCCAAGATCACCTAGAGCAGTGGTCAGCAAACTCATTAGTCAACAGAGCCAAATATCAACAGTACGACGATTAAAATTTCTTTTGAGAGCCAAATTTTTTAAACTTAAACTATATAGGTAGGTACATTGCTATTAACTTAATTAGGGTACTTACTCCTAAGGCTTAGGAAGAGCCATACCCAAGGGGTCAAAAAACCGCATGTGGCTTGCGAGCCGCAGTTTGCCAACCACGGACCTAGAGGACCACCTTTTTAATGCTTCCATGATGTCCAAAGACTTTCAATATCTCTCTGCTATCTGTAAACAAGGACTATGATCTCCATGCTCTGGCTTTAAATTACCTGGCAACAGTTTTGTTTTCACCATTTCCCCCCTGCCCCACAATGCATTTTTGCCTGTGTGAACTGCCGTGTGACCCCCCTCCCCACCCCGAACCGCCCCCAATAAGGCTCTGATTTTCTCTAACTTTGCTCACGCCCTCCTTTTTTTTTGAACGACTTTCTTCTCTCCAACTCTCCATACTTAGCTCTACATATCTAATCCTAATCTATTCTTCAAGGCCTACCTTAAATGCCACCTCCCACATAAAATCATCCATGATGGCCACAGGTGAAGGTAATTATTCCACTTCCTCTGAAGGTCTATAGAATGTTTTGTCTTTGTAGTTTTCTTATAACACTTGACATTTTCCACCTTGAATTATAGTATTTCCACATAAGTGGTTTCTTTCTTACCATAAATTCCTTTAAGCTAATATTCATGTCAATATTCAATACTAGAGGCCTAGTGCACAACATTTGTGCACTGGGGGGGGGGGGGGTGTCCCCTCAGCCCAGCCTGTGCCCTTTAGCAGTCTGGGAGCGCTTGGCACAGATGGATGTCCGACTGATAGCTTAGGCCCACTCCTCTCGGTCAGTGCATGTCATAGCGACCTGTCATTCCGAAATTCGGTCAATTTGCATATTACCCTTTAATATATAGGATATCCGAATGGTCCCGCTCCTCAACCAGTCGTTTCTAAACAGGAGGTACTTACTAATTCTTGAATACACAAATCACTTACTTGTATTGCAACTCGTGCAGCAGGAATGATTTCCTCCACCCTAATAGAAGACCTATCAGACACTGACAACTGTCGGTAGGACGACTTTTCTGGGGTACCACATAGGGACATCTGCCTGCTGGTCTGCCGGCTAACGTTTCGGAATGGGCGAGAAGAAAGTGCCTCTATACCATCTTTGGCAATGTCTTCATCTAATAACGTGGGCATTGTTTGTCCAACAAGTAAAAATCTTAAAAGGAAATAAAAAGGTAGACTTATTCAAACTCATTTCATACTACTTAAAATGATTGAATTGGTGAGAAAAGTAGAGTCGAGTCTTGCCTTTTGAGACTAACACAACATATTGACATACCTTGCGAGTTGCAGACAGATAGAATAAACTCCCTGCCTTGTTTCATAGTCGACTTCTGATGGGATGGAGTCCCTCTGCATGACATTTACAACCAAACTTCAAAAAACAGAAAGAAGACAGGATATTAAAGACTTCTATTTCTTTCATAAGAAAATTTCTGTAATTTAATTACTAATAAATGTTATCCATCACTCAAAATTCCTACAAGAGCCTTACATATAAAATGAACCATACATATCTTTATCCCAATGACTTCTTATGATACCTATAACCCTTCTCATCCATTTAGAATTAGACTCCTTATTAAGTCAAAGAAGGATCTCCAACATGGAATGTTTGCATAGTTATCTTCTTGCTAACTGGCCTGAGTTTACTAATGTGAACTAACAATTCAAAAATATATCCAGAATTGGTGTATTCAATAAGCTTGTTTTTTCATGGCCACTCCAATCTATATTACTGCAGAAGCTTCCCAACTGTTCTTCCTGCTTCCATTCTTTTTTTTTTTTTTTTAATATATTTTTATTGATTTTTTACAGAGAGGAAGGGAGAGGGATAGAGAGTTAGAAACATCGATGAGAGAGAAACATCTATCAGCTGCTTCCTGCACACCCCCTACTGGGGATGTGCCTGCCACGAAGGTACATGCCCTTGACTGGAATCGAACCTGGGACCCTTCAGTCCACAGGCCGATGCTCTCTCTATCCACTGAGCAAAAACAGTTAGGGCTTCCTGCTTCCATTCTTAATGCTCCACCTCCAAAATCTAGTCTCAAAAGATCAACCAGAGAGATCCTTTCAAGATTAAGTCAGATCATGACACTCCTCCTCTGTACAAATCCTCCAATGGTTTCCTATTTCCTACAGAAAAAAGTCAATTTTCACAGTAGCCTATAAAATCCTACGTAACCTGACCTATGTCTATAATCTCACGTCCCCTCTGCTGCCTGCCTCACTGCCCCAAACACACTGGCCTCCTGCTGGTCTCTGCAGCCATCAGGTGGGTTCCACTAAGGTGGCTGCTCCTGTAGAGAGCTTTCCCTAGGAGATCATGGTCTCACTCTATACCTCCATCATGTCTGTAAAATGTCACCCCATCAAGTAAAGCTTTCCCTGACCATTCCCTCCATCCCCTCTTGTCTTATTTTTCTCTGCAGCTCTTAAAACCACCTGACATACACTGTTACTTTTACTTCTGCCTTTATTATCTCTTTCCCCCTCTAGACAGTAAGCTTCATGAGGATATGGGTTTTGGTCTAATCTATTTGCCACTCTGTTCATTGCTTAGAAAACTGCCTGGCATATAAGTTAACTGACATACAAGAATAAACCAGAAGTAAAATGCCTTTATTACCATAGCTCTGTAATTGGCCGAATAAACTGAATTAAATTGTTGTAAGAACATCTCTACAATATTGAACAAAGAGTAAAACTATATGTGCACTAGGCCTTCCACATGCTTTGGAATTCCTTCAGCTCTCTTTAGTTCTCCTCCCCTTTATCTCTCCATGGTCTCACCCAACTTCTCTTCCCCTCAGGGCCTCCGAACAGAACTTTAACTATCTTCAAGTTGGTTTTCACTCCTGGAAGAAATTGCATGCCTACTTCTTCCTAATGCAAATCTTTCAACTGCAGAACACAGTCCCTCAATTGATCAACCCCTTTTCATCTTTATTTGTCTCTTTTTCATCAGCCCCTTCTGGTCTGCCTACAAAGAGAATCAAGTCTTCTACATGTTAAAACCAAAACAAAAAAGGCAACTTTTCTCTTATCCTTCCCATCAAAGTACTGTCACCCCCTTTAGGTCACTCATTGTAAAGCAGAGACATCCGCATACAGATTCTACTTCCTAGACTTATCCCTGCCACTCAGCTCTACCAACTGCTTATGCCCCAATGGCTGCAATTACACTGATACCTCTCCCAAATCTCTAGTGCCATTCTCCATATCTCTCAAGAGCATCCTATCCAAACCATCCACTACACATGACTCACAGGGACCTCATATGCAATCAAATTAATTTCTCTTGACTTCCTCGGTTTCTTCCATCTCCTTCCATGTTTATTTCCCATAAGGACTAGAGAGTCACCATTTATCCTCTTTCTCAAGCAGCAATCAGGGTCAATCTATAAATGTTCCAACCGTAGTCATATATCTATTCATAAAGACTTGCCCATTTTACCACATAAATGTCATTCTACCATCGCCCTAAATTTAGAACCTGTTGTCTCTTCTCTCGAGCACTGTCACAGCTCTTAACAGTTCTCCCTGAACTTAGGTCTTTTCTACTTCCATTCTTCTCCAATGCAGCCAGAGTAATTGTTCTAGGTAATTCCTGGTTTATAAACTTCCTGTTTTTCCATGGTCTACAATACAATGTTGGGATTCCTCAATGTGACTCTTCTTTACATATTTCTCTCCCTTATCCTTGGCATTAGCCTCACCTGGCAACTATATTCCCAAGAGGGGCTATGTACTTCAGTGCTTCATTCATTCCCTGCCCCCGACCTCTGGCTCAGAGTGCCCCTGCCCTCCTTGTTTACCTAGGGAATGACCACACTGACTACTGGTTTCACAACTCCCAACTCAAATGTCACTTTCAGTGAAGCATTTCCTAATCTTATAACCCCAACCAAATTTAGTCAATTTAACCACTAGTTTCTTTCATAACCTCCACTCCACTAAAGTGATTTTTATAAGCTTTTGTATTAATAGTTATAATAACTGTTAAACCATGAGCCTCTTAAGGGCAGGGATAATACCTAATTTATCTTTGCAGCCTCAGAACTAATGCCTTCCACAACATGGACTACTGGGAATCAAATTCACCTTAGCATAAATGGATGTGGGAATTAACAGAAACCAATTTAGCCTCTTCACCTTTCCTCTTCCTGAGAATCCCCGCTACCAGAGCGGAAAGAGACATGCTTCTCTAAGTTTTTTAAATAATCAAAAATCATAAAATAAATTAAAATATTCCAAAGGCTAAGACATCATTCCTTCTTATTAAAACTCTCATAATGCTTCACATAATACCTTGTAGGAATAAGCAAGGCTTGGCAAGAGAAGTTAATAAAAAGAATAGAATTATTTTCTGCAATTCATGTAACATTATACTGGGACACTAACCTCAAACCACCTGCTTTGAGGAAGTTCTCACAGAAGGATTTTGCACAGTTTCTTGCCATGTCATCATCAGCTGTTGGCATAAGTTTGGAGCTTAGAACCTTGAAATAGATAAGCACAATTAATCATTCCAACATTTCCAGCAGAAATTATTCCTTTACTAAATAATCACACAGGCCGAAACCGGTTTGGCTCAGTGGATAGAGCGTCGGCCTGCGGACTGAAAGGTCCCAGGTTTGATTCTGGTCAAGGGCATGTACCTGGGTTGCGGGCACATCCCCAGTAGGAGATGTGCAGGAGGCAGCTGATCGATGTTTCTCTCCCATCGATGTTTCTAACTCTCTATCTCTCTCTCCCTTCCTCTCTATAAAAAATCAATAAAATATATTAAAAAAAAAATAATCACACAATTCAAGTCACAATTTCTTTAAATGCTGCATGCCATTTTTCCACCCAGAAGTATAAGGAGGCTGATGTTTCACAAATAAATAATCACATTTTCCAAGTTCTATTTACTTAGCAACAAAAACCTGTTTTGAAGAAAGCTGATGTGCTCTCTTTTCATAAAACCAGCAAATGTGAATGTCTCTGTCTCTCAGGCTTAGATAAGAATAGATGATATGCTAGATATGTTATTTAAAAAGTATGTAAGTTAAGCCTGGCTGGTGTAGTTCAGTGGTTGAGCATTGACCTATGAACCGGGAGGTCATGGGTTCAATTCCTGGTCAGGACACATGCCTGGGTTGTGGGCTCGATCCTCAGTGTGGCAACCGATCAATGATTCTCTCTTATCATTGATGTTTCTATCTCTCTCTCCCTCTCCCTTTCCCTCTCCCTTCCTCTCTGAAATCAATAAAAAAAAAATTCGTATTTTTTAAAAAAGTATGTAAGTTTTATAAAACAGCCCATTTACTAAAAGTGCTAGATGAGTCCCCACTAATGATTCTAACTTGTTCCTACTTATTGAGCATCTAGGTATAAGATGAGGTACTTAACATGCATTATCTCATCTCACTATGCATGGCATATGTACAGTATTTAATTTTATAGGTAAAGACTGTGACCTGAGAGGTTTAGTGACCTCCCATCCAAGGTCACATGGTTAGAATTTAAATCCAGATGTATCTCACTTTAATATCCATGGCCCTTCTATAACACTCTTATACCTACCTAAAGAAAAGCTTAACTGAATATTTTGGTATGACAAGAGAATTATTTCACAGAAATAATCTCAGGCATGTAAGTTTTCTTTTTGCCTCAGTTTTCTCATCAGCTAAATTGGGATAATAACTACATTTACCAGAGGATTGTTTGGATTAAATAAGATAATGCAAGCTTAAGGTGCTTAGCATAAGCACAAGGCACAAAGCATAAAGAGCTGGCTTATTTAATTATTATAATTTAAAATTTTAAATAAAGACTCATTGTCTCAATTTCTTCAAGGGTTTAAACTAGATGTAATTCAAGATCCTTTCCTATTCTAAAAAAAATAATCTGCTCCTATGAACCTATGGGGTTCTATGAGCTTAGATTTTTAGTGTGAGATTTTTTATTTTTAAAATGCTTTCCTCCTGAGTTGCTCTTTGGGAAACAGTTTCATCAGCCCTGATTCATGAACCTTACATAGGAAAATGGAAACCCTCTGTGACTCTAATTCTTCTATGAGAGAGTGCTGACAGCCACGTGCACACACTCCCCATGCTTAATGGATAATAATTCAGTGAAAATAAAATGTTTCTCCAAATCAATGGGTATTTGGAAGATCCACTAAGAAGTTTCTTAGTAGGCAAACATAAGTTAAAGGTTAAAATGGGAGGAATTGAATCTTTCTAATAGTAAAGATAAGTGCTTTTGGGAGTGTTATGTTTTCTAAATGTTTTGTGTTGTCTAAAGCAAAAGAAAACCTACCAAAGGAATCCCAGTTAACAGAAGTCCTAAAATTGTACTGGAGGCATTTTGCTACTGAGTCCTTTGGCTCTAAGATACTGCCATCTAGGTAGCTGAAAGACAAGCTAGATCCACTGTTGGGTCATTTTGCTTTTCTAGGTGCTCTCAAATGTGTGTGTTAAGATTTATACCTTAACTTTTGAGACAATCATTTGAAAGCAAAAGACAAATCTGGCAGCAGTAGAAAGTTCAAAATTTATAGGCTTAAACTGGCCAAGAATTTCTAAGCAATTTTCTGTTTTGGGATAGTCTACCTATTTTAAATGCCCACATCAAATAAAGGTATGCTTTATTTTTTAAATATTCACTAAGTATTTTCTACTTTTGAATCCAACACATCTTTTGACAAGAGTAATTATTTTAAGGCAAATGTGAAATGTTACCACAGTTTGAACATATAAGCAACAAGTAGACCATAAAATGAATCAATCTAATTATATACTCCAAATTAGATTGTCAGATGAAATAAAACTTAGAAAAAATGTCCAACCAGGTACCCATTAGTAATTATGGCCTTTATCATCACTCAAAATCTACTCAACATTAATTTGATAATTAAGGCTGCTTAGGTAGTGCTATGGATTCTTTAATAACGAACTGCCTGGATATAATTTCCTAGGTCAAGCAAGATCATCTAGGGCTTTATTTTCTCCAGACCTAACATGCACAAGGGTCCGATCGCTGACCCTCCAGGAGCAGGACTGTTTCCACCTGGTCCCCTGGTCACTCTCCCACATCGCTTTGTTAATGCTTGGCTTTCAAGACTCAGCATATCCAGCCTCTTCCTATGTCTTACTCATAAGACCTGGGAGCGAATATCTTGTCTTTCCAACTCTGACCCCCTAACTATCACAATAACTTGTAGATGGTAAGTAATTAGTAAATGTTTACTGAACTAAATCTACTTGTTTAAAGCCACTTTGGAGGAGGAGGGTAATAAAAATATTCTTTTGCTCAAATTCTTCTAACCGTTTTTTTATAACCTTGAAATAATCATGTTAACATGTCTTCTGACAAATTCCTCATAAAGCTGCATTAATGTAAACAATTACAACAGTTTTTTAAAAAGAAGATACATTTAATAGCAAGTAGGTTTAGGATTAATAACTGGCATTATATATAATCACAGAACTTCTAGAGGAAGGTAAAGACACATTTTAATAGATAAAGCTTCCTAATTATTTATTTAGATGCTATTTTGCAAGTATAACAATGCACATACGCATATACTGAAAAAAGTTGACATTTACAAAGGCAAAAACCAAAATATTCCAATTTATATTCTATTTTGTACTTTTTAAAAACTAAGTTTTAACAGAGTAAACCTGTTAACGTGTTTCTGTCATCAGAAAGCATGATTCTACAAACCAAAACGAAGTGCAAAGAAATAGGTTTCTTACTTCTAAGTTGTAAAGCACTCGAAAGGTGGACATTCCTGGAGCAAAAGATCGAAAGAGACTCTCTAGAATTGAGCTGGCGCTTGGCTGGTGCTGCTGCTTTGAAGAGAGGGATGGAGATTTTGAAGACTGAGAGCTTGTTTCAGACAGCAATGTTTTCTAAGTTAAGAGAATGAAAAAGAGAATGTATGTATTAAAAGCACAAATTAAAAAGAAACAGGTATCTGTATACATTCTGATAGTCTTTTCCTTTTAAATAGAATCCACACCAATGATATTTTCTAAAACTTAATCTCATAAAACCACATGAGCTCTACAGTTATTAATTAGACACCAAATTCTATCTGACAAACTATACATGCTCAACAGCATGACAATCCTATTTTAAACAACATCAACAAGGTCATCTTAACTTGTTTTGTGAAAAACTTGTACCTCTAAATACTGATAATGAAGTTATAAGATTGCAAAAGTGGTAGTTTTGAGAATTTTTTGAACTAGTACTAGTGATATGTTTTATTACATTAGCTCTCTTCTCCCTCAAGCTAGTATATAAGCCAAATATGACAAGATTAAGTTGTCTAAATGTCAACCCCTTAAATATAAAATTCATAACTTAATTCTAACAACTTTGTTATAAATTAATTTATTCTGAGAACATAAACAATGTTATGGATTAAACACAATTTCAATATATACATAATGGAACGATATCCTAAAAACTAAATAAAGTGAATTTTACGTATCAACAGTGAGAAACTGAAAAGATAACCAAATCACAATCAGAGAGGCATCATGAGAGAAGAATCGGAGCCAGAGTCTAAGCCTGGTACTCCATTCTCTCTGGGCTTTGGTTTCCTAACATATATCATGAAGGTAGAAGTAGATGATATGAAAGACTCTTCTGGTTTTAAAATCTGACATAATTTTTCACTCCATTTTGATACTTTAAAAGCCAACATGAAGTTCTGATTTCCATTTACAGAGAAAGTATTTTTCAAAAGAAGAAAAATCATTAAGAAAAAGGTATCAAATGATGTAGTGTGATTTGGTGTTGTATTGTCACTGAATCATGATATAAAATTCCATGACAGTTAATTAACCCCCCTAGATACCCATACCTTTCTTCCTAAAGAATCCAGTTGGTCAAGGGCTTCCTGAATGGCTGGATCAGTGGGTATTAAGAGCAGAAGCTTTCGTACTCGTAGAGTTATCCTGAAATTTTTCAAATTTGAAATTTTTTCAGATAAATCACAGTTTCAATAACAGAGTCATTTAGAATTAGATGTAAAGTAAATCCATTTCAAGGGAAAAGTTTCTTGGTTCCCTATATTTATATTTACCTTGGCTCCTCTAGATTGGCAAGCTGGTAAAGCATGTCAAATACATTACACACAAGTGCCATCACAACACCAGGAAGGGATTTCTCCTAAGGGAAAAAAGGCAAATATAAATACAAATTTACAAAAGAATTATCTTTTTTTAATCAAACGTACAATACAAATATTAGTTCTGAAACCTGATCACTGGGAAAATGGAGGGGAGCACAGTGATCATCTGCATGAAGCGCACATGGGAACAGTTGGAGATCTCCCACCTTCTGGTGTGCTTACTACCTGGGCTCTCCTCTCATACCCACCTGCTGGTGGGGGCTCAGGTGCCCAATGGTAGGCAGAAGAAGAGAGATAAAACAAAGGTAGGTGTAATTACTAGAATGGAGAGTGGGCACCACTGAAAGCTGACCAAGAGCTCATCAGGAGGAAACAAGCCAATGAGTGACTTAAAAGCAAAATGAAAGTCATATTAGAAGCCTGGTGCACGAAATTGGCGCATGGAGGGTGGTGTCCCTCAGCCCGACCTGCACCCTCTCCAATCTGGGACCCCTCGGGGGATGTCTGACTGCAGGTTTAGGCCTAATCCCTAAACCGGCAGTCTGACACCTCTCTCACAATCCAGGACTGCTAGCTCCTAACCGCTCCCCTGCCGGCCTGATGGCCCCCAACTGCCCTCCCCTGTCGGCTTGATGGCTCACAGCTGCCCTGCCCTGCCGGCCTGATCGCCCCTAACCGCCTCTGCCTTGGCCCCTACAACCGTGGCTTTGTCCAGAAGGAAGTCTGACATCTGGAAGATAGCTGGTCACCCGGTCTAATTAGCATATTACCCTTTTATTAGTATAGATATATACACAAACACATATGCTCACACACAATACATAGATATATGTGTAATCTAAGTGATTTTTCTAAAGGTAAGAAAAGAATATACATGTATAGAAGAGACTCAGATGTGATTAAAGGAATAAGAAACTAGACATCCCCAAAATGTATTTATATAGGTGAAGATTTTTAATAATTCAGAATATGAAATAACATATTAAACTTGAAGATGCTACATACACTATTTCTGTTGCTAATTAACTGTCATAATACCATTTCTGAATGAAATTTCTTTCTTAAATTCCTGCTATATATAAGTACTGTCTAGTTATTTTTTTAAAAAATCCACAGTACTAATACTAACCCTGAAGGATTCTTTGACATCTATAGCAAGATTATGCTAAGTTAAAAACATACAATCACACAAAGACCTGAAAGCCAAGTGAAGAAAATATTTCAAGGGGAAGTGATCACATGTACCAACTCCGCTGAAAGGTCAAGAAGATGAAGATTGAGAGGCCGAAGTAAGAGATAACCTTGAAAAGAGCATTAAAAAGAGGATGGCAAAAGAGTTCAAAGAACTCTTTCACCAAGAAGCTTTGCTGATCTGGGAAGGAGAGAATAGGGCAGGAACTGAAGGTGAAACTGGGGGAAGAGAGAGTTTTTTTTTTAAGGTGATAGAAATAACACAGCATGTGTGACTGCTAATGGGAAAATCAATGACTCAATGGAGAGAGGTGGATGAGAGGAGCAGCAGAAGTGGCCAGACAGAATGCTTCAGGACTCAGAAGAGTCTGTGGTCCAGAAGACTGATAAATTATGTATCTCCTCCCAATGATGCCCAGTGTTTCCCAGGGATACATTTCTGAAGAGTCAGGATTTGTCTGAGAGGAAAGGACACAATCATCCAATCTATATGGGCTGAAGACAAAGATATTAAAATCCTGTTTTAAAAAAGAAATGATTTATCACTCAATACCTGCTCCATGGCATATGATGAACTAAAAACTCCACTGCTGCTGCTGCTGGAGCTGGTGGAGGAATCTGCAGAGCTCCCGGATGGGGTTCCGCTGCCAGAAGTCTTCACCGTAAGCATCTGTTCATCAGAAAAGCCCAGCTGGTGGAGTAACTTTTGATCTTTATTTACTGTCAGCTGCAAAAAGAGGTTTCTTAATTACTGAGAGGAAAAGAGGATAGTAGTCATATCAGGCTAAAGGGCCACAGTTTATTTAAACCTACCAGACTATCATTTGTAAATATCTGTATATTATCCACAGGACAGCACAACTGCTTGGCTATCTTCCACCGGACACTCCCTATGGTTTCATTACTGTGAGCCTGTAAAATAAAATTAAACTGTTGTAATGCATTTATTTGTTCATTTAAACAACTGTTAGTGAGCATCTACCATGTACTGAGCACTGTTCTAAAAGCCAAGAACAGCAAAAAACCAAAGACAAGAATCCCTACCCTTGAGAGGCTTCCCTTGTGCTGTAAGTAAAAGTTCTATTCCCTCCTCCAACCCCCTCATCACACATGGAATAAAATCTCAAGTCCTTCTTCCACAGCAGGTCTTCCATTCTTTCTTTCCTTTTCTCATTGTCATTCCAGCCACCTTGCTTGACATGAACAAGCCAAGCAAACCCCCACCTCAGGGCCTGTGCATCTGCTGCCCTTTGTTTGGAATGTCCTTCTCCAGAAAAGGCTTGCTCTGTCACCTCATCCAGTTCTGTGTTCAGATGCCACCACCTCAGACCTTCCATGCCCACCTCTATATAAAGTGTGATTACCTCTATAGTGATCACATAGTGTTCTGCCATAACCATCACCTCTACCAGCTTATTCTCCGTTATTTTTAACTAGAGGCCCAGTGCACGAAATTCATGCACAGGGGGAGGGTGTGTGTGTGTGTGTGTGTGTGTGTGTGACTCAACTTGGCCTGCACCCTCTCCCACCTGGGGCCCCTTGGGGGATGTCCAGGACCGCTCACCTGCCTGCCTGCCTGATCACCCCTAATCACTCTGCCTGCCTGCCTAATACCCCTAACTGCTCCCTTGCCTGCCTGATTGCCCTTAATCTCCTTTGCCTACCTGATCACCCCTAACCACCTCTACCTGCTGGCCTGATCGCCTCTAACCACCTCTGCCTGCCGATCTGGTCGCCCCTAACTGCCCTCCCCTGCCGGCCTGGTCACCCCTAACCACCTCTGCCTCAGCCCCCGCCACTGTGGCTTTGTCCAAAAGGACGTCTGGGAGATGTCTGGTCTAATTAGCATATTACCCTTTTATTAGTATAGATGATACTCACCACCACCTGATATTGTATTATGTATTTGCCTATATGTCTGTTTATACCCCATCAGTTCCCTTTCATTTCAGGTCTTTATTCTAAATTTGTTTACCAGCTTTTAGACTAATCACTCATACATCTTTATCAATAGTGTTGTGAAAGTAAGACAATATGAAAATGGCCACAAAGCTTAATGTAAACCCACCTCTACAGTAAAGGTATCTTTGGTAGACTCATAAGTAACATTAAGCGTTAGAAGATGTCCATGAAATGAGGCACCATGAGGTAGAATAGTTCGTAGAACAGAGTAAAAATCCTTGAAAAAGATAATAAATCAAACAAGTTAGATTCACAGTGCCACTGTTAAACATCTCAAAAATACATACTAACACATTGAGTCTAATAATGGGATGATTCAGTTGCTTTAGAAAAAAAGAGAGGCTTACCTCTATAGTGATCACATAACGTTCTGCCAGAAGCAGCAACCTCTCAATGATTACAAGTTTAGTGGATCTATAGATTAGAAAAAATTTTAAACATATTTGAAATGAATTGCTGATTTGAGCTCAATTCCAGTCTGTTTCACCCAAACCCCAATCAACAGGTAGCAGTCATTGGTCAAAGACTGAAATTTGCAAAGACGAAACTTCCCTTTCATCCAAGGAGAAGGTAACGCAAGCAGTCCACAGCTGCAGCGCACAGATGGCATAAGGGAGGAGAAGACTGACCCTCCCACATTTCCTTTCCTTTCCTGTTCTTTTCTTTCTTCTTTTTTAAACAGTTGTTCCATAAATAGAGGACCTGGGTCTCCCCTGGGTATCCAGGCCCATTTGTCCGTCAATCCACCAAGAATAAAAAATCAGTGAGCTTGACTCTCATTATTTTACAACTAAAATATGCTACATAATTCCGTAAACACAAGGAATCAAAGTTCTAAACTGCCTGAAAATTAGAAGACAAATGCAAACCAGGAAGTATTCTACAAGTAAGAGTTGCTATTTGGTTTTTAAAAATAATGTTTATTTTCAATTATAATTGATGTACTATATTGTATTAGTTTCAAATGTACAACCCAGTGATTAGACATTTATATCACTTACAAAGTGATCATCCTGATAAATCTAGTATCCATCCAACACTACATATTTATTATTATACTAAAGGCCCGATGCACGAAAATTCGTGCAAGAGTAGGCCTTTCTTCCCCTGGCTGCCGGCACTGGCTTCCCTCTGGCATCCGGGACCCAGGCTGCTTCCCTCTTCCGGCCGCCTGCAGGCACCCGGGGCCTGCGCTGGCTTCCCTCCGGCCTGGCTTCTTCAGGAAGGATGTCCGAATGATGTCCGTCTAGTAATCTTTTATTATTATAGATTATTAACTATATTTCCTATGCTTTACTTTATAGTCCATGAATATTCTATAAGTATCAAATTGCACTTCTTGATCCCTTCACCCCTTTCACTCATTTCCCTAACCCCCTTCCCATCTAGCAACCATAAAAATGTTCTCTGTATCTATGAGTTTGTTTCTATTCTGCTTGTTTATTGTTTTTTAGATTTCATATATTGGTGAAATGTTATGGTATTGTCTTTCTCTGTCTGACTTATTTCACTCAACACAATGCCCTCTAGGTTCATCCATGTTGTTGCAGATGGCAAGATTTCATTCTTTTTTTTTTTTTTTTTATAGCCGAGTAGTATTCCATGATGTATACACACCACCTTTTCTTTATCCACTCATCTACTGATAGACACTTAGGTTACAATTTGTTTGAATTAGGCTAAGAATGAGGAGAAAAGGAAGAATAAACAATTATTCATCTGTGAACATTCTGTATAGTTCAAACTTAAAATATAAGAATTTGTAATCTAAGGGTTTTCAAAGTACTTAAGAAATCAACACATAGGACACATAACCATCTCTGGGACAGAAAACACACAGCAAGGGAGCATGGAGTTCTAACAGACTCTGAAAATGAGACCTGAGGTCTCTTTTAGTCAGACTTATGAACTCCTTATCATGTGAAATATAGTCGGCCCTCCATATCTGTGGGTTTAGCATTGTGGGTTCAACCAACTGTGGATCAAAACACCTTGAAAAAACAAAATCCCAGACAGTTCCAAAATGCAAAATTTGAATTTTCCATGAACTGAACACTACCCTGAATCCACACAAATGAAGTGATGTGTAGGTATACCCTGCTGTAGCTTACATGCAAACATAAATTAATGCAAATACTACATCATCTATCTATATAAAAGCGTAAGTGACTGTTGCAACCGAATGGCTGACCGAATAGGCTGCGTGGAGTGACCAGGCCAGTAGGGGGCGGTTAGTGAGGGCTGACCAAATAACTGAGCATCAGGCTGTGTGGGGCAACCAGGTCGGCAGGGGGGGCAGTGAGGGGCGATCAGGCAGGCAGGGAAGCGGTTAGGAGCCAGCAGTCCAGGATTGTGAGAGGGATGTCAGACTGCTGGTTTAGGCCTGATCCTGGCAGTCAGACATCCCCCGAGGGGTCCCGGATTGGAGAGGGTGCCTTGAATACCAAGGGATGACTCTGATAGGACTGACTCCAATATCCAGCACTTACATAGTCACAGCTCCATAACTTTACTGAAGAGAATGCTACATGTGTTCACACTGAGAGATGAAACATCCAAATGCCTTTTAGTATTTGCTATTCCAGAAAGTCTACTTCAAATAGGTATATTTCTAAAACTGAAAAGAGGTACCACTGTTTTCTAATACTTGATTAGCAGTATTGGAAATTTTACTTGAAAAGAGTTGGTTAAATACATATTAACAGTTCTGTTAAATACATTTAACAGAGTTCTGAATTCTTTCAGTCTATAAGCAGGAACCAGATTTGATATTCAGATGGAAAATCTTTAGGAAATATCTAAGTGCTATAAGTGCATTGTTGAGTGCACTGTTTTAATTATGCTCAATAATGAATTAACCGCAGACATCAACATAGCACACTGAACAGCTGAGAGAACAGCTCCTCCCCCTTGAGCTGGAACAATTATGGTCACTAAAAAGTTCTTTCAAAACTGGTAAAATAATATAAAAACAATGTCCTGGTTCAAATGCAACACTGATATTATACATTCTTATTAACTGTTTTTAAAGTTTATAATAAAAATATTTAAAAATTATGTGGTTTTGCTCTGTAGTCAAATATGAAATGATTTACAGTAAAAATCATTTAGTAAAAAGGAAAAAAACACTTATGAACCCCAATATTTCATATATGCATTTCTATTCTGGTTTGTCAGACAAATGAATCATTGAGAATCTAGGTCATAGAGATGGACTACAATTTATAAACATATAATTAGAAATTCTCAATGCACATTCTTAGTGAAAGTCTATTTATGAGATACTTCTAAACATGTGGGAATGCAAAAGCCATGTAATGTGTTCTTATCATGAGTTCAATAATCACTTTCTGCCATTTAAAAAAGAGGTTCTAGAGGGTTGAGTATTATTGGCTGCCTTCACATTAATAAAACATCACTATACAATACTCATTTTTAAAAAGATAAAGAGTGTGAGCAAGGATATTGTTTTGATTCCATTTCTAAATAAAATGAAAAGGAATATACCCAACTGTAAATTAAAATACATACACACATTCCAGGAGAGAGACTGTATGAGTACCCATCACTAGAGGGCAGCAGAGTGAGGTGCAGAGACCTTCTATGAGCCCCTGCCAAGGTTTCCTGGGAATCACTGATTTGGTGCTGCTTACCAGTAATGGAAGACTCATAAAGCCTCACAAAAATGTTCTAGTTGTTTCAATCTCATGTTTCTAAATATTTATCTATTCTACTTACTATATCAAAAAACTGGAACAAATACTGAATTCAGATTTCACTGATTGAAATCTCTAAACACAGCAATGTGATTAAGAGACAATGTCAGTTCCGTTTTAACACAAATATTTGGGGATGAAGTTCCCATAAAACATTATTTTAAAAAATTATTTTAAGTAAATAGTATTTTAACTGTGAATATATTATAATGTACACTTTTAATTAATCATCATCTTCCACTTCATTTTGCTTATGCTATGAATGCTTTGGATTTATTATTCAAGGAGAAAATTTGTAAGATGTCTAAGTAAGTAAATATTTAAAACGTTAAAAAATTACTCTTCTTCTAATTAATGGATCTTTATTCCATCATAATAGAGAAATTACTCACTACACAGTTTAAAAAAGTTAAATGAATAAAAAACTCACAAAGAAACCTTGTCTACTAGGTAGAGGAGTAGGAGCAGAGTAACATTTGGGTGGTTATGATAATGACCTACAAATCTTCAAGAGATACAAATTTGGGGATATATAATGGAAAACATAATCTCCCAGGATAATGACTGTTTGCAAAGTTTTGAAATAAAATGAAGAAATCAACAATTGAGAGATCTCCATAGGAGGGGAAAAAAATGTATCAATTATTTTTTAAACTGATATATATATGTATATATATATTAGTAGCCCTGTGCATGAATCCGTGTGCGAGTAGCTTGCTGCCGCTTGCCTCAGCTGGCCACCCCACCCACCGCCACTGGTAGCTCTCTACCACTCTTAGCTCGCTGCCCCGCCCCCTTCTGTAGCTCTCCGCCACACACACACACACACACACACACACACACACACACACACACACACACGTAGATAGATAGTGTATTTGTTGTAACTTCTGCAATCACTTACCTATATGGAGACTGAACTGATGTTGCTACAGTTGGCATGGCAGTTGCTGTAAGCATTTTTGTTGCTCTGGTCACAGCATGTGTTAGAGTGGGGCCGCCAAGTGCTGAACTGGCTGCCTGTGAAATAAGAAATAATCATTCTAGATCAGGATTTCTCAGCCTCAGATCAATTGGCATTTTGGGCTGGAAACTTCTCTGTTGTGGAAGACTGTCTCAGGTATTGTAGGATATTTAGCAGGATATATATCCCTGACCTCTACCAGCAGGTGCCAGTAGGATTCTTCAAAATGTGACAACTAAAAAGGTCTCCTGACACTGCCACATGAACTGTGGGAGGCAAAATAACTCCCAGTTGAGAACTATTCTATGTATGTTAATACATGGTACCTCACTTAGAGGTATTTTTTAAATAAATTTTTGATTTCAGAGAGGAAGGGAGGAGAGAGAGATAGAAACATCAATGATGAGAATCATTGATCGGCTGACTCCTGCTCACCCCCCACAGGGATTGAGCCCCCAACCTGGGCATATGCCCTGACCAGGAATTGAACCATGACTTCTGTTTCACAGGTTGACACTCAACCACTGACTCACACCAGGCAGGCTAAATGTTTTTTATGATGACCTATCTGGATGGAAGTCATGACTTGGGAAATCCTACACATATTCTAGCACATACTCATCACCAAAATGTTTAACTTATTAACATTTGGGGGAAGTAGCACTTTATATTTTTGGAATACTCTTTATTGGATATAAAAAACAAGCACAGATTAAGAGAGAAGATGAATGTTCAATGTTTTAACTTACCATGCTGGAAATAAGGCATTACATGTGAAATGAATTACACAGCAGGCTTTCTAGGGGGAAAGACAACCAACAACACCTACTAATGAGTGTCCTGGTATGGCCTTTAATAGCATTTATAATATAAACTAGGTGAAACATGGGAAGCATGGAAAAAGAAGCAAGTGCTTGTATAAAAGTCCTGAACCAAAAAGTAAAAAGGAGGAAAAGAATCCATTGGAAATGTGGAGTGGAGCAGACCCGAAGACAGAAAACAGGTTCCTATACCCTCAGAGGGAGGTGGGTAAAGCAGGGAAGAGGGTGGTGGAGGAAGAAGAAATGTCCTATAGACACTTGTATGTGGGGGCATCAAGGCAAGCATCTGCTCCCTGCATTACAATATGGCTGGTTCACAGATTCTTCAACAGGATCCAGCCACAAATAGCAACTACATACATGATCTCAAAATATAAAATTATAAAAGGAAAGAAAAAGAAAGCATTTATTTAAAAAACAGGTTAAATAAAATTTGCTACTCACTTCTAATCTTGTATAGCAATCAGCAATGAATTTCTTATGCAATGATACAGAATCCTAAAAGTAAGAGGTATATGGAAATTAAACTTAGTCTGGCATTTATCTGTAATCATTAAGGACAAATGTCAACATAAAGAAGTCAATTTTTAGGCATGCTAACTTATAAATAAAAGTAAATACAATCTTCTGCCCTTTAGTGTTTGACTACCTTCTTCCTGTAGATACCCACCTTCTTTAACCTAGGATTTAGATTAATGTAACTATAGTTTATGATTAACTGAATAGCTTCATTTGCAATTTCTTCATCAGGTGATTCCATGGCTATTTTCCAAATGAAATCCATTCCTATCAATTCCAGCTTTTCTACATACTGTTCAAAAGAAAAAAAAAATAGTACACCAAGGTCACAAAATTATAATTATTTTCTGTTACACTGTAAGTTCACACCTCTTTAGTTCAATATGAATTAAGGCTGTAAAAATCTAACTATATGAGAACACCACTGTACCAATATGGAATTTAAAACAAAAGATAACCAACCACAGAAACACTGGGCCATGCCCAAGGGAACCAGAGTAGATGTGAAGAAGATTTTTTCCACATACACCTACACCCATACTAGACATCTACCCAACTGAACTACTGATGCAGAACTAGCAAAGCGTGAGATGGGTGCCATCCTCAGGAGCTTTTTTTCAGAAGAAAATGAAGTCAAGCTAGAAGTAGTTAATACTCCTTGGAGCTCAATTCAGACTTCCCAAGGGCTTAAAAGGTCTTGTAAAAATTCTTACCATCCAGGAAACCAGGTCAAGAAATGTTCTTAGAAAAGAGAGTTACTTTTTGCCTTTCTTTTTAAAGGGGCACATATATATATATATATAAACAGCTGTACACATTCTATAGATCATTTTCCTGCTTCATTGTCTGCTCCTAAATTTTTCTCCCCAAATCCTTGCCACTGCAATCTCAGAACTGAAGACTTTGTTACTTTGTTAGGAATATGCGGGTTGATGGGTCTGAGGAGTTGGAAGTGTAGATGGAACTAACCTACTCTACACTGACCTAGCCTCAGGAAGCCACTGGCAGCCCCGGGTCAGTAAGAAGCAGAGGGATCTAAGAGGTCAGTTGTCATCAATGCAGAAAACAGCAGACAAAGGATACCCAGTCTTTTAAAAAACTTCATGTTTCACTATGTTTATAACATGTTTTTGCTGAATATAAAATTTTACCAGATTATTTAAATTATTCAGATTCGAGAATAATGTACTTACCAACTGAGCTCCTTGTCTTTTCAATCGATGATCACAGAGATTCACATTTTCAAAAAAAGTCTTAAATAAGTTAAAACCTGAAATTAGAGAATGTCAAATAAATTCCTGTACTGTAAGCAAAGACTCAAAAGCATATCAAGGACTGAAACTAAAATACTCAGGACAAAACATAGGCACAAATTTTTAAGACCTTGGATTAGGCAATGGTTTCTTAGATATGGTCCCCCAAAGTACAAGTAACCAAAGAAAAACAGATACATTGGACTAAATCAAAATTAAAAACTTTTGTACTTAAAAGGACTGTCAAGAAAGTAAAAAGACAACCCATAGAATGGGACAAAATATTTGGAAATCATATTTCTGACAAGGAGCTAGTATGCAGAATATATAAGGAACTCTTACAACTCAACAACAAAAAAAAAGACAAATAACCTAATTAAAAAATGGGCAATAGATTTGAATAGGCATTTCTCCAAATATATACAAATGGCTGGTAAACACATGAAGAGTCAATCTCATTAGTCTTCAGGGAAATGCAAATCAATACCATGCGATACCACTTCACACCCACTAGGATGGCTAAAATAAAAAATATAGACATTAACAAGTACTGGTGAGGAAGCAGAGAAATTGAAATTCTCACACATTGCTGGTGGGATTATAAAATAGTGCAGCCACACTGCAAAAGTTTGGTAGTTCCTCAAATATTAATTTTCTGATATAGCAATTCCATCCTGGGTATATATGCTCAAGAGAAATAAAAACCTCTTGTCCACACAAAACTTGTACATGAATATTTGTAGCAGCATGATTAATAGCCAGAGAGTGTTAACAACCCAAATGTCCATCAACTGATGAATGGATAAACAAAATGTGGTATAGGTTCACAAAGGAGTATTATTTGGCCTAACTGGAATGAAGTACATGCAACAACTAACCTGGGGTGAACCTTGAAATTATCATGCCTCAGCATAATGAAAAATGCCAGACCCATATTGTACAATTCCACTTATATGAAATGTTTAGATTAGGAGAGTCCATAAAGACAGAAACTGGATTAGAGACTGGGGGTATGGATGAACGGGGAGTGACTGCTAAAAGGTACAGAATTTCCTTTGGTGATGAAAATGTTCTGGGATTAAAAAGTGGTGAAGGTTGCACAACTTTGTGAATATACTAAAAGCCACTGATTTTACACTTTTAAAAAGTGAACTTTATGGTATATAAATTATGTATCAATAAAAAATTTCAGTTAAAATAAACACCCAAAAGGAAGATTCCTATACTTTGAGAAATTTTGACTTTAAATGAATCCTTTTTGTTCTAAGTAACTTCATAAAAAGACAATTTTGGCAATTTGAGTTATCAGGCCATATGATTTAAAAAACTAATTATAAGATAACATTTATACAGAAAAGAATTTATCATGCGACAGGAACAAAACTGTACACAAACAGAATTATAAAGGCAGTGCTTATTAAAAATACATTTCATTTTCAAAATGTGTATAAATATTTAAGTATGTATACATTTTTGTGGGGCACCCTGTATAAACATCACAAACATATTCCATACTGCTTGGTTGCTTCTTGAAAGTTGGCTTAGAAGGGAAGAATACAATTTTTTAAAGAACTGAAAAAATGATTCTGTGTTTTTTCCTACCATTCATAGTGATTTCATATGATTCCAATTTAAGAATCTTCTCCTTGAAAAGCTGCTGCTGAACATCACTCTCAAGGTCATGTTGCCCTTTTGTAAACCATTCAAAACACATCTGTGGATCAAGACAAATATTACCCTACAACTAAAATCCACTCCAGAAAAATACATATTCCAAATTGGGACAGTAAAGATAAATTAGTTGTAATTCTTCAAAAATTTATATTGCCCAAATACCACTCAAAATGGAAATGCTTAGAACTCTGGACTAAATAAAGCATTAAGTTACTAGCAAGCTTCCCCACAGATAATGTATATATTCCCACTTTTCTTAGAATTTTATACTTGAGTTTTTCCACAAACATTTATTAAGAAGCCAGGCATTGTGCTAGGCACTATCACATACTTAGTCTTTTCAACAATCCTATCAAGTAGTTAATATTATTCCATAAAATGAGAAGAAGAAACAGCGATTCACTGCTAGTAAATGTCAAAACAGGTGTTGAGCTCCTGGTTTAATCTATTTTCCGCTCTTTAATTATAGTTCTAAAATCTGTCTAGGCCTTCATTCTTCTTTGATGTTTCTGGGGTAAAATGTCATTAAACGAACTCAGCTTTCTATTTGTAACTTAAAATTAGTTTCATGTGACAGGAACAAAAACACACTAAAAGATATAACTTTGTCCACAATACCATCTTCTTACCTCTCTATCTAATTCACAAACATCCTGGCCAGTCACAAGACACTCCCAGATTTCCTTGGCACGATTCCAACCCAAATACAGAGTAGCTTCTTGCAAGAAAAATGCCAGAAATTTTAGATGGGCTTCTAAATACTGCAAAAAGAAATAATAATTATTGAACTCCAGGCATTCATAACTAAAAGCAAAATAAAACTTTAAAAAACAGTTCTATCTAATGCTTTTCCATATAATTTATGGTAAATGTGAGAAATCTGTTTACAAGCTGACAGTACAACATAGTAGAAGCTACTTCAAGTCTATTAAAAATTCAGTTGACTTTAGATAATAAAATGATTTCACCAATCTCAAAAAGTAAAACATCATAAACTCACAACCAGTCAGTTAAGATTTTTTTTCCCTAACTTAAAAAAATACTACTACTAATCAATTGATTTGAAAACAAAAACAACTATCTAGAGAATTGACAATTAGTATTTCATGTCAAAGTCAAAGAAAAGATGTCTATTTTTATTACTTTATCATAATGCAGTTCTTAGCGCAAAAAGTCCAAATGAACATTGTAAATCTTGAAATAAAAGCACAGTGCCAATACCCACCTCCCGGTAAGTGTATCGGCCATCCACTAGTGTTGAACCAGTCAAGCCTCCAGGTCCAGCCATGGCTGCTGCAAGCCGATGACAAGCTATCAAACTTCCCGTTACCAATTTCACTATTTCAAAATTTTTCTTCAAGTCTTGAATAATGCTCTTGGCAAAAACAACCAAAAACAAAAATGGTATGAAAATTTAGTTATTTTGTCATTTTAATACAAACTTCTGTTAGCAAGTAACCCTAGGTGAGTGACAGCAAACATGATTTCTTCACTCACATTTCTTATATGAAAGTAAATAAAATCAATCTGGTATGTACACTTACTAGGGAATTAATAAACTCCTCTGCTAAATTTTGCTTCTAAAAAATATTATTTTTCTTTTATAAAGAACTCTTTCAACAAAACTATCCAGATTTTTCTTCTCAAGTCTATTACATTGAGGAAGTTCTAGCTCCACAGTCACACTAATTTTTTTGTAATATAAAGTAAACCTTTGAGTCTTTTCAAGCAAATTTCTAAAATACCATTCTAACTTTTAAAAACTGGCCTAATGATGTTAATATATAGGTAATAAAAGGAAGTAAAAATGAGTGAAGGATACATAAAAAGAAAAGCTCCACAGAAATGAAAGCAGAATGATGTTTAAACTCAAAATTATTAAATAATACGAATGAATTATATTAATAACCATAAAATGTAAAATAGTGACAAGACTCAGCAATCTTATTCATGTTTTGTTATTATAAAAACTTACGAAACAACTGTATGATAATCAGACTTGGCTATACTATACTCTTACCTTGTCTTGCTTTTGATAGGTTTGTTTTATGAATGAACGGGTGATTTCATGGAGCTGACGCAAAGCTGGTACCACCCATACAAACTGGGGATTGTTAAGCTGAGATGACTAGAGTTAAAAAGAAGTTACATAAATTAAATTTAAAAATAAATGGCAGACAAAACTTATTAGCTATAAAAAATGTCCAAGTCAATTAGGCTTCACTATTGCACATTCTATTATTTTTCTCCTCACATTGCTCATTTATAGCTTATCTCATGCATTCATAATTCAGTCTTCAGCTTCTTATTCTGCATGCAATTTCCTAAGGCCAAGAACTGCAAACAGGAGTGGATGTGAAGTGACAGCAAATGTACAGGGGTACGTCAGCAAAAAACAGACAACAAGGAATTAGCAACTTCAAAGGATAGATTAAGTAGCATAGGCTGCTAGGACATGTTGAGATAATAAAATAAATTGATGGCAAAAGCTTATCTTGGATAAGACAGAACTGGCTGATAAGTAAAATGGTATGAAAACATAGTTTTCTATAATTATACGATTAAGATACCAATGATATGATCAAGATACTGATAGTGGTCTAAATATTAAAGGAAATATTCACAATCTGCTTGTATTTCCTAGTTTAAACAATTTTATAAGAGATAGTTCTATTTATATTAATTACTATAGCCACTTTATACTTATACTTTATATTTTTCAAAACACTTTTAAAGGTATTATTTTTGAAACGGGTACAGACAATCCAGATTTTCATAGTACACATCTGAAAAGTCTGATGTTCTATCTTTAAAAAGAGAATTGCTTTTTAATAAATAGTATCTTCAAACTATGAGATTTCATTATAAAGTTTATAAGAATATTAGGTTAAACACTAAAATCAACTGATCAATTAAATCCAAGAAACTAAGTAAAAGTTTAAGTCCTGAATATTTACTTTACAGGCTAATTTTTTTTAAGCTTTGCTTCTTCAAGTCTTTCTATAACATGAAGAGCCCTATGGGGGGGAAAAACTTTTGATGTCCTTTGTAGAAAAACATCCTACTACTGAATATGTAAATGAGAGAGCTCTATTGCCAAAACAATTGGCTTTTCTAGAAACTAGCCAATCAATCAACCAATACCATATTTCCTGGATTCTAAGATACAAGTTTTATAAATTTCAACAAGTTCTGAAATTGATGCTTCTTACAACTATGTCAAAAGAAACTTAGCCTCTAAACATAGGAGTAAGTTTTGATACAGTTGTCCTTACTTGAGTATGTGCAAATTTAGCTGTATAGAAAGTTATCTGTTCCTCTACCTCTCCGTTTATTTATCACTTGGTATAGGAAACACCAACCAATGAAGGTTTCTTAACTTTAAATGTTACAAAAAGATTACACGATAATGTAAAACTGACTACCGTGTCATGTCCACAATTCAATTAAAAGCAAAGAAAACTGCTAGTGGTCTCAGAATAAAGCATTTTCCAAAGCCAGGAGAATTTTGTGTGACAGACTCATACCCTGTGAAGGGCTGTACCACTCAGCACTAAAGGCCTCTCTGTCCAAAGGTGTACCTTAATTCAAGAGAAGTTGTTTAGCGTGTAGTATACACAATTTAATGAAGTAAAAAAGCAGCTTGAATTTTATGAGAAAGGACAAGGACACAAAACTCCACACTCTTCAACATGCCTCAAAATTATACAGTCAATCTTAAAGATTTCAAAGAGGTCAAAACCACGATTATAGCTAAGGAAAAGTAGTGTGCCACAGTGAAGCTGTACATACTGGTCAAAAGGAAGCTGAGGCAAACTCTGAATCTAAACAAATGTATGATAAAAGTGAAATGTAGTTTCTCTTTTACTTCTTTATAAACTTATTAAATCTTGCATCTTAGAATCAGAGAAATAAAGTATATACAGGATGGGGCAAAAGTAGGTCTACAGTTGTAATGAAAATAACACAATAATTAATAACATAAGAATATGTTTTGTGTACTCATAAGTGTAAGCCTACTTTTGCCATACTCTGTATTAAAGGCCAAATTTGCAAGACTAGCTAGAATATTTCTAAAATATAGAAGTCGAAAAATGGCAGTTTAGGCTAATTCTTAGGCCTAAAATAAACTGAGACCTTCTAAGAGGATTACAAACATAAGGACATAAAATTAGCAAATAATTAATATATTAAAAAGTATTATGACCAATTAAGTCAATTAGGATTAGAATACTTTTGACATTAAAAATTATTCTTTGAAGGTAGCTCATTATCAAATAAATTAAAAAAAAACACAAAAAGATAAAACTAGAATTTAAAAAGTATTTCTGATATGACCTTTCTAAAGTTTAGCAAACAGGACAGATATTATTTATTCTATCATATCTATGACGTTATGTTGCTAAGTTACAAGAAAAATTTAAACTACTCTTCTCCACTTATAAAAGAGGCAAAGATTATGGTGAACATTAAAATAAACATACCTGATAATGTCTACTGAGGGAGCTGAGCTTCCTAAGTGGGAGTTAACTAGTTTGGCCTGCGAATCTATGCCTAGATCCCTCTTGTCACTGCTGCGAAGTGACCAGTTAGTCTCCCAGTGTTTCCAGTGATGAGGGGCTCAGGAGGCAGTGTTCACTTCAGGCTACTCTCACTAAAGTTTATTGGTCTAGCATACTGAAACATGCCTTCCCGTAACTTCTTTGAAGCCATAAAAGTAAAGTTGAATAAAACTTCTCTGTAACAATCCTCCCAGTATCTACAGAAAGCTTTCATATTCTTTCTAGAGTTCTCTCTTCTCAAAGCTGAAGATCCCCACTTGCTCATTTGTCTTATTTATCCAGACCTTGCAATTTATCTAGAATTAAAGTAGAAGTTTTTACATGAGAGAACATTTTTTTAAAAAGTATTTCCCCCTGTCCTAACCACATCACTGTGAGACTGTACTGAGGACATCTTGCTACATTTACTTTCAGTTACGTGTTTTGGCAAATAGAGGCCACTCAACTATGGGTAACACTTTTAGTGTATTTGAAGGGTGAAGGGGAGGAAGTAAGAGGAAGGGGAGCAACATTTACTGAAAGGCTGCCAGGCATTGAACTAGGAGGCCTTGAGATAATGACTTAAGGAATATGCAAATATCACTAATTAAGTAAAAATGGGTTTTTTTTGGTTTAGTAATTTTTTTGGATGAGTACATTTAAACTTTTTAATTGAAGGAAAAAAGAAGTGAAATAAGATGGAGAGGGTTGGGGTAGACAGTGGAAGGTATAAAGGAAGCAAAAGAAAGAGGACCAAGGAAGCCAAGGGTATCCTGGCAGAATCTACAGAAAAATAAAGTTAAGAAATAAAGGTCAGAATTTCTGAACACAACAGTGGAACTTGGGAATTTTAAGAGTGTCAAAAGCAGGGGCAAAGGGAACCAGTTGGGGATATAGGTAGCTGAGGGGAGGGGGAGGAAGAGGTGGGTGGTCTTGTCTTACCCTTTGCTTAGTTTCTGTGGAGCCTGGCAGGGAGACATAATCCCCAGTCAGCCCACCTTGCTGCCTGGCAGGAAAGGGCATAGCACAGAAAACACCTTTAGTGGCAGGATATACATCGCCCCGCCTGGGTCATGTCCAGGGGCTTAGATCTTCCCACTGCCCCCCTTCAGCCACGTGCACTTTAAAAGAACATCTGTAAAAGCACTTAGTCAACTGAAAAGTGCCATATAAATGCAAGATATTATTATTTGGAATAAAATAATGATACATCAGGATTTCTTTACTGGGAGCAGTGGGAAATAAAAGGAAGAATATTCTTTTCAAGACTCACAAAATAACTCCAAAATTCTCCCTATTACTTTTTGAGTTTTGTCATGAAACAACAGACATGAATGAAGTGACTGCAAAGAGAAGCAATAAAGATGTAGTGAAGCTACTGGCTGGAAGAGCTAAGTAGTGCTTAGCTGTAATGAGGAAGGAACAGAGATCAGGAAGGTATTTTCTGGGTTTAAAAGTCATTTTCCTGGAGGGGGAAGAAGTCCCTTCAGCTTTAACCTTCATTTTCTATAAAGAAATATACATGTTACTAAGAAGAAAAGACCATTTTTTTATGGATATCCTTTTCCTCTTACTATTATTAGTGAAGGACCTAAAACTTCTTACGTAACTCTGGATTAGTTTCAATCATAAAGACAGAGGCTGCTAAATTATCTGAAAGGCTGAGCTGAGAAAACTGGAAACATTCCAATTGTATCTGAGTAGGAAGAGAGCAATGCTGTTGAATTAAAGAAGTAATTCCTCATAACCAGAGCACCACCAGACCGTTTGTGAATAACTTTTAAACAATCTCTGAAGCTAGACAATATGCAAAAAATTCACTTGATCAAATTCCAATGTCAGAAATATAAAACACCAAGTTTTTAAATGCCCCCAACTAAACTTTAGGACCAAATATAAATAATACAATAAAAGCCCACTGAATCACCAAAACCTCTTAATAAGAACTAAGAATCTCCTATTATACCAATGACAATCAACAGTAGTCAAGATCTTTAAAGAAATACTTCTTAGTGAAAGCTAAGAAAAATGATTTACCAACGAAATTACTAAGCCATTAACTATTTACCAAAACCTTTTATGTTAACAGTGAAATGAAATCCCTCTGGCTGCTAGGCTTACGTTTGGTCCGGGCAACCTCAGGGCCTCCATAGGAGGAGGACACTGCTCCTATGACCAGGGCCGTTGCAACACTGGGTGTGTGTCCAGTGAGCGGCCACTGTGATCAGCCCTCTCAGAGGAGAGACTAGACATCTGAGGACAGGAGCAACAGGAGAGCAGCAATGACCACTGCTTCCTCTGCTAACTACCCTTTTAAAGGACAGTCCAGAGTCCACTGGAACGTGAGGCCAGAGCCCTGCGGGGTAGGGCTTGTACAGAGCCAGTCCCTCTTGCAGTCACTGCCCAAACCTACCTTCTAAAATGGAGTCACAGCAGCAGACACTCACCCATTCACTGTTTGTCTAAGGAGGTACTTTAGGAACACATCTAAATCAAGCACCTAAAAAAATGACCATGTGCCAGCACTGAAGGAAATTTCTCACTTTCTCTCTCTCCTTCTTACTCTATAAATGTTCCTCCATGGGAGAAAAATGGTCATATTTACTTAGGATCCACTGTACTTATTTAAGCTGTCCACACTTTGGAATTAATTTTAAAAAGGTTAAGTTGAAGCTCTTATAATTTTATGAAAATAACATAGTAAAACTACTCTGAATCTGATTCTGGATATTCCCTCCTCCCCCCGAGAATCAATAACTCAAGCTGTAAATAATAAAGCACAGGTCATAAATATTTAAATAGCGATTTGTATTGCACATTAGTCTAAGAAATACTAAAACACATTATTTTTAAATTATAATACAATTTATTTTTTAAAATTATTAAATTAGTATACCTTTTAGTTGGTTCCATCTGCAAATTCTTACCTTGAATCCATCCTTCTTTTTTTCCAAACCTGACCATTCTCCAGGCTGAAAAATTGTTTTAAGAAAAATATAAGTGACTTGGTAAAGTAGTTATAATGTCCCAATCTTGGATTCTAAAGGTAAAAGCTTCCAGAAGACATTTAGTTTAAATTATATAATAGTGGAGGAAAATTATCTGACTCTAATTCTCAGACAGAACTATTGTTCTGACAAAACCAGATCAAACATAAAACCAACCCTTTTAATATCTTCTATGCACTTGATGATGTAGCTCCTCTTGATCGCTTCTTTCACTGCATATGCGTCACTAAGGATTGTCAGGTGTTCATCCAAAGCTTGCTGAATGAGGCTGCTGGGCAGTGTTGGAAGATGAGCCAGTTCCCAGAGTACATCTAACACCTACAATAATACTCATATGATAAGCCAGCCAATACACAAGGAAACTGCTTTAAGTATTTGTAGATAGAAAAATCCACTGGATTTCCCTGCCTTTCCAGAAGTGGTCTCAAAGCGTGCTTCCCGGCCTATCCGTCCAATCAGGCTCAATAGCTTCTGTCTTACTCGATCGCTCTCAGTCTCCCAGCTCTGTAAAACAGAAAGACAAGAATCAGTACACTACACAGTGCCATCAAACTGGCAAAATATGCAAAACTTTAAATTTGAACTAAAAATGTTTAATAAAGTAAAAAGAGTACATTTAAACACTACTAATTTGGGGGGGCAAACCTCAAAATAAGCTTATTTTAGAAAAACGTGAAAGGATATTTGATTGGCACATACCTTCTGAATGAGAACAAACAAATGGTTGAGCTGATCTGAATTAAACTTGACAGCTGCTGCAGCAATAATAGTATGAATATTCTCGATCACAGTAGATGATTGTCCTGACTAGAAAGGAGACATTGGGAGAAAGTTAGGTCTTGGAACTTGGAAAAAACCAAGTCTTCTCCCTGGTAATTTATAGAAGCAAAAGAGTCTAATCAGCATTCACTTCCATGATAATACTGGCAAGACTATGAAGCAAACATTATTAATGGTTACCAGTTGGTCTTGTTTAAATTTCTAGCAGCATTAAATCTTTAATTACTTTACAAGGCAATCATTCTCACTTTTCATAAATGAGCTTGATTGCCTCAGTTGAAGAGTTTTATCTGCTTCATTTTTAATTTTGCTCATAGATATTTTATGACTTCAATGAATATTTATTTATTCCATGAGCAGTTAGTCTCTGCTTCAGGGATGTAGACCCCATTGTTGACCTTATGTTGAAATTCACTTTATAGCCTCAATCACAATTCTGTCATGCCTCACTATTCACTATGTGAGAGCTTTGAAAAGTAGGAGGGCTTTTAAATATTCAATTACACAACAACTAGAGGCCCGATGCACAAAATTCGTACAAGAATAGGCCTTCCTTCCCCCTGCTGCCGACACCGGCTTCCCTCTGGCACCCAGGACCCGGGCTTCCCTCCGTCCTGGCTTCATCTGGAAGGTCATCCAGAAGGATGTCAGACCTAATTAGCTATTACACTTTTATTATTATAGAAGATTTGCTCAGTATCTACTAAACACACACTTCCTGAATGTAGCAGGGATAAATAAAATATATATCATGGTCTCTAATCCTCAATCTGTGTGAATTCAAAACTTACAAAACAAAATTATGACCATATTCAAGTAAGGTCAAGACATGGGAAATAAAATTCAGGGTTTTTTTTTTCAGTCTTACACCTAAACTTTCTATAGTCTGTTATGTAATGCCAGGCTGGGAGCCTGAAAATGACATTTCCTCTGCCAGCTGTGCTCCCATTATGTTCTAGCAATGTGAGGTACTCCTGGGAGATGAGCAGGCAGGAGGAAGAAAAAAGTGTATCTGGTTTGTGCTTGGGGACGGGATGCAGGTGCTGACATTTGTGGCAGCAGGGATTCCGGAGCCCTGGCGGCGGTATCGCCTCTTTGACAGTTTAGCACGTGCAGTGAACCTCCCAAAACAGCTTCCCTTCCTTGGACTTAATATCCCTTTTCATGTTTTGTTGTTCCAACATTTATACTTCCCTTTTTGTTCTTCTGTCCTAGCAACATCTTTGCAAACAATGCCCTATATTCAATTCCCTCTGAGATACCTAGCACGGTTTCTGTTTCCTGACTGGATTCTGACTGATACAGTAGAGATAGCCAAGGTGAGCTCCAGGTTTCATTCTGGCTTAGCAACTAGATGAAGAATACTACCATTACTGAAGTAGAATGGAAAATTACTAGGCTTGGCCATGTTGAATTTGAGATGCCTATGAGATAACACAGGTAAAGGTGTAACAGGTATTTAGGTATACTGCCCGGGAGCTCTAAGAAGAGGTGTAAATTGGAGATATACTAGTAATTCTGAGAGTCAGCAGCATCCAAATGTAGTGGAAGTCATGGGGGGGGGGGGGGGGGTAGATGAAATTGACTAGTGCAGGATTATATAATGAAAAAGGGCTAAAGACTAAGACTTGAAAAAAAACTCATATTCACAAGGTAGAAGACATAAGTTAGTAAATGAGACTTAAGAAGGAATGCCAGAAAAGTAGGGGAATGGACTATTAACAAAGTGAAGGAAAAAGGAATGAAGGGTATAACTGATTCTGTCACAGATGCTGAGAGTTTTGGTAAGATGAGATCTATAAACTCAATATGACTACCATCCTCATTTAATAGAATTAAATGGGAAAACTGTATTAATGAATACTGAAAAGAAATATAGTAAAAAGAAGACTGGAATGATAAACAAGACATACCTATTCCTAGCTCTGCCACTAACTGCTACACAGCCTGCAGTAAGGCTTTTCATTTTTCAATCTGAGAAATGAGAAGACTAGACTAGATCAGTAAGTAGCTTTACACCTTTTGAGTAGAAGAATCCTTTTTACATATACAATCTTAATAGCAATTCTATTTTTTTTAAAAAATATAGTTTTATTGACTTCAGAGAGGAAGGGAGAAGGAGTGAGGGCTAGAAACATCAATGATAAGAGAGAATTATTGATCAGCTGCCTCCTGCACACCCTTATAGGGGATTGAGCCCATAACCCCAGGCATGTGTTCTACAGGGTTCAATTGTGGAACTGAACTGTGACCTCCTGGTTCATAGGTCGATGCTCAACCACTGAGCACACTGGCCAGCCTTAATAGCAACTCTAAACTGTACAGATTTCAGTAGAGTTGCTCTGGTTAAAGCAAGATTGAAGTTCCATTTTCCTGCTTACTCTCCATTCTCTTCCTTTTCATTATTATAAAAATGTCAGGTGAAAGCAAAAATAACTCTAATTAACTTACCTGTATCTTCCAAATTTTAGTGAGTTCATCTAAAGATAATTTACTGCCCAAGAGTTCAATAATTCCCTTTATACGATCACAGTACTGTGCTTGGTCTATGTTGCCTAAGAGAAGAAACAGCAGAGGGGCAGGCAGGTACAGTGAACACTGACTTTGTAAATATGATTCTAGTAATTCAAAGCAATATTAACTTTTTATAAGATTATTCAAAGGCTAATCAAAGCAACAATTTCATAGCCTTTTTTACACAAAAATGTTATTTAAAATTATGTATGAGGTAATATTATTTTAAAAGCAACTTACCTTCCAGTGCAATTGAAAGAACTGAGTTTTCAACTAGCCAATCTAACAATCTGTCTGTATCTATAGCATTCTTCACAGATTTGGATAAAGTGCTATCTTCTATTAGTTTGGTTACCTAAAAACAAATAAACAAAACACACCAGGATTATTGACAGAAAGTAATGCAAATATGCATAATCAAAATCTTCACATATATACATATCCTGTGACTTTTATAGTGTTACAATATGGTCTGACAAGTAGCTAAAATATATCAAAGGCCAGTTATCAGACAAAACAGATTACTTGTGATATCTTTTTTTAAAAGTATGGAGCCATTCTCATGGCTCAGACTTCCTGGGCCACTGCTGACTGCCTCAGGGATAAGCATCTGACCCAAATTTCAATCAAGGCATGTCCTCCAAATTCTATACTTGGGACCGAAGAGCAAGTACTAGTCTCTCCAGGGTGATGGGAGCAATGCGGGGCCATGATGTCTACCATATGAAGGATGTTACTCTGCCGGTAGAGGAACAACAAAACCAACAAGCTCAGAAAAGCAGAGTTAAGACTTCGAAAGAGTCTTGGATGCAGTCAGGTCTTGAATTCTAATTGTTCTTGTTGCCCACATGTCTTCCTGCCCCTTACATGGTTTGGCTAGTCAATTCTTCATTCATATGAAACAGCCCAGCCTTCTTCCACTAAATTTCTCTATGCCCTAGGACAGCGGTCGCCAACCTTTCAGACCTCACAGACCACCAGCAGTCTGCAGATGACCGGTTGGCGACCGCTGGTCTAGGATGATTTAAGATGAGCTTATTTCACTTGCAGCTAAGAATCTTAGTTAATACAAAACTGAAGGAAAAAGATTGGAATTATTATAACTCAACTCTATTGGTTCCATCTGTCACTCACCAAAATCAACTATGTAAACACATTTGAAATAGAATAAAAGGAATTGTGCCGTAGGCTAAAAAATAAATCTCAAACTGTGTATGTCAAGAAATTATGTTCTAGGAAATATCACGAAAGCATCAAATATTTCAAACATTTCAGAGAACAAATTTTTAATATAATCTAAAAAAGTCACGTTATTAACATAATTAGAGGCCTGTGCCCTCTCGCAATCTGGGACCCCTTGGGGGATGTCAGACTGCTGGTTTCAGCCCGATCCCTGCAGGCCAGGCTGAGGGACCCCACCAGTGCATGAATCTGTGCACTGGGCCAGTTTCAACCTGATCTCTGCAGGCCACGCCAAGGTACCCTACCAGTGCATGGATGCACCGAGCCTCTAGTATGCATGTAAGATCTTTGGTTAATCTCTTCTCACCCTCCCCCTTCCCTCTGAGATTCATCAGTCTGTTCCATGTTTCCATGCCTGTGCCTTAAGTGTCTGCCCCCTGGTGGTCAGTGCACCTCATAGCTACTGGTCAAATGGTCGAACAGTCCGCTGGTCGCTTAGGCTTTTATATACATAGATTATAAACATACACACCATTTCACATATAATCACATCCCTTTTTTGTATGATTACAAGAAATTGTTCATTTCCCAACATTTTTATATAATAACCATAAGTTTTGGCAGAACTTAAAGTGTCTGTGCTTTAAGTCTTCTAGAAACAAATGAAAAACTTACTTCTTTGAGGGAATTCATTTTAGCGCTAAAGTGGGGTGATTTCAGCATGCGCAGTAGGATGTCTAATCGAAGGTCGTCCACTACAGTCACCAGTTCTGGTTGGAAGCGCATGCAAAGTAACTTGATGGCAGACAAGAGCTCGGGGATACTAACCAATCTCTTTTATGAAAAACACATACACACACACAAAAACAAAAAAGGAAACATGAAAACATTTTTATCCCAATTCTTACACACACAGGAAATACAGGACATTTTCAATAACAATGGTCTGTGCTATCTGATACTCCACAGGGTCAATCAGCTGCATTTTGCTTCTCAACATGGGTGAGCAATGGAAAGGAAAGGATCCTGTGAGAAATTCAAGGCAGACAAATAAATCATGTTGTTGCATGTTTAACTGCTTTAAGCAAATTTGGATAAACTTTTAGTACTGAATTATTTTAAAGCTTCTTCACTGCTATACAAATTACATTAAAATCAACATGTTAGTAAAATTCTGAATGTCGTCACTGAGAACCCTATATTTATTCTATTGACTGAGATAGCACCAACCATTTATGCTTCAGAAGCAGAATTTTTCAATTAGAAAATGTATAATTAATTTGATATGAGTTGTACAGAACCAGAATCCAAAGAACAATGGAGTGTGAACTGAGCCCCAAGTCCTGGCTCTGCTTCCATGGACCAATAGGCACTGGGGCCTGTCTGCTGGAGACAGCACTTACCTTGTCTTTGAGGTCCTTTTCCTCCACACTCCGCACATCCTGGATTGTAGTAAGGATGACCGGGTCTAGCATAGGCTACAGAAAAAAAGTACTACCTTAATAAAAAGTTCTGAATCTGTCCTAAATTTAGAGAGGAGATACTTCTTCATTCACCTTCCACAAAGGAGACAGTGCAATTCTAGTAGCAGAGCTAACACTACCTTGCTAATACCATTCCAAGAAAACCTTTAACTGCATTTATGCCTCAGCTTCTTTAATATCAGAGGGGGGAATCCCTGTAATTACGACCTTATAACAGTAACTTTAAAGAGCAACCAAAGACATATGGACTTTTAAAAATTAAGCACGAATATGTATTAATTTTGTAATAAAGTAAATATTTTGCATTTGATTTTAAAAAATGAAATAAGCACAGAGCACAAAATATATGCTATTATATGCACTACTTTTGCTTGCTGATATAAATGAGGCCCATAGATGAGACTCACACAACACATTACTCCAGGATGGTAGCATAATCAGACAACTAACTGTAAACAGTATGTGAGAAGTAGTCAAATACTAGCTAAATCTAAATGATCACTTCCATCTAAGTAAAATAATTTTTAAAACTTATCTGGTGATGAAAGATGAACAATATTTGGCTGTGAAAGCTAAGAAGACATTAGCAATGAGTTAAAATGACATCAGGCAATTAACCAAATAGAATTTCTTAATGTTGGTTGTACAGTGAGGACTGAGGGCTGTTAGGGTAAAGTCAAGGCACACTGTTCTTGTCAGCACGTGCCAGCCCTGCTTCTCACTGTAACTCTGTGAGATAAGCATGATTATCATCACCATTTTACAGATAAGGAAGTCAAGGTACAGATAAGGAAGTCAATTTTGTACATCAAAATCGCACAAGTAACAAATGGTAGAAACAACTATTAATTTATGGCAAGTAACATGGTATGACTATGGCATGAATTTAAGGTTGGGTAGTTTAATATAATAAAATAAAGATGAAGTTAAATATCCTTTGGTTGGAAAGTCATCTACTTTTTTACTCTTTTTCAAGTAATCCTATACTTGTATATAAAACCTGAAATTTCTAAAGAACTTAGTATTAACTAGCAGCTGGAATATTTATGCTGAATCTCTTTCCATGGAGCACTGCATGCATATAAAAATCCAATCCTGGCTTTGTTACTAAAAAGCCAATTATTAAATTATTAATTCTTGTTAAATTATTAAATATTCAAATCACTTTGCCTCTTTGTGTCTTAGTGTTTCAGTTACAAAACTAATGGTTACAGTTACATGCTTACTAAGTTGAAAGAACACTAGATGTTTATCAAGAGCTTAATATCCAGAATGAAAAAATCCTGTCATTCTATTTCATTTGAAAATCTTGCAGTATTACTTTGACATCTAAAGAAGACATCAACACTGATAATAGCAGAAATTTCCAGAACCTACTAAAAAAATCGTATCTCCCTTGTTAAAATGGCCCTAAGTAAATCATGTTTTAGAAAGAAGGAATTGTGGATAGAAAACATTGCTCCCAAAGGACACGGCACTTTTAAATTTACAGTGATTTTTAAAAATCTCTAACAGTTACCAGTTTCACATACTTATTTAAAAATAAAATAATAAATGGAGGTATTTCAGTGTGATATTTTATTCAGTAAAGCTTGTTAACTGAAATGGAAAGGAAATGAGAGTATAATAGGCCTTAAGCACTACAAAACTGAACACTCACAGCTTTGAGTATTCTATGATCTGTTGACTTACAACATGCAGAGACAGGAAATCAGACAAGATGTGCTATCAAGCTGTTATTCGGTAGTGAGAGATTCAGCTAGTAAGTTAGTCTAGTGGGTTGTTCAACATTGATCTAATTTAATACATAATGGTACTGAACCTTAAAAATCCTGTGAAGGGAGTGGGATTTATGCAGCCTTTTTACAGACAAGGAAATGAAGAAAAATATATGCTGTTATATATATAAACTAGAGGCCTGGTGCACAAAATTTGTGCACATGGAGGGGGCGGGTCCCTCAGCCCGAACTGCACCTTCTTGCACCTCCTCGAACCTCCATGGAGCAGGCCTGAGCCATCAGTCGGACATCCTTAGAGCTGCCGTGGAGGCGGGAGTGGCTTCCATCACCGCTGCTGCGCTAGCCAGCCATGAGCCCAGCTTCTGGCTGAGCAGCGCTCCCCCTGCGGGAGCGTACTGACCACCAGGGGACAGCTCCTGCATTGAGCATCTGCCCCATGGTGGTCAGTGTGTGTCATAACAACCCGTCGTTCTGCTATTCTGTCGACTTGCATATTAGCCTTTTGTTATATAGGATAATGTCATATTATGGACGAGGCCTCTAATTCAATTTTTTTTAGGTAAAGGGAGGGGAAGAATTTTCACTTGAGCCTGAAGCTAAAATTGCCCTTAGCTCAAAAATCTGCATACCACTGAGACACATCTTGATGAGGCTCATTCTGAACCCATACACTGTTCTATTATGTGTATAAGTATTGGGAGCTATCTTATCTCTTTAGTGAAAGGAACCTTTTGTTATGTTACAATGACTAACTTTATCTCATGAGTTGTGTTTTGGCTTCAAGCCTGCAAGTACTCATGCAGCAACTTCAGCGCTTCTGGTTCAATATTTACCTGGCATATCTTTTCTTTTATTTTCTCTAAATCTTTCTAGATTTTTATGTATTAGATAGGAATAGCCCATGGACACAAACAGTAGTCTGGCTAAGGCCTGGAAGGGGTGGGTGCAGGGTGGAGGAGATCAATGGGGGGAAAAAAACTAAAACAAAGGGACATCTGTAATACTTTCAACAATAAAGATACATTTTAAATAAAGAAAAATATCTTAGTTGAAAAGTTTTATGTGAAATAATATAATTGCTCTACACTGTACTTTATATTCTCAACTCCTCTCAAAGAGATATTAATTGACCCTATGTCACTTAATATTAATTGACCCCATGCTCAATGACTGCAGGACTGACTTCCACCACACCGACCCAGCACTGACTGCCATGGGGCTGCGATCAGACCCTGCTTTTTTCTCCCGGTCTATTCCAGGCCGAGGGTTCCGTCTCAGTGAAACCCGGGTCAGTCTTTGCATCGTGCAAGTGGAATCACTAAGGCCTATTTGAGAGTCGCCAAGGCTGGGAGCGTGATCTTGGAATAGTTAAAAACACGTTCATGAAGGGATGCTAAGGGTTCTCATCAAAAAGCCCACACGTGTCTGTGCTCCACCAACAGGGTTGCTTTAACACAGAAGCTTCCATCCGCAAGCCCACCGGCTCCAGGAGCAGGCGGGAGGTTGAAAGTGGCTGTGGGTAGAGGAGGCCGGGGCCAGGCAACTTGGCAGGTGTCATCAGCGGCTTGGCTGTCTGAGCCCCAAGCTCGGGGAGACAGGCTCTGACGTCACCACCGCGCAGAGGATTTGACAGCAGCGGCTTCAGAGCTTGTTGCTATTTTGTTTTATTTATATCTCCTTTTCTCTTTAAACCTCTAGGTTGCCTTTGTTGGAGAGAGGAGCAGCCTTTGCAGCCTCCTCGGTGGAGAGCAGGCCTTCGATCTGGGTTCACACGTAGCCAGACAGAATCGTTTAGAAACACGTGTGGGTCTTGCATTATTTGCTCTGTTACCGATAAAGAGGGTTTTAGATTCTGGCACGTAAATATGTTTCCTGCTTATCCACGATGGCAGGCCAAGCGCAGCCACAGTTCTTCACTCCTTTGCAGGCCTCCGTCCAAGGGCGGCGGTGCAGGCGCTTCACATAGGGAGGGGGACCGAGAGCAGGAGGGGCAGCCATGCTTTTCCCAGACCTGCTATCTCAGTCCCCATCTTCCTGCTCTGGGTCTGTAGGGTCTTCCTTTTGAGGCGGATTCAGGCGTCTGGGGGACATGTTTATCACACGCTGTTTTCCGTGTGGGTGGTCAACAGGGGGGTGTTCCTGAATCAGGCTTCCTTCGGCATTGCAGTGGGGGGGGAGGGGAGACAGCATGAAGGTGCAAACACAACTCATGGGGACTTCTCGCTGAGCATCTTCTGTATACCTTCCTTACACCTGGTGGGCGTCTTCCCTCAGAAAGGGCGCTCCCTGTGTCTTCGACCAGTAGGTGTGTGTGTGTGTGTGTGTGGGGGGGGGTGGGGGTGCGGATGAGGCTGGTTGGCTGCTGCAGGGCCCTCATAGCCAGTGTCAGCGGGTGGGGCAGAGTACCCGGGACCCTGGATTCCCTCTGGGGTTTGCAGAATCGCCCCCTCCCTTTGTTCTCCCATTCTTCGCAGAGGAGGCGGCTATTGGCAGACAGCAGGTCGGATGGATCCGCCATCAGACCTACCGCATGACTCCAGGGAGGTTTCCTGACCCCTCTGTGTCCCCCGCTCACCTGAAGCACCTAAAATAGTCAGGGTGCCCACTGCTCAGAGGCTCCTGTGAGCTCATGGAGGTAGGCCCTTGGTCATCGAGTTTTATTTTTTTACTACATTTCTTCCGTGTGCAGTGATCACACTTCATCTGGAGCAGGGTAGGCTCAAGTGACCTTGTGAAGCGTCTAGGGAGGGGAAGCAGCCGCAATGCCAGTGCCTGCAGCTCCGGACCACCCCACTTCGTTTTAAATGCAAACCCGCCTTGGACAGGACTTCAAAGTCTTTTTTCCTTCTGTCTGCTCACATTCAAGTGCTGGCAGTGCTGGTCCCTTGGTGCCTGGCCTGTCCTCTTCAGATTCAACCTGCAGGACTACTAAGGGAGCCAGTCCAAGGGATGGGAAGCAGCCTCAGTGCTGATTGTGATCACAGGCTGCAGGCAAGGCGGCACCTCCGATCACGATCACTGGCTGGGAGATGGGCAAAGGTGGCCCCGGTTCTCCGATCCAGGGCTGAGGGGGCAGGGCAAAGGCGGCCTCCAGGGCTCTTGCCTATTGCCTGGGTTTCCAATCACCGTTCTTCCGTCCTTCCCCTTTCGCCTCCTATCATTGTGCCTATATATGCAAATTAACCACCATCTTTCTTGGCAGTTAATTTGCATATCGCCCTGATTAGCCAATGGGAAGCGTAGTGAAGGTATGGTCAATTACCCTTTTTGTCTTTTATTAGATTAGATTACATTTATAAAATGATAAATTAAAAAGGAAAGTAATCTCAAATGTTAGAGGTCTCCTAGACCTTAAATTATTAATCATTTAAAATTTTTCTCCTGCTGATATTTCCACTAGAAGTTACTCTGAATTAGGTACAATTCTGGACAAACCTGATAAAAAGATAATTACTGTTTGTATGTCTTAGATCACTTTCTGAAGTAAATGTAAATGGCCCAATCTTACCTGAACCACTGAGGAATTGAGGTACTCTGCACACACCCCTAAGGGCTGCACCAATGCTGAGACTGCCTGAAAAAAGACAGTGAAGTTTAGAAATAAATGTAAGTGGGAGCTTTTCCTTCAACATTAAATAAATTCCTTTCGCTATGTCAGAGAAAATTTTAAATAGAAGTTTTATCAAGTCACAAATGAATAACTAGGCCAACTAAACTCTTGGGTAGAAAGAATTGATATAAATATGTCAATCCATTTAAATTATTATACAAAGTTAATGTAATTTAAATAACAGCATGCCAATAAAACTTTTTTGGAGGACTAGCTGAAATGATTCTGAAGTTCATGTTATACAATACTGAAAATTTTTATTTGAAAAAGGAGAAAAAGGGAGAACGGTTGGGGAAGGAGTGAAATGTGCCATTAACAAAAAAATATTTAAGGCTTCCATGAAGAACACTATAAAAGTATACTGAAATATATACAAGAAGGCTCAAATAAATGAGGAGATACTGTGTTCTTACATGAAAAGGATTAGTAGTACTATCTATAAATTTAACACAATCTCAATGGGATTTTCTGCAGGAGAACCTACCATTTTGATTATATTCAGAAGAATAAAAATATGAGAATGATAAATAAAACTGTAAAGTATAAAGTGAAATGAGTGTTTTTATAACCCTAAGATGGGAAGAACATTCCCCAAGCAAGTTATGAAACTTTTAAGCCATTAAGAAAAATAATGACTACATAAAATTTTGAAGCTTCTATGTAGCCAGCAATAAAAATGAAAAGAGAAGCAAAAGACCGAAAGAAAAATAATCTACAAACACACAAAATAAACATGGCTTGGATAAGCTTACTATAAAAAGAATTCCTGAAATTTATCAAAACAAAAAACCAAAAGAGACCTACATAACTGGGTCAAGTTAAAGAAGAAATAGAAACAGCCAATAATTGTATGATGAAATGCTCAAATTCACAGAAAATTGGAATATTACAAATTAAATAAAATATCATTTCCTATCCATCATATTGAAAAATTAAAGATTGAAAATAATCAGCACTAATAAAAGGATTAGGAAATGACTTTGTGAGGAAGAGATTTAGCACTAGCAATTATAATTTTAAGATGTATGTAAGTCTCTAACCCAGAAATCCCGTTTTCAAGAAACCTATCCTTCAAAAATGGTTGCATATACAAATAAAGACAAATTTACATGGAACACTCTCCACAATAGCAAAAACTTAGAAATAATCCAATGCTCATTAATAGATGACTGCATCATGGTACAACTTCTGTAGGAATACAGTGGAGCCATTAAAAACACTGACAGTACTAACCTGGAAAGATGTCCATGATATAATGTTAAATGAAAAAATGCTACTAGGCATAGCTTGATTATAATTTAGTCTTAAAGAGAGAAAGAACAAGTAGAGATGTATTTTATGTAAATTTAGAAAAAACTCAGAAAGGCTAAGCCTAAAATGGTAACCATTTTCTAGGAGGTAGGTATATTTGTGTGGTGGGGACAGAGTGCAAGAAAGGCAAATTTCACTTCTTATTCTGAACAGATATTAATTTTAACTGATGGACTGTGAATGGTCTCCCTCCCCCAGTATTTTTCAAATTCAAAATATTTAATGTGAGTGTAAATGTTAATGTAAAATGAAACATTAAATTGTACTCCATTTATCATATGGCCTAAATTTATTCTGGGACATAGTCACCTTCTTAACTGGTCTGAAATCAGGCATTTATTGTGAAATTTTCATCATACTTTTTAAGAGTCTCAATTTTGGAATCTCTTTCTCCTTGGCCTGAATTTTACCATCCCTCAAAACAACCTAAACAATATAATTCTATATCAACTGCAACACACAACACAGTTGTTGTAAAAAATGGTCTGAACTGAGGAAAAAATCTTGGAAAAATCTTTAACCTCAAGACATTTGAAAATAATGACAATAAGCTCAGATCCCTATATATCTATCTTTAACCAATTTTCATCCAAGTAGTGTAGAAATTTTGGCTGCTCTGTATTTTTTTTTTAATCCTCACCCAAGACCATGCTTTTATTGATTTTAGGGAAAGAGAAAGGAGAAGGGAAGAAGAGAAACACTGGCTGCCTCCTGCACATGCCCCAACTGGGGATGGAACACACAACCTGGATATGTGTCCTGACCGGGAATCAAACCTGAGACCTTTCAGTGTACAGGACAAAGCTCCAACCAATTGAGCCATGCCAGCCAGGGCTGTGTTAACCTTTTTAAAAAAATGAAGTTAAATTTCTGATATCAGCTGAATAAAACCCTCTATCTTAGTAGGTTTGTTTTATTTTTGCTTTTTAAAATCACTACCTATTATGTTCCTGGTCAACAGTCATTTCTAACATACTTTATTCAATGGGGATAAAACAACAGCCCAACAACCTAGCTAATGCTCAGGGAAGGTGGAAGAGGCTTCCTGATCAGGGTCAGTGGAAGTACTTGTGATCTGGCAGACATCTGATCTTTAAGGACAAACAGTGCGTGGCAAGCAAGGGTCAGTCTATTACCAACCATAACATCAGTCTTTTTCCTTGACTGTTATGTCCCTCATGCAAAGATTAGTCATGGTCCCACAGAAATAACTGTTACTCTAACCACAATTTGCATCACTTAGGCATATAATTTTACATATAATTTTCTGCTCTGATCTATTTACAGTAGCTAGCACAGTGTCTTATACATGGAAAGTACGTAAGTGTTTGTTTGTTTTTTTAATCCTCATCTGAGGATATTTTTTCCATTGATTTTCAGAGAGAGTGGAAGGGAGGGGAGAGGAGGAGAGAGAGAAAGGAAAACATCGATGTGTGAGAGAGAGACATCAATTAGATGCCTCCCTCACAAACCCCTACAGGGGCTAGGGAACCCATAACCAAGGTATGTGCCCTTGACTAGGAATCGAATCTGTGACCCTCTAACCATTGAGCAAAACTGGCAAGGGCTACATAAGTTGTTTTTAATTGAATGACTAATTACCTAGAGAACAGAATAAAGTGCTCTCAGCTATGAACAGGTCAGCAGTCTGTGCAAAATTAAAGATTAAATTATTTCCCTAACCACAAGGTTAAATTTTTTTGAGAAAATGAAGTTGACATGAAAAGATAATGGTGTTGCACCTGAGGGATGATTCTCAGCTCCTTTTACAGCCCTCTGTTATCTATGCATTGCTGTAACACCAAAAAGCTTACTATACAACCTTAAAGTATTTTATTTGTGCCTGATTCTATGAAATAAATTGATTTAACTGAGGCATAAAATTGTTATGTACACAAAATACTTGCCACATATACCAATTGTCCTTAAATAATAAGAAAATTGCATGTAGCCATCACAAATTAAGAGAAAAATACCATATGTAAAGGGCAACTAATGAAATAACACCCTATATTGAAATTTGGTTGTTATGAATAAGAGTAAGCATTTCTATGGTTATCAAAACCATGGAAGCTGGCTCTGTAAAGACTATATTATACTGTAACATTAATTTCTGTGTCCAGGTCATGTCCCTTGGTTACATAACAACACAAATATAAAGTGAACTTCCACATCAGGCACAGGTAGGGGCTTAACTTACCCCAAGTTCTATATCTTCTGAACGGAGCTTAGCTTGAATTGCTGCAAATCCACCCAATTCTCCAAACTGGAAAGAAGGTACAAGTTCATTTTAAAATGCCACACATTAATATTTTAAGCAAGGAATTAAGGCTAATGTTCTACTCTATCAATGCACTCTATGCCCCTGTGACACACTCACTGCAGGAGATGTGCTGAGTCCTAAGGCTGGTGTCCACCTGGATAAACATCATGCATAAAAAAGAGGAAGGGACTATAAAACCTGTCTCCCTAGGAAAAAATTCTGATTATTCTCTCTAGTTGTCATCTACTTAATATACTAAATTCCAGGAAATTTTATTAGAACATGAAAAGTAAGTCATTAATAAAAGTTGTATACCTTGTTTACCAAATCCACAACCCATCCATGAGGTTCCTATGAGAAAAGAAAATAGAAATTGAGATGGCAATATAAAAAGTTCCGATGAACTCTTATATTTCTTTTATTCTAAAAAATACTGGATAAACATGTATTAAAATCTGAAAAATATTTTGAAAGGCTCTGACATAACTATATATAATTTTAGGAGTCTCTAAGTCTGTATTATAACTGTACCTATTGTTTGTTATAAGTAATTTTTTGTTTTTGTATTTCTTCCACTATGCTTTAAGTTATGAATCATGTTTTATTACTCCTTATATTAAGAAAAATGGCCTTTTAATTTATATCTCCAAAACATAGAATAACGTCAGACACAGTATATGGTCAATAAATGATTGAACATTTACTTCCGAACCTCTACTTCTGATAAAGAACCTCTATTCTGCTAAAGCAATGGACAGGTTTTTATCTACTAATTTGACTTCTTTCAACTGTTTCTTAACAACCAGTTGTCTGATCAAGGGATTGTTTAAATTATGTTCTCCTTGTGGATATAACGCTATTCACACATTGTAGGACTTGGAAGATATAAAGATACTGGTTCTGTACTTGAAAACAAAACTGTTAATGCTTATGGAGTTTAAAAGAAAATTATACATGAAACTACTAAATTATTTTTTCTAGGTATAATTAGTCAATTCAAATGATTTCAAATAAGGAACTGGGACAGCTATTAAACTGGGGTTCTGATAATTCAGTAAACAGGGAGGACACTGATGTTATGCAGTCATTTCTTATTTCACTCAACATCACTTCAAGTCCATAAAATTCTTCATGATGTTAGATAACATCTATGGAAAAATATAGAATATCTAAAAAAAAAGAAAGGTCAGCAATTTTGTGAGTCATACGGAATATTTGTCATTTTTCATAGACTGTTTTAACTCTTCTGTGTAAACTGTTACTTTTACAGTACAGAAACCTTTTTCAATACATTTCTCAATAAAAGATGAAACAAAATTATGTTTACCTTTTGGAAAGTAGATACAGGTGAGATAGCAAACATATTTCCCTCTCCGAACACTTCTGCCCAATTCCTTTGAGACACTTTCATTCTGTTTTTAAAATGGTATTCATTATCAGGATTGAAAGCCTAGATTCAAAGAGAACATAGAAACATTATTATTATTTATTTCTATAGCAACACATATTAGCATTAGAAAAGATAAAAATACAGCCTTGGGCTCCTTTATTAACGGAATCTTACAAGTATCCTCACAAAGCATACTCTTTAGCTGATGTCCTGTTCAACATCTGCTGTGAGGGAAGAGAAGGAGGTAACAGGCTGATTCAAGCAAGGGGATATCAATGTTCAAGATATCCTAGGGCTGCCACAGGCAGAGCTGAGCAGAAAGGCAGTGAAGACAGAAGTTAGGAGGGTAAACAAGAGCATTGCTTCTTCATGCACTACTATTGCTGGTCAGGGAAAAAGGCCAGAAAGCAAACTACACGAACACCCTATGTGAAAGTATTTATGCCGTAAATAACCAGGGAGACATAAGGAAAGATATTTAATCATTCTAAGAACTGAAAAAAACTACTAAAATTAGAAAGGAATTTCTTTAAAAGTGAAAACAGAATGGTTGCTCTGCTTTCAAAATAAAAAGCAAGGATCCTAACAGCTAAGTTAATATCTTTAATGATGATATAGTCACTCATTAAGTACAAGTCATTGGATAGTAGGTATGTTAAACAAAATATAAAACAAAGCACTTCATATTTTGGAGATACTATACCATTGTAAGCACACCCAGGAGACCAATGGGAATTGGATCTTGTTTTATTCTCTCTGCAACCAGTTCTATTAAGAGCATCAACATGTTGTAGATCCCTTCATGAATTTCAGTACCCCACTTGTGAACAGCACTTGATGTTAGGAGCTACAAAAACATGAAGGACACTTTAGAGTCTAATTTGAAAAGGAAAAAAGTCAACAGTTTATTAGTTCAGTCTCAAACAATCAAGAGATTATTAGCATAATGCGTTTTATGCAGATGATTTGTTTTAAAAGACCCATAGCTGTACCACAGTTTTTTAATCCACTCATCTGCTGGGAAGGCAGGGGAGGTTGGGGGGAAGAGGGAGAGATCAACCAAAGGACTTGTACACATGCATATAAGCATAACCAATGAATACAGACATCAGGGGGGTGAGGGGATGGGTGGGGAGGGGATAGGGACACATATGTAATACCTTAACCAATAAAGAAAATTAAAAAATAATAATAAACATTTTAAAAAAGACCCATAGCTGTAGTCCATCTACTCATTCATGTATTTCAGTCAACACTGAGTTTTGTTTTTGAACTTTAATGCCCTTACATCAGCGGTTCTCAACCTGTGGGTCGCGACCCCTTTGGCAGTCAAATGACCCTTTCACAGGGGTCTCCTAAGACCATCCTGCATATCAGATATTTACATTACGATTCATAACAGTAGCAACATTACACTTATGAAGTAGCAACGAAAATAATTTTATGATTGGGTCACAACATGAGGAACTGTATTTAAAGGGCCAGAAGGTTGAGAACCACTGCCTTATATTAAAGAAGTTAGTTAAAAAAAGTTTAATTTGCTCCTGTACTTTTCAACATTACTAGAAAAGGTTAAGTGGCTTAGAGCAAATAGATCAACTCCTGATACTGTGTTTTCTCGCTGTGTGGCCTTGGACAAATGTACCAAAGTTTTCAAAGGCTCAGTTAGTTCTCTCATCTCTAAAGAGGAAAGTTCCTACCAACTTTACACAGATGTTATGATTATCAAAGGATGTAACTAATGTGAAAGTATTTTACAAATTGTGAGGTATTATTATTAATTTAGCTTGGAGATAACCATTAACCAATATTCCTGGAGTCTAAGAAATGAATTTCATATTTCATGGATTCTAACGTACACATTCTTTTTACGATTGTTTATATCTCAGAAACAGGACTGCATCTTCCCACCTGCTGACCAGATTACAACAGGATTCTGAATGTGAAAAAATATTTAGAAATACCTTACCAGTTTATTTTGCTTGCATTTCTCTTTTTGGTTTGTATAAAAGTAATATTCAACTTTAAAAAATGTTTAAGTAAATCAAAATAGCTCTAAGTGATAAGGCACTGCAATATTGTTTATTTTGTAGCTCTTTTTCTTAAATATAAGCATAAAATATAAAACAATGGTGCATCTTATACTCAGCATCTTACATTTGTTAAAAAGAGGGAACAGGCACATAGATGAATCTAAAATCATCATTAATGAATTTCCCCAATCCTCAGTATTCTATTCCATGAGGGAGTCTAATTCAGAAACAATGGCTAGAAGAGGGAATGAGAACTCAAAGGATTTAGCTTATTAAAATAATGGTAAATTGATACAGTGATTTCATGTTTGCATAAGATTTCCCTTCAGAGAGAAAATACAATGCAATAAAAATTTAATCATGGCCACATTAAGAAGCTCTTAACAAAAGCAGCCTAAGAGAGCTCAAACTTCTTTAGCTGCAGAGGAAAAGAAAACCTCAGTTCCAGATTTTTGACATTCCAATTAGTTGCACTATTTGCTCAAATGAGCAATAATCATAAGACCGATTTTATATAAACCAAGGAGTGTTTTTTTGCTTGCCTATGTAGTCTTCTTATATTTAAAAGTTAAAGCAGCAGAGATTAACATTTGAGAAGCTTCACAGTGACAATAACAAAAAAAAGTAGGTGGATTAAGCACTATTCTCTCTGTTGCCATCTCACGTATTCAGTTTTTAATTGGAAAATGAAGTTCTGTCTTCCAGAAGAGATGGGGACAGGCAGGCCCTGGTGGGGAAGATGCATACCTGTGCACTATGGCTACACCTACATTTTCCCCATGCCTCAATATACTAGTAAAGAATCCAGGCTGGCCTGAAGGAGTAAGGTGAAGAAAACAGAAATGACAACCAAGCTCCTTTTGTGCATCTTATTCATACAGTGCTTATTAATTACTTATACCCTTCTAAAAAATTTGAGGCAGCTTATAAGAAAACCCTAGAGAAGTGGGTTAGAAGGAGAGTCATCATACCAGAAAACACAGCTAAGGAAACCAAGACCAATTATATAAAACACTCCGAGTTTCCCGGCAGCCAAGTCTAAAGGCACACAGAATTCTGTAGCTCTTCCGATTTAATAAAGGAAAGCATGCCTTAGTGATGGGAGGAGAATCTTTTTTAAAGTTCTAAACACTAAAGAAATTTAACAGGCATTTTTACATAAACAACCATGAACAATACAATGAAGGGTGCCCTTGTGCTCACAGTTTTACAGAGAAACCCCCAAACAACCCCCTGATCATTTGTTATACTAGTACCAACAGCTGAGGGCATAATATAAAACAGTCCTCTGAAGCATCTCTGTATAGAATTAGAGTATTATATTCCAAAAATGCAACTTGCTAGGAATTGACAGGGCTCTCTGGATCTGGAGATCATCAACCTAAAGGTCCTTTCCTTACGCTAATAAATCCTTTCCATAACTTTGCATTTTTCTGTCTCTGTAAATGTAGGCATGTATTATACTAGAGGCCCGATGCACAAAATTCGTGCAAGGAGCTCGGCCCTTGCAGCTGAGGCAGCTTGCCTCTGTGGCTTGCCTCGGCCCTCACAGCCCTGGCTTCATCCAGGACGTTGGGAGGGTCTTTTGGCTGTCTGGTTTAATTAGCATATTACACTTTTATTATTATAGATGTCTCACAGTTTGTTACAATACTACCCTGATTCTTACAAGAATTTTTAAAAACTTAAAATAATTTTAAACTACAAATTGGTCGATGAATTCATCCAAAATGAAGATAAATTCTCATTGCAAATAATCCCTAACTGAATGACAATTTTATTTATTTATTTTTTAAATATATTTTTATTGATTTCAGAGAGGAAGGGGGAGGTGGAGAGATAGAAACATCAATGATGAGAATCATTGATTGGCTGCCTCTTGCACCCCCCCTACTGGGGATCAAGTTCACAACCCAGGCATGTGCCCTTGACCAGAATCAAACCTGGGACCCCTCAGTCCAAAGGCTGATGCTCTATCCACTGAGCAAAACCAGCTAGGGCCGAAAGACAATTTTAAAGATTTCTTCCCTTTTTCAAAGACGAAGCTATTTTTTGTTCCTATAATTAATTTTGTTATTTTTTAAGTCGTGAATCAAAGGAGATTCTATCTGTCAAGATGCAGATGAGAATAATAGTTTGCAAATGAACAGTTTATTTCACTGGGTTTAAACTTTACCCATCTGTAGTTGTAGTGATTTACTTGCATGAGACAAAAATGGTTGTCAAAACCCAGAAGTACCAGACAGCAGGAGACTCGTTTATTCTTTTTTTAAAAAATATATTTTTATTGATTTCAGAGAGGAAGGGAGAGGGAGATACAGAAACATGAATGATGAGAATCATCCATCAGCTGCCTCTTGCTCTTCCCCCCACCAGGGATCAAGCTCACAACCCAGGCATGTGCCCTTGAACAGAATCAAACCCGGGACCTTTAGTCCACAGGCCAACGCTCTATCCACTGAGACAAACAGCTAGGGCTCATTTATTCTTTCAACAAAGATTTACTAAATCTTTTCTTTGAGCTCAGCACTGGCTACACGCTGGGGAAAACTACAGTGTCTATGACATTGCCCCGGTTCTTGTGGGAATTCAGGACTCATCCTGAAAAGGGAATCGTCCTTCCTTGAGTTAGAAAAACAAGTCCTGTGGTCTCCTATTATCACTCTATCCCACACAGATGCTGTCATCCGCATGTCATTCTGCCAGCAAGAATACTCAATTCAGTCAAACTTTCTGTAGTTTAAAACATCTGCTTCTACCTCAGTAAAATAAGTATAAAATGGCTTGTATTCTGATAAATATTATCTTCCTAAGTGCCACAATCCTTAGTTTAGTAAGATGTCTAATTTCCTAGTATAATATTTTAACCTTAACAATTAAATAGCAGAAGTGATAGTCAACCAAAGACATGTGCAAGCAATTAAATACAAAAGAAGCAAATCATTTATAAGCCCCAAATTTACAGCTACTTTTTTCATATTAGAGGATTCCTCAGTTGAACAAGATTCATAAACTGGTCTCACACATAAAAAACTAAAACAAAAAGCCTGTTCAACTTCAACCCCAGCACAAAATAAATCAGCTGAGCACATATTTCTTACCTTTTTAAATGCTTCAGGCATACACCTATCCATAAATCTTTTACAATTCTCATCAGACTCGGAAAGACCTTAGTAAAATAAATGAAAAAATATGCCTTAGATTTTTAAGTAGTTTGTAGAGACCATATGTACCATTTCAAATTCATACATCTGGAACTATTTATGATAGAAACCTTGATTCTTAAGGGATTATTAAAAGCAGAATGTATACATTCTGATGAAGGAACAGGCTGAGAAAAAATCACAGTATTTATTTATTAGTACCACAATATATTTATTTTTACTTATTATTAATATACACTTGTTAAATAGTATAATAAATAAATATTAATTAGAACTGAAATGGTTGAACTTATGTTTCCATGTCAGAGTAACTTCAAATGACCCGATTAAATCGTAATATGTAAAAACCCAGGGTCCGTAAGCCCTACCGAAGGCTCAACTGAACACCAGAAGTCAGTCCTGTAGTCAGTGCTGGGTTGCTGTGGTGACCCAGCACTAACTGCTGCGGGTGTGGGCGCAGCGACCCAGCACTGACTGCCGAGGAGGCTGTGGATCAGGCCCAGAGAGAGAGGCAGGGTCTGATCCGCAGCCTCCGTGGCAGCTGTTGATCAGCCCTTGCCTCTCCTTCTCTCCAGGCTTCACCAGTAGCCGTGTCTCTCTCTTTTTCTCTGGGTCTCCGCAGGGGCTACTGATCAGCCTCACCTCTCTGATCAGGCCCAGAGATAGGCCAGACATGCTGACTGGCATAGAAACAGACCAATCAGAACCAAATCTGGGTGAACTGTGAGGAGCCAATGGCTGCCTAGGAGGCAGAGCTTTTGACGCTGACTGGCATAGAAACCGACCAATCAGAACCAAGTTGGCTGTCACGGAAGGGCCATTGGGGGCGCGATCAGGCTGGCAGGAGAGGGTAGTTGGGGGCAAGATCAGGCTGCCAGGGGAGGGCAGTTGGGGACAACCAGGCTGGCATGGGAGGGCAGTTGGGGGAAATATCAAGCTGGCAAAGGAGGGCAGTTGGGGGTGAGATCAGGCTGGCAGGGGAGGGCAGTTAGGGGTGATCAGGCAGTCAGAGGCAGTTGGGGGCAAGATTAGGCAGGCAGGCAGGCAGAGGCAGTTAGGGACGTGCACTGGGCCACTTGTAACTAATAAAACCAAACACTAACTACTTACCATTACTTTCCTAAACAGCTCTATAAAATATAAATATTCTCAATAAATGCCAAAAATCACTCTTCTTCCTTAAAACAAACTGATTAACTGTGTAACAAAATGCACAGAATGGTGCCTGGCACACAGTAAGTGATAACTTGCTAAGTGAATGCGTGCTGAACACATTTTCTTTTTTCGGAACCACTGCCTATCACAGTATCTACATCCTAATAGGCACTTAATAAATGTTGCTGCTGAAAAGCCAGTAATAAACGTACCAGAAAATTGCCCATTAGGATTAAATCTAATCCTGTGAAAACATTTCCTACCTACTAATGTGCCTCATATTTAATCATGGTGGTAAACTATGCACACTTTTAATAAGGAGGAAAAAAAACACATAACAGTGGCCCAATTCTTACTTTACAATTGAATTCAATATGAAAAAGAAATTATTTTCTCTTTAAAACATACTATAGAAGCTTCCTTATATTGACACCCGTTCTTCCAACTTAGTGTTATTTTATTACACTGCTAGTTTAATATTTGTAAAGCACTTAAGACAGTGCCAAACACGTAAGTACAAAATGTCTGTTAAATAAATATTACCTTCTCTTAAAAAAATAAAAAGCCAATGAATTGGGACTTTTAAAGTGCTCCAAGCTTCTGTGGAAAAGTTAATTTCAATTTATAAGTTTTTTCAATTATATTTTAAAGAATCTTACACTCTATTGGAGCTGGATGAAAACAGTTGATTTAATTCAAAGCTTTAAATATTCCACAGGGGATAAGCAAAGAATAGAGTAAATGTTCTAAGATTATAAAGTCAGGTCTCTTAGTAAAAAACAAAAAAATCTGCTCATGAGTTCTGAAGTCTGAAAACTTACCAAGTCTTGCAAGGTAGGTAGACGCCAACAAGCATTTTCCTAGTGATTCTTCTCTCTTGTAAGGGATGGACCAATGATCAGTCAAAACACGGCTTTCCAGTTCATATAAGTTTGTTGTAGGGAATTCAATTCCTTCCCCTGAGCAGTTTCCATTTTCATCATTCTTCTGACAAATAGGGATTATGGTAAAAAAAAAACCAACAGTGACTACTTTAAATTTTTTTTATTTAACACTGAGCAGATGCTTAATCAATAGAAGCTAATAAATAATACCAATAGTGTAGATTCCAAATTTCTTTCTCATAATTTGAATTTAATGGTAAGAGTTCAGTGGTGACAGTAACAGCTATCGTGGGAGAGCATGGAAACCCTACTGATGTCGTGTCAGGAGTCAGTGGTGAGGAATGGAGGCAGCTGGTATCTCTGGAGAAATTTATCAAAAATGACCAAGACTATGTAAAGTAGTCTCAAACTTTATTAGAGTGGCCTTCCTACTCCCCCTCAGAAGGCAAGCTCATCTCATTCTTCAAAGATGAACCTTCTCATTATAAAATAGCAAACCTACCTTCACCTGCAGCCATCCTATTCTCCCCATTTTTGTTGTTTTGTTTTGTTTTTCTTTACTAAAAGGATTAATTTCTTCTGCCTGCTCCCTCTTCTTGATATGCTAGATCCGTTCCCCTCACCTCCCAGGACAGCACACTCCCCTGTTCTCCTTTGGTGGATCTGGCTGGTTCCATTCTATCTCCCCTTCTGGTACAACCTCCCCTTCCTGGCCATCAAGTATTGGAGTTTCTCAAACCTCAATGCTATTTCTCAAACCTCTGGCTCTTCTCATTATACTCCAGAGAATGGCACATCTGTTTAGCAGCACAGCCAGAAACCAGGACTCATCCTCTTTTTTTGTTGATAATTTCAAGATTTTTTAAATTGAATTTATTGGGGTGCCGTTGGTTAATAAGACTATGTTTCAGGTGTACAATTCTATAATACATCATCTGTATATTATATTGTGTGTTCACCACCCCAAGTCAAGCCTCCTATCACTATTTATCCCCCCTTTTCTCTCTTCTACCTCCCCTCAATTCCCCTTTCCCTCTGATGATCACCATAGTAGGCCTGTACCTATGAGTTGTCTTTTTCTTTGCCTAATCCCTTCATCTTTTCCACCAAGTACCCCAATCCCACTCCCATCTGACAGCTATCAGTCTGTTCTCTGTATTTATGAGTCTGTTTCTATTCTGTTTGTTAAGTTTATTTTGTTAGGTTCCACATACAAGTAGAATCATATGGTATTTGTATTTCTCTGACTGGCTTATTTCAATTAGCATAATACTCCCCAGGTCCATCCATGCTGTTGCAATAGGTAAGATTTCCTCTTTCATAGCTGAGAACCAGGGACTCATTCTTAAAACCCGTGCTCCCATCTTCACCCCCAAAGACCAGGATTAGACCTAAACTTCTCTCAAATCTATACTTCTGTACAGCTCCGCCGAGATGCCACCATTCCTCCAATACTCTTTCAGAGAAGCCTTTCCAGAATTTCCAAACTACATATGTCAAACTCCTTTAAACCAGTGAGTTTCAACCTTTTTCATCTCATGGCACACACAAACTAATTACTAAAATTCTGCAGCACAACAAAAAATACATTATATATTTTGCCAATCTGACTTAAGTAAACCAAAGGTATAATTTTCATTCATTCACACGGGCGGCTATTGTTGTGTTGGTTATTGTTATTTTTAAATTTGACAGTCTACAGGAAAAGAGGTCAGTGCCTCTGACTACATACTCAAGGTATCGCACGCTTTAAAATTCTGGCGGCATATGCTGTAGCACACCTGCTGTGGCACACCGGTTGAAATTGCTGCTTTCAACCCTTATTAGAGTTAGGGACTCACCTATAGTGGTATAGACCTGAAAGGGGTTCTAAGGGAAGTAATCTCACAGAGTGATTTATATACAGTAGGTCCTCGGGTTACATTGGAGATCTATTCCTACAATGCGACATAACGTGATTTTCGCCATAAGTCGGAACCCACCTACATAAGCACCTACATCACTCACATGGAGCACATACACAGCAGCAATGAAGTGAAACAGTAAAAAAATTTAAAAGATAACAATTCCTGACCTTTACTTGTGGTAAATAAATAAAACATAAAGGACACATGTACATACGTCGAAATGACGAAGCTTTTTTTAAAATAAATACTGTAAATGGGAAATGGCAATGTAACTCAAGGACTACCTGCATATAAAACCCTAATATGCAAATCGACTGAAGAGCGGAACAACCAGTCACTATGTGCGCTGACCACCAGGAGGTGCATGCAGAACATAGAGGCATTGTCAGCTGTGGCGGGATAGTGGAGCAGGTGAGCAGGGGCACCGTCGCTGTCATCGGGGCGAGCCTCTGGTGGTTACTGAAAATTTTTTAATCCCACACGCCACGGTCGCGCCCAGCGCTCACACCTGATGCCGGTGCTGGCCCCACTCGCACCCACTGCTGGTGCTGAAGCTGCCACTTGCACCCGCTGCCAGCACCTGGCCCCAATCGCTCGACACCATCAGCAAGTGCAAGCAGCAGCTGCTGGCCCCGGTTGCCCCTCAGGCCTTCTCTACCTCACCCTGCTCCTGAGGGGCGACTGGGGTCAGCAGCCGCCTCTTGCACCCACTGCCAGTGCCAGGCCACTCACAACCACTGACGGCGCTGGCTCCGCTCGCACCCTTTGCTGGCACTGGCCCCAATCGTTTTGTGCCATCAGCGGGTACGAGCGGGGCCGACGCTGTCAGTGTGTGGGGGCGGTGGTGGCAGGAGCAGGGCAGCCGACAGACATGGGACCGGGGGCTGCTGCAGGAAGGGCCAGGCGGGGGCACAGAGGATGGGCCAACACCCGCCTCTGTGCCTACCACAGCTTTGCGGCCCACAGTTCAAGGTGCATGAATTCATGCACTGAGCCCCTAGTCCAGTGATGGCGAACCTTTTGAGCTCGACATGTCAGCATTTTGAAAAACGCCAAATTAACTCTGGTGCCATGTCACATATAGAAATTTTTTGATATTTTCAATCATAGTAAAACAAAGACATATTTTTGATATTTATTTTATATATTTAAATGCCATTTAACAAAGAAAAATCAACCAAAAAAATGAGTTCATAGGTTCGCCATCACTGCCCTAGTCTGACCATAAATTCCTAACCAGGTAATTCACGGTGGGTGGTCATATAACTTTTTTTCCCCTTTATTGATTAAGGTATTACATATGTGTCTTTATCCTCCCATTGCCCTCCCCCTATCTCCCACTCATGCCCTCACCCCCCTGGTGTCTGTGTCCATTGGTTAGGCTTACATGCATGCATACAAGTCCTTTGGTTGATCTCTTCCCCTTACCCCCACCCTCCCCACCTTCACTCTGAGGTTTGACGGTCTGATCGATGCTTCTCTGTCTCTGGATCTGTTTTGTTCATCAGTTTATGTTGTTCATTATTTTCCATAAATAAGTGACATCATGTGATATTTATCTTTCTCTGACTGGCTTATTTCACTTAGCATAATGCTCTCCAGTTCCATCCATGCTTTTACAAATAGTAAGAAGTCCTTTTTTACCACAGCGTAGTATTCCATTGTGTATATATACCAGTTTTTCAATCCATTCATCTGCTGATGGGCACTTAGGCTGTTTCCAAATCTTAGCTATGGTAAATTGTGCTGCTATGAACATAGGGGTGCATATATCCTTTCTGATTGGTGTTTCTAATTTCTTGGGATATATTCCTAGAAGTGGGATCACTGAGTGGCATATACTAGGTGTACCGGTTAATAATGCAGATTTTTTTCAATAGATGGAGTTACACATATTTGATATATATGCAATTTGATATGTATGCTATTTTGTTATAGTGACAGCAAGCTTCAAAACTTCATATTTCAAATTTGCTGAAGGTGTTAACATCATAGATATTTTTACGCTTAAAAATGTCGAATTTCATGCCAAAAAAAGAGCATTTACGGGAAGTTTTAATTCATTAATTTATTTTGAAGAAAAAGTTATTGTATACTTCGGGAAGCTTATGGTGAACATGCTCCATCTCAAGATACTTGTGAACGCTGGCTTAAACACTTTAAAAGTGATGATTTCCATGTGAAAGACAAAGAACATCCAGGTCAACTGAAAAAGTTGAAGAGCAACAATTACAAGCATTATTGGATGAATATGCATGTCAAAGTCAAAAACAACTTGCAGAAAGACTAAACGTTGCTCCACAAACAATTTCCGATCATTTACAAGCAATGGGAAAGATTTTAAAGGAAGGAAAATGGGTGCCACATCAACTGAATGAAAGACAAATGGAAAACCGAAAAGTCATCAGTAAAATGTTGCTTCAACGGCACAGAAGTCTTTTTGGCATCGAATTGTGACTGGCGATGAAAAGTGCATTTATTTTGAGAATCCCAAATGCACAAAATCATGGGTTGATCCAGGTCAACCGTCAACATCGACTGCAAGGCCAAATCGCTTCGGAAAGTAGACAATGCTCTGCATTTGGTGGGATCAGGAAGGTATGGTGTATTATGAGCTTCTAAAACCAGGTGAAACCATTAAAACTGATCGCTACCGACAACAAATAATCAATTAGAACCACACTTTGATTGTGAAACGACCAGAATGTTCCAGAAGACACAGCAAAGTAATTTTGCTTCATGATGCACCATCACACACTTCAAAACCAGTTAAAGACACATTAAAAGATCTTGCCTGGGAAGTATTAACCCACCCAGACCATGCTCCTTCAGATTACCACTTGTTCTGATCGATGGCACGTGTACTTTCTGAGCAGCACTTCAAAACGTACGAAGAAGTGGAAAATGGGGGTCTCTGAATGGTTTGCCTCAAAACAAGAAAAGTTCTCTTGGGACAATTTCCACAAATTACATGAAAGATGGGGAAATGTGTAGCTAGCGATGGACATTACTTTGAATAAAGCACTTCTGATGTTTCTCTTGAAATTATCGTGTTTTCTTTGATTTCAAAATCTGCCATTATTAACCGGTACACCTAGTATATCCACTGACACAGGAAGTAGACTAGTGGTTGCCAGAGGATGGGAAAAGGGAGAAAAGGAGAGTGACGGTTAATAAAGATAAGGTTTCTTTTTGTGGTGATGAAATATTCTAAAATTAAAGAGTGGTGAGGCTGCAAAACTCTGCGAATGCACACTTTGATTAAAGGGTGAACTCTGGTATGTGACTGATAGCTCAATAAAGCAATTATTTAAAAAAATGGGTTAGTTAAAATAAGTTTGATGATTATAGTAACTAAACAAAGATTAATATATAAACATATTTAAGAATTTCAGACAAGAGCAGGCACATCCAAGTGGTATGGCCATTATATATATCTAAGCATCTCAAAACAGAGAGTTGTACCTAATGATTTATAGTAAAAATGATACATATGTCCATAAGACAGTTTTAAAGAATCAATTTAAAAAGCAATATATTTAAGACCTAAAAGGTGCAAAATCTCATGCTGTTAACATTCTTGGTCTTGAAAAAAGGAGGGAACAGACATGATGTATATACCAAGGTTAACGAATGATACAGAGCAGCATTACACCTGAGGAAGGTGCTGGCAATACAGAGACAGGGATCACCCAAGAGGAGGAAACAGTGACATGAACCCATATTTAGGGTGGCTTAATATTTTGAGTCATCACCATGAGTAGAGCCTGTCCTTGGCAAAAATTACATATTGAGCAAGAGAAAACATGCAAAGCAGCTCAGAATCGTTCTATTACAAAATAGCTCCCAGGAGATATAAGCTGTCGTCGGGTTTTTAATATGAACTCTGGAATGTAATATACTATTTTCTCATTAGACACCAAATTCAAATGGATACCCAAGTAACCATTAATGATTTCTGATTCAAAATTTATTAGAAAAACATTTATCAAAAGCTCGCTATGTTCCAGACAAGGTGCCTTAACACTGGGAACAAAGATAAGGACCCAGACCCAATTCTTGTCTTTAAAGAGGACAATGTGAACATAGAGAAGGGGGGAATCCAAGCCAGACTACAGCTGCTGTGCACACAAAGAAGTGTAAGGAAAAGAATATTTAAGGCAGAAAGTTTGAGAGCATATTATTTCAAAACCAGTATACTTTATTTTACAAGTATGTGAAGTAATAAACCTCAATGTTTTCAGCCTTTCTGACTACTTGAGGCAATATCTTTACTTTTCATTATGATATTCCATCAATGTCATTTAAAAATTTTAAATACTTAATTTCTAAAAAATGTTTTATAATATTAATGTAAATTCAGCAATTGTTAGAGACCATAATGCAATCACTAAGGCAGAAGAGAAGTTCATAAACAACTCTTGAATATCACTTTTAACCTGAAATATTTCTATTAACACTGAATCTCCTGTATTTGATCATCCAAAAAAAATAAGAGATGAGCTTATGCAGGGATTTTCAACTCTTTTCATCTCATGGCACACACAATTCTGCAGCACATCAGAAAATATTTTTTTGCTGATCTGACACACAAAAAATTGGTTTTATTTTTTACTCATTCATACTGGACGGCTACTGTTGTGCTGGCTATTGTCTTTTTATTTTTACTTGACAATCTAAGAGAAAAGAGATCAGTACCCCTGACTAAACAGTCAGGTACTTGCATGTTTTATATTTTCTTGTGGCACACTGGTTGAAAACTGCTGAGCTAATGCATTAATTTATGATTTCCTAATTAACCAGTTTAGGATTCAAATCCAAACAGTTAACATTGTTGGATACATAAGTTAGGCTATTTCTTAAATATGTAATCATATGCCCACAGATACAAATGAAAACGTAAACAAGGCCTCTGTAACTTTCATGACACTTAATAGCGTCAGAAACATGCTAGGAATTCAAATAGTTGTGATTGTCATGCCTTCATCTACTTGGCAAACTATTCAGAATAAGGCTTACTATTTACTTACTTGAAAGGGCAAGTTAGGACTTTTAATAGTTGGAAATGAAGTTTTTCATAGAATTAATAAATGCTGTAATTGTAAAGTCTGAATTTACCCCCTCCCCCTCAAGTTTAGCACAAATCTTTAGATTTATCATGTAGATTATTTTGGCAAAAATATCTTTCTGCATGATATCTTTTATATTTATAATTAGGCACGTTCACATATGTCACTACTCATATCTAAAACTTGCCTGATTGAAAAATGCAGATGAACCAATGTATACAGGCAATATTTTAACTGCAGGTTGAATATACAAAACAATGTAATATTCTTAACCCTTACAAATGAGCTTTAAAATATCATCACATAGGCTTTTCAGTAATAACTTTAATATTTATTAGAAAACTACCTTCATTGAGTTTCAAAAAAGAAAACAAACCCTTTGCTCTTGAACTCAACAAGGATATATTATTAAAATGTAAGTCTTCACTCAGTGGAGAGAGAGTTAGCTCATGGAACTGAAGGGTCACAGGCTTGATTCCAGTCAAGGTACCTTGGTTGCAGGCTCGCTACTCGGCCCTGGTCAGGGGTGCATGTGGGAGGCAACCAATCAATGTGTCTCTCTCACATCAACTTTTCTGTCTCTCCCCTTCCCTTCTACACCCTCTAAAAATCAATGGAAAAATATCCTCAGGTGAGAATTAACAACAAAAATATAAGCCTTCTTTGTTTAAAGAAGCAACACCTACTGGAGTGGATACTGCCTGTTAGTTTAGAGATAAGTTCCTGTCTGCCCATTTACTCAACAAATACAGATAAAGAAAATTATCCAGCTTAACGGGTAAGAGACTCCCAATGCTACTTAAAGATTATTTTAATACTAAATTCAATTGTTGGAACTATTTTATTAGCCAGCAATGTACTCAAGAGCTTCTAAATGTCTGATTAATGTACAGAAAAGTGGAAATGACAAATTGATTTCTCCATGATGATTTTAAATGGGTTTGTCTATTATCTAAAATAAACAATTGGTACCATATATATCAAGTGCATAAGAGAAAATAAGAAAACATGAACATTTAATTCCAAGTCATTCATTTATAATTTTTATTTTTTTAAAAAAATCTATTTTATTGATTTTTTACAGAGAGGAAGGGAAGGGATAGAGAGTTAGAAACATCGATGAGAGAGAAACATCCATCAGCTGCCTCCTGCATACCCCCTACTGGGGATGTGCCCGCAACCAAGGTGCATGCCCTTGATTGGAATCGAACCCGGGACCCTTCAGTCCGCAGGCTGACACTCTATCCACTGAGCCAAACCAGTTAGGGCAATATAATTTTTATTCTTAAAATTCAGTCTTATTAAATATTTTTCAAAGCGTTCAGAGATAGTTATATGTATAGCTGCTATTCCTTGTGATATTTCAGATTAGACAAAATGATTCCTAAAATACTCTTCCGGGAAAAAGGAGACAGGGACAAGTGTGGGCAGGCAGTCCTCAAGTTACTAATACACAGTGTCTCAAGTCTACAAATTGTTTTCTTGGAATACATATTCATTCCATGTTATACATAGTAGAAGAATTCTTACCTTGTCTATGAAGGCTGATACTTCTTGTAGTCCCTTTCATAATCCTTGGTGGCTATTCATTTATTATGGAAACAATGTTTTCATGAGAAGTTGTCTTATAATTCAAAGGTGATATCTTACATATAAAATTTAACCTTTCATTTAGATGGAAGGTTTGGCACTTACAAATCATTAATGCCAGGAACAAAACATAGCTGAATTGGACCTTCAGTTTCAACAACAGGAAGGAAAGCGATGGTAAAGAGGATTTGATATATTCAGGTGAGAGAAAAAGGAGTGAGTGGCAATAGGAGAATTAATGTATCTACTGAGTACTTAGCTCCTATGTATCAGGAGTTGTGCCAAACCCCATGAGGCAAGTATTATCATCTTCATTTTTTAAATGGGCAAACCATGCGCAAGTAAGACAAGTCACTCAGAATAAGGTGTATATCTTATGATCTCCTGCCTAAAACCAGCAGTCATTCATGTGTTCAGAATGGGATGAGAATTCAAGACAAGGTTTCTTTAAATCTCAGGTTCTAGAATAAGCATACTTATTCCAATTTCTCCTAAAATTAGTAGAATGGCACAGCCCCAAAAAGCACCACTCCAGAATGGAGGTAAAACGTTCTCATAAAAACAAACAAATAAAAAACTTAGATTTGGGAAGAAAGGACTGATTACCAATTAAAACTTCTTTTTTGTCCAAAGCACTAGTATTTCTTAATCCACTGATATGCCTAAAATTCTAAATAAGTGGTAATGTAGCATGAACAATTATCTTTTATTCTTAATTTTGCTGAAATTTCTTTGACTATATATTCCTATATGACAGATCTAAATGTTGATTCTGTCACCATCGGTTGCTAGCTGTGACCCTGAATAAGCTTCTTAAACTATCCATGTACCTTGGTTTTCTCAACAACAACAAAAAATACAAATAGTGTTTACTTGCAGGATTATGATGCAGATAAGAGCTAATACATGTAGGGGGCCAACTACAACAAACAGGCACCATCATAAACAGCAGCTCAGACTTCTCTTCAAGCTTCAGATAAGTGTTTCTGTCTCCCCGTCTGACTCTTCAACGTTGGTGTCCTAAAGGCACTTACATTTATCATATCTACACAGAACTCAGTGTTCAGCTTCAAATTTGTTTCTTCTCTAATATTCCTAATCTCAGAAACTGTGTTTCATCTTCCCAACCCGTTGGTCACCATTCCAAATGATTCTACCTCAAAAAATTGCCCCCAAGTCTTTCCTAGGCAACCACTGCCTTAGTTGAGGTCCTAGCTGTATGTTGCTTAGATTTCTCTCTGCTATACTCTTTTAACTGTCATCCCTGCCCCCACATTCCCATTCTATCCCACTTGTGTGCCTCTTCCAAAATGCCAGAGTAATCTTCCTTTAAAACTAAATAAACTAAACCAAAAAAAGAAATCTGATCCCATTTCTTACTTGTTCAGAAATCTCCATTAGCACCCAGCTGCCCACAGGTGCCTAGAAAATAAAAGAAAGTTTCCTGCACTGGCATGCAAGGCTCTTCACCACCTGTGATAGTATTTGGAGATGGCACTTTGGGGAGGTGATTAAATCAGGGGAGCTCTGCTCTTATAAAAGAGATCACAGAGAGCTTCCTTGTTCCTACCACCAAGTGAGGTAATAGTGAGAAGACGGCCATCTATGAACCAGAAGTGAGTCCTTACTAGATGCTGAATCTTGACCTTGGATTTCTTAGCCTGCAGAACTATGAGAAATAACTTTGTGTTCTTTATAAGCCTTCCATCTACGGTATTTTTTTTTATAGCACTCCAAACAAACTGAGACTTTCTTCAAACCCAGTTTAAATATCACCTCTTCAACAAAATTTTCAAGATTCCTCCTTGGAAAATAAGGTATTCTGTCCTCTATTTTTGTAAAGAATTCTTATTCAGTATTTTCCTTTGGCTGAGAATCTATCCTATATAATAAAAGGTTAATATGCAAATTGTCCACTCAACCAAGAGTTTGACCTGGAGTTTGACCAGGAGGCGGGGACAGCCAGCCAACTGCCCGCGGCCCCTCCCCCTGGCCTGCCTGGCCCCCACCCATGCACGAATTCGTGCACTGGGCTTCTAGTCCTATCTAATAAAAGAGAAACATGGTAATTAGCGTACGACTGCTACCCTTCCCATTGGCTAATCAGGGCGATATGCAAATTAACTGCCAGCCAAGATGGCGGCCGGCAGCCAGGCAGCTTGAAACTAACATGAGGCTTGCTTGCTTCAGTGACGGAGGAAACCAACGTTCCCCGCCTGCCTTGCCGGCCTCTGAGCCTGCAGTTTGAAACATTGTAACAAATATAGAAGCTAAACAAAACCCCAGAAACCTGCTTTCAGCGAGCCGGGATCTCAGAGCTGGAGTTATACATTGTTTCGATTATAGAACCCAAACAAACCAGATACCTGTTTTCAGCAGCAGAGGCCTCAGAGCTGGGGCCAGAGCTAAAGCTGGCCCAGAATAAAAAAGAAAAAAAGAAAAAAAGGAGCAGTTGGGAGCTTCAGTCACCCGCCAGCCGAAAACAGCCCTCAGCCCCTCACCCAGACTGGCCAGGCACCCCAGTGGGGACCCCCACCCTGAAGGGTGTGTGACCAGCTGCAAATAGCCATCATCCCCTCATCCAGGCTGGCCAGGCACCCCAGTGGGGACCCCCACCCTGAAGGGTGTGTGACCAGCTGCAAACAGCCATCATCCCCTCACCCAGGCTGGCCAGGCACCCCAGTGGGGACCCCCACCCTGGTCCAGGACACCCTTCAGGGCAAACCAGCCAGCCCCACCCATGCACCAAGCCTCTATCCTATATAGTAAAAGGGTAATATGCCTCCCAGCACCGGGATCAGTGGAGCCGCGAGGCCTCCCAGCACCGGGATCAGCGTGACAGGGGGCAGCGCCCAAACCCCCTGATCGATCTGCGGCTGTGTGTGTGACAGGGGGCGGGGCCACAACCTCCCTATCCGCCCTGCTCTGTTCGTGACAGGGGAAGGCACCCCAACCTCCTGATCAGCCCTGCTCTGTGCCTGATACGGGGGAGTTCCCCAACCCCCTGATCGCCCTGCGGCTCTGTGTGTGATAGGGTGTGGTGCCCCAACCCCCTGATCGGCCCTGCTCTGTGTGTGACAGGGTGCGGCGCCCAACCCCCCCCCCCCCCACGGGCCCTGCTCTGTGTGTGACAGGGTAGAGCCATAACCTCCCCATCGGCCCCGCCCTGAGTGTGAAAGTGGCGGCGCCCCAACCCCCTGATCGGCCCTGCTCTGTGGGTGAAAGAGGGCGGCGCCCCAACTCCCCCTCCCCCCACGGGCCCTGCTCTGTGTGTGATGGGGTAGAGCCATAACCTCCCCATCGGCCCTGCCCTGAGTGTGACAGTGGCGGTGCCCCAACCCCCTGATCGGCCCTGCTCTGTGGGTGATAGAGGTCAGCGCCCCAACCCCCTGATCCGCCCTGCTCTGTGTGTGACAGGGGGCGGTCCCCCAACTCCCCTATCGGCCCTACTCTGTGAGTGACAGGGGGGAGCTCCTCAACCCCCTGATGGGCCCTGCTCTGTGGGTGACAGGGGGTGGCGCCGCAACCTCCCCATCGACCCTGCCTTGAGTGTAACGGGGCGGTGCCCCAACCCCCCAATCGGCCCTACCCTGAGCATGACTGAGGGTGGCATCGCAGCCTCCCAATCCGCCCTGCTCTGTGAATGACAGGAGGCGGTGCCCCAACTCCCCAATTGGCCCTGCTCTGAGCCCAACCAGGGGCTGCACCTAGGGAGTGGGCCTGCCCTCTGCCACCCGGGAGCAGGCCTAAGCCAGCAGGGCATTATCTCCCGAGGGGTCCCAGACTGCGAGAGGGCACAGGCCAGGCTGAGGGGCCCCCCTTCCCCCCCGAGTGCACAAATTTTTGTGCACCGGGCCTCTAGTATATATAAAAGCCTAAGTGACTGGATGACTGAATGATTGGTCAACCGGTCGCTATGACATACACTGATCAGCAGGTGGCAGATACTCAACACAGGAGTTGCCCCCTGATGGTCAGTGCACTCCCGAGAGCCATCAGCTGACCTACGGGTGCCAAACACAGGGCTCATGGCTGGCCACCACAGCCCGGAGACCACAGTGGAGCGGCAGCAAGACTACCAAGCGGTGGCAGGCACAGCGGGGCCAGGATGAGCAGGAGTGGCAGGCGGCTTTGGACTGCCTGTTTTGGCCTGATCCCTGCAGGCCACGCTGAGGGACCCCACCAGTGCACGAATCCGGGCCTCTAGTATATTAATGAAGAAACACATTCTGCTACTGATGCTTGAACACTTCCTGTAACAAATGATAAGAGCTTACAATTTCTTGTAATGAGCACGTTATAACAGAGTGCTGTGAAAGTATATAAGAAGTGGAACCCATGGAATATTATCCAACCTTAAAAAGAAAGGAAATCTTACCCTGGCCGGGTGGCTCAGTTGGTTGGAACGTCATCCTGTGCACCTAAAGACTGCAGTTTCGATTCTGGGTCAGGGCACATACCCAGGTTGGGGCCCATCTGGGAGGCAACAATCAATGTTTATCTCTCTCTCCCTCCCCCTCTCTCTTCTCTCTCTAAAAATCAACAAGCCTATCCTTGGACGAGGATTAAAGAAAAGGAAGGAAGGAAGGAAGGAAGGAAGGAAGGAAGGGAGGGAGGGAGGGAGGGAGGGAGGGAGGGAGGGAGGGAGGGAGGGAGGGAGGAAGGAAAGAAGGAAGGAAGGAAATCTTGTCACATGCTACAACATGGATGAACCTTGAGGATATTATGCTAAGTGAAATATGTCAGTCACAAAATGACAATACTGTTATATTCCACTTACATGAGGTATCTAAAGTAGTCAAATTCACAGAAACAAAGTAGAATGATGGTTAGCAGGTAAAAAAGGGCAGTTTTAATATGAGTTTCAGTGTTGCAGGATGAAAAAGTTCTGGGATCTGTTTTGCAATTATGTAAATACTAGAGGCCCAGTGCATGAAATTCCTGCATGGGTAGGGTCCCTAGGCCTGGCCAGCGATCAGGGCCAGTCAGGTTCCCCGCCTCCCCGCCTCCTCCTTCCTTCGCTCCCTCAGCGCCCCACTGCCACTGCCCGTCCGTCATGTTCTGTGCCACCCCCTGGTGGTCAGCACATGTCACAGCGAGCAATCGGACTCCCAGACTCCTGGTTGAACTCCTGAGGGGACAATCTGCATATTAGCCTTATATTATATAGGATGTCTTACACTACCAAACTGTACACTCAAAAATGGTTATGATGGTAAATTTTGTTATGTTTTGTAAAATAATTTAAAAAAATAAGAAGGTGACTCAGCATAATCATGGTGAAAGATTGCCTATAAATGAAATGACATTTAAAGTAAGGCATAAGTAAGCATCTACCTTCTTTACCATAACTTTAAATCCATGGTTAATCCTTAGTCTACATCTTACCTACTCCATCAGCAACATCTAAAACAGCTGCCCACTCCCTTCTGTGGGAAACATGTCCTTCACTTGGCTTCCAGGACAGAGCCTGGTTCCTCTCACCTTCACTAACCACTGCTCAATCTCCTTTGCTGGTTCCTCACCATCACCTCAGTCTCTAAACACTGAAGAACCTTGGGGCCCAGTCCTCAGACCTCTTCTTTACACATATGCACTCCCTTGTGGTCTCACTGAGTAGAATTTAATGTAGTGTTTCTCAACTTTGTTTTCATTATGGCTCCTTCAAGGAGCCTTTTAAATATTTTTATTTTCTCAATCATCCCATATCTATTAATTAAATACTAAATAAGACTGTACTGGGTAGGACTGACTTTTGGAGCAAACCATTGTAATGTCTAAGATTTTTTCCACCCTCTCCCCCCAAGAACCAATGCCCCCTTTGGAGTGCTATTGTCTAATGCTTTAAATACCATCTCTAAGCTGAAGGCCCTCACATTTATCTCTTCTCTTTTCCCTAGGCTCCACACATCTATCCAATTCCTTCTTTAAATATCTTCATTGGGATATTTAATAGTCTTCTTAAATGAACATGTCCAAAAACAAACTCCAGACTTTCCAACCAGACTGTGTCACCTCCCTGTTCAGAATCCTCATTATAGTTGCCTACTAGGCCCTAGAGAGGAGCTGCCTCTCCTTCATCTTTGACCTCATCTCCCACTCTTCCATTTATTCACTAAGTTCCAGCCATATTGGCCTCTCTGCTGCTCCTCAACATGGCAGCCATGCTCCTACCCATGGCGTTTGCACTACATGTGTTCCTTCCAATTAGCACCAGAGTCAGCAAAGTGCATACAGCCCATGGCCTCTTTTACTGGAAAGCAGATGCGCTTACTGGGTTAAGTAGTCTATTGCTGCTTTTGCACTACAATAGCAGAGTCAAAGAGCTGCAACAGAGACTATATGGCCTGCAAAGCCTGAAATATTTAGTATCTGGCCTTTCTGCTTTGTATTTTTCTATAACACTTATCACCTGACATTCTATGTTTTACTTATTTATCTCGGTTACTGTCTGTTTCCCCTGACCTAAAACATAAGCTCCCCAGGGCAGAATTTTTGTTTGTTTGTTGCATTAGCACCAAGGGGTACCAGATTGGAGAGGGTGCAGGCTGGGCAGACCTCTAGTGTGTCTCTCACATTGATGTTTCTCTCTCTCTCTCTGTCTCCCCTCTCACTCCTACTCTCTCTAAAAAAATCAATGGGAAAAAAATATCCTTGGGTGAGGATTAACAACAACAAAAAAGGTTATTCTGCACCAATTTTTACTTATAGGAATAAAACTCCACTGAAAGCACTTTTGTGATTCTCTTTTAAAGATACTCCATGTTCTTTCTAGCAATATTTTCTAATTCAGCTTAATCCTTATAGCCCTAAAATAATTCATTAGGCTTAACAAAAAGGTTCAAAGTGAAGAAATAGATTATGAAGGTGATGAGAATGAAAGATAAAGCAAGCA